ATTGGGCTAAGACTAGAAATATCTCATAAGTTGTATATTTTTGTAAAGCGAAAAGCATCAATGTTTATGTTTCATTTGAAAAAACATAACTTTGGATTGATTATATCTGAATAATAACAGCTTATTCTGAAATTCTGATTACGCCACTGGATTCCACGTGAAAAAATGTATGACAAACACTTTCGACTTTTTCGATGAATTGGAAGATGGTTGAGATACAAGAAGGGTTCCGAAATGCAGCATTCTCAATTTCGCCCTGTATCTCAAAAAGGCAGCGGGCTACAAAAACTTGGTTAAGGGTATCGTGAGTTTCACTGAAAAGAAGCCCACGTTTTCGAAAATGGAAAATCTTTATTTTAGAAAATGAATGAGATACCTATCCCGTTAGGACATCGAAAATGGGACAGCCTGTACAGGGTATTCACGAATATTTTGAACCCCTACTAAACTTTTTTATGTATTGTCAATTTTATTTTTTCAAGAAACTTTCTTCAATACTCTTTCTTTAAATTTTATATATTCCAATAGAAAAACTGACTATTTTTTGAGAAGTTCAACTGTTTGTATATACAGAAAAAATATAAAAGATCGTTCTTGGAAAAAAAATCGAATGATACATGAAAAAATAAGCAGTGGCCCATACAGCACATGACATCCATTGGACGTCCATTTTAGGTTCATTTCAATTCCAAACGTCCATCGACATTGAATGGACATCCATTGTACGCACAAACATGGATTATCATTGGATGCTCCAAATTGTATGTACAGTGGGCGTCCACTCAATGTCCAACCACGCATGTACGTAAAATGTACATTCATTGTACTTATAAAGATGGATGTACAATGTTTGTTTCAGAATTACCGTCCGTTGGACATCCATTTTATGTCAACTCAAGGACTAAAACTCTCGTGGACCTTTGATCAACATCCATTGTACGTACAGAGACGGACGTACATTGGATGATTCAAATTAAACCTACATTGGATGTCCATTTAACGGCCATTCTGAGTTCAAGCGTGGATGAAGAATGAACATTATATTTATATGTATATAAATAATTGTCCAAAGTAAATGTATGTATGAAATCATTTTGAATCTGGAGGTTTATGGACGTTAAATGAACGTACATTGTACGTTCAGAGATAGACGTAAGACTATTGATTTTTCAGCCACCTCGAGGGGAGACACAAGGCCAGATCGGTCGGTAGAGTAGCGGTAGCGTCTGGCATGATTCTGATGCCATTTTCAGTTGTAAAATGACCGTGAACATAAAGTGTTGTGTTTGTGATGAATTGTGGAATGCAGAATATTCAGGACCAGATCATTCAAAGTAGGTATGAAACCATGCATGTTCTAATATAGTTATAATCTTATGCTTTATCATATCCTACAGGTTGTTATTCATTTTCAATGGGCGGTTTGATAGAAAAAGTACCTGAGTATATATAGCAATAATGTGAATAAGGCTTCATTCACCAGTCAGAGTTGAGCTGAACAGGATTAGGGGTATAGACAATGGATTTCTACCTATAAAGCAACATATAATATTTCTCTTTTACTACAGGAACAAGAATTTGAAATGGACTGAAGAAGACATGAATCAACAATATATTTATATATATGCAATCGACACCAAATATGTATCTCAATCGATAAAGCTATATTTGATATCTACTGATTTTTCATCATTTGATTTCCGAAGATGAGCATCCATTATACACCCACATGTAAACATCCAATGTACGTCCGAAGTGGTGTCCTCAAGACATCCAATGGACTTCCATTGGACGTTCAACGTCCAATTTGGTACGTCCAATGGATGCTCAGACATGTACATCCATTGTGAGTCCAAATATGAACATCCACTGTACATCCACATGAAGACATCCACAGTAGTCCAAAGTGGTGTCATCAGGACATCCAGTGGACGTCCATAGGATGTTAAACGTCCACTCGAGTACTTCCATTGGACGTCCTTACGATCCGACGTGAACGTACAATGTACGTACATTGGACATACATGTGCTGTGTGGGGGTTCAGTACAAAATACTGAAGAACTGTCAATAGTAACTCTTTATGAATAGATATGTTGTACTCATTCCAAACTTATCAATGCCACGCTGTTTCAATTAAGACTTCCAATTAGGAACTGATGATAAGTGTATATGCAAAACAGAGTTATACTTATAGTATTCGTGAGAAATTGCTATCAGGAATCGATCATGAATGTACCTGCAGAACACATTTCAAACTCATAAATGCCACTGTTGTACAATGAGAAACTCTGATCAGGAACTGATTATGAATGTATCTGCAGAACACAGTTCATACTCATAGAGTTAATATAGAATTTCTATGAGGAACTGATTATGAAAGTATCTGCAATAAACATTTTGAACTCATGAATGCCACTGCATTTCGATGAGGATTTCTGATCAGGAACTGATTATAAATCTATCTGAGAATCAGAGTTCATATGGAATTGCTATGATGAACCCATTATGAATGCATGTATCTACAATACACATTTTGAACTCATAAATACCACGGTATTTTAGTGATTAGTGACTGATTATGAAATGTATCTGCAAAACAGAATTCATACTCGTAGATTTCATATGGCTGTGCTATAATAAGCTATCTATGAATGTATCTGCAATACACACTTTGAACTCATAAATGCCAAGGTATTTAAAAAAAATCCCGATTAGGGACTAATTATAATTAGTGTATCTGCAAAACAGCGTTTATAGTCATACACTTCGAAAGAAATTGCTATTTGGAACTGATTATAAATGTATCTGTGAAACACAGATTATACTCATAGAGTACGTGAAGAACTGCCAATAGGAACTCATTATGATTGTTCCTGTGAAACACATTTCAAACTGATAAATGCCACAGTAATTCGATGAGGAATTCCAATAAGGAACTGATGATAAGTGTATCTGCAAAACAGAGTTATATTCTAAGTGTTCCTGAGGAATTGCTATTAGGTATTGATTATGAATGTACCAGCAGGATACATTTCAAACTCATAAATGCCACTTTGCTCCAATAAGAAATTCCGATTAGGAATTGATTATGGATGTTTCTGCAAGACAGAGTTCATACTAATAGAGTTCATACGGAATTGATATAAGAAACTCATTCTGAATGTATCTGCAACACACATTTCAAACTCATAAATGCCACGGTATTTCGATGAGGAATTATAATAAGGAACTGATTGTGAATGTATCTGCAAAACAGTTTATACTCAAAAATTACTATGAAATTGCTATTACGAACTCATTATAAATATATCTACAATACACATTTTCAACTCATAAATGCCACGGTATTTCAATGAGAAATTCCAATCAGGAACTGATTATACATGTATCAGCAGAACAGAGTTCATACTCGAAGACTTCGAAAAGAATTGCTATTAAGAACTGATTATACATGTATCTGTGGAACACAGATGATACTCATTGGGTACATGAAGAACTGTCAATAGGAACTCATTATGAATGTACCTGTCAAACACATTTCGAACTGATAAATGCTACGGTGTTCCAATGGGAAATTCCAATTAGGAACTGATGATGATTGCTATAAGGGACTCATTATGAATGTATCTGCAATACACATTTCGAACTCATAAATGCCACGTTAATTCAATAAGGAATTGCAATTAGGGACTAATTTCAAATGTATCTGCAAAACAGAGTTCATACTCATAGAGTTGCTATTAGAAACTCATCATGAATGTATATGCAAGACACATTCCATTCTCATGAATGCCACAGTGTTTCAATGGGGAATTGCCATCAGAATCTGATTATAAATGTATCTGTAAAACATAGTTCATACTCAAAGACTTCGTTGGAAATTGCTATTAGAAACCTGTCATGAATGTACATGCAGAACACATTTCAAAATCATGAATTACGAAGTTTTAATAAGGAATTGCAATTTAGAACCGATTATGAATGTATCTGTGAATTACAGTTCAAACTCATCGACTCCATTGAGGATTGCCATTAGGAACTGATTATAAATGTTACTGCAGAATACATTTCGAGCTTATAAATTACTGTTTCACTATCCAACTTGACTCTGATATATTCTCATATGTAGATAATCAGGAATTAGTATTAGGAACTGATTATGAATATATCTGCGAAAAACAGTTCATACTTATAAGAGAAAGGAAGAGAATCGCCATTAGAAATTAATTATATATGTATCTGCAAAATACATAGGATTATACGGAATTACTGTTTCACTATCCAACTTCATTCTCATGAATTCTCATATATATTTTTTTATGAGTTTCTATGAGACATTTTTGGCAGGGAACAGAGGCTATAACATTTTCAAATCCGCCACGTTTTGAAATCACACTGTACATAAATTCAAAAAAATCTAACAACAGATTGCCGAGATATTCACCTGTTTCCATACATATCAGCGACCCTGTATAGATTCTAAGGCAGCTAGTTTTTGATAAAGCTGAAAATCTGCATACCTTATTCTGCTTTTATAATTAGTCCTTTTAGCATTTTATTCATATTTTGACCAAAAAAAGGATTCACTCACACCTCTATAATGATCGATGACTGGTAACCTAAAAATAGGTTCATGTTAATATAATTATACTGGGTGAGTGGGTGCTGCTGGGTGTTTTATTTGAGAATTGAATGTTAATTGGTTCCTGGCGTTCCTTAGGAAAAATTGAACAACAATCATTAATTCAAAAAGAGATGTGTGGTGGAAATTTTCATTTTAAAATACATTTTTATTTTGTATAAAAGTACTGAAGGTCAAAACAGTTTGTTCAGCACAACGTCGTGTTCCTATGCAATGTTTGAATCATTATAAATGCATACTTATTGATTGTGTAATCTCTGGCTGAGAGCGAGAGAAAATAATCAAATGTCAAGCATATAATTATATAACATGTAATGCTCATAGCTAACATATATTTTATATCAAGAGATAGTTGATATAGTGTTTGATTTAGAATTCAGAACGACCTATACATGGATGCTATCATATTACAACGAACTATATTAAAAACTGATAAAATGTAATTTGATTAATAATTATCTGATGTACAGATAAAATTTCACTTCAAATATCCAAGTCCATCAGAGTGTCTCCTTGTACACAGTTCAAGGTACCTTTACACCACAGCACTCTCTGAAAATGGATGTTTTCTATTATACCGCCTACTATACAGGCTTACTTCTAGCGCCTATCGTAGTATATTTCGTATTTTTCAGAAAAAATGATGGACGGAGCTTATACAGTGAGAGAGGTAAGCGTCTATCAATATTATTTTAATATACAGTGGATGTCCAGAAAGTCATTCATGAACAGAATAAATTTCGAATATTTCTAGGCGATTCGAAAAATTGATTCACTATATCTATACTGATATTTAATTTAGATGAATACAGGGTAGTTCAAAATACAGAATTATGAACCACCCTGTATTCGTTCGAATCAAATATCAGTAGATAGTAAATCAAAAGTTAAGATAGGGACATGAGAGCCATTCTGACCGATAATGAATAGTTTCGACACAAAAAATTCTAGAGTTAAAAAATCTCGATTTTGTATATATATATCTCTGTAATCATATTTCCGCAAGACACCAAGTGTGATACATTGATGAAAGCAGCTCTTCAGGAAGAATCTGAAAATGCATTGAAATACAGGGTGCTCCATTTGAAAATCGAGAGTAGATGCCCGTTTATTACGCTACAAGATTTCAACTTATTTGGAATATCATAATTGCAGAAAAATATGTGTCCCCCGCCAAATTGAAATCGACCTGGCCGAGCGATTTTAATTTTTTTAACGACATCGGAAATTAGGTGGTTGACAAATTTCAGCTGGGACACACTGTATATATTTGATAACTGCTGTGGTGAATAACCGAAATTACAGATATATGCTTACTAGAAAAACAAAAAATATTTAGAAGTTCCTATATATGTATAAATATAAATACGTATTTCGGCAAGTAAGTTGCCATCTCCAGTAGACCTCTGAAAGGCAAATTTGTAATGGACATTTACTCTGATCGATATTTTCGGGACTGATATCTGTATTTTCTTGTATGTGATGATGATATTCATTATAACAATTTTCAATGATTTTCGTAGACTGGTTTTATACAATCAAACTATATGCAGCCAAAAAGCGAGTACAAAAGTATCAAGATAAGTACAGAGACTTTGCAAAGCGATTGGGAAGAAAACTAGAAAACGAAATTCAGATCCCAACAAATATAGAGGTAGGAAATGATTTCTTCTTCTTCTTTTTCAAAGAAAATGTATAGGTGAGCGACAGTTCCATAATAAATATCAAGGACCTACTGAATGGATGTAATATTCCACCAAGTAAAGTGAGTTGAGGACTTACAGGGCGTTGAAGTGCATCAGGGCGATATAGTACCTACGTTCTTTTTTTTCAAGTTATCAGAAATGTTTCCATCATCGACCGTCTCTCTCTTTATTGGTAACATTTTAATGGAAACTACTATCTGTGCAAAAATTCACAGCGTCGTAGACATGAATTTTGAATGCTAAGACAGAATAGTAAGTTGTAATAAAACAATATGTTTTTCATGGTAGAAAGAATAAAATATAGAATCATCTTTTCGTAAGAGAATTTGTCGATATTGTGAAAAATAAAGGTATTTTACTCCTGAGCAAAATTTTCCTATTTTGGAAAACTTTGTTTTTACGAATGCAAAAAACTGATACCAGATTATTTAGCGTTTTGGGTCATGTGGAATTTCATCAAGAAAAACTTTTTTTCATTAGTTGAATAATAGAAAATTCTCCAAATGGTGCCGACTTGTATAATAATATATCCTTTTCATAACCAACAATAAGTTACATTTTTTCAAATTAGTCACTGGAAATAGGCTTATTTCTTTGAATTTCATAAAAAAATCACTGAGAAATGTTGTTTCTATTCCAATTTTACACATATATTATGTGCCTCGAAGTTTAACGTTCTATTTCAACTCTTATTTTTTGATATTTTTTCGATTTCTACAAAATATCTGTAATATCGAAAAAAAATTAACACCGAAAATTTGATCGTCACTGACAAGCTAGTGATTTTTTTTAGGCTCTCTGATATAGGAAAATTCTTTAAACGCAGTGACATTTTGGGGCAAATCATCTGATTTGTCCTTACTACACGTATCTTGAAATAATATTCATATTTTTATTTCATAGAATTGAGGAGAGAAAATCGCAAAAAATCTGGAATAATGAATGTACACTCGTCTTCAGTGAACACGTCGCGATTGGACGGTATGAGTGCTCTCATTGTAGTGATAATTAAGAGAGCTGACACCGTCCATGTGCGACATGTTCTCTGAAGACGACTGTACGACCTCCTCGATTAACCTACAGACAATAATTGGTCATATTTATGTGATCTTAGCAAACAATCAGCCAAAGTTTCAATGGAGTGGATCAAGTTGGCAATAGCATCTCTTTGAAACTCGTCATAGGCATTGATAAAATAGCCGAAGCTAGATTACTTCTCCGTCTAGCAGATGGTAACTCTTACGTTTTTCCAGGTAAAAGTTGAATATTGAATTTTTGGTGAAATATACTTGAAGTAATATTATTTTGCAGGTGAAGAAGGTACCATCCAAACGAATTTATCTAAAGGACAATGGAAAATTGGCGGTGTAAACATAGAAATCCTAGAGGATTTTCAAAGATTGAGAATCACATTCAATGGACTTCTGAGGAACTTATCTTCAATAAAGTCGGATATCGAGCACGTCCAATTCAATTTTATGTGAGTTATTTATTATACAGGGTGTATCTAAATACCACCGGGAAATGATGTCTTGCTTCGTTTTCGAGATACATGGTATTAATATTTCCATGAAAAATATTTTTTCCATCTATTTCTCAATTGTCTTTTCATCAATTTCAATAAAACATTGTGGTTTTGTTAATAAGTTCTCAACACACTGAATGGACCACTCATAATTTGACTCTATTTCGAAGACCTGTATTTTTTGAAAAAATTGACCGATCTTCATGCGGTTTTCGATATCAGATGTAATGTTTCATCGGCTTCAAAGAGAGCTAGAATACTCTGAAAAAGTCCGCAGAACAAAACTTACACAGGGTGTAAAGTGGAACCATTACACTACACAGGGTAACTCACGGTCGATGGGACGTTAGACGTTTATGGAGAACGGGACATAGGATCATTCTGAAATTTTGGTTACTCACGTAGTTGCTCTTGGTCTATCGATCTAAACTGTTTTCAGCTCTGCGGCGTTGCCGCTTCTATCGAAAAGTAGCAACAACTTTGTTATTTTAAATGGAACACCCTGTATTTTATTGCATTTTCAGATTCTCTCTGAAGAGCTGATTTCATCGATGTATCACACTTGGGGTCTAGCGGAAATGATTACAGAGATATAGGGTGTGAAAAATCGTCATTTTTCAACTTTACGAATTTTTTTTGTCGAAATTATTCGTTATTGGTCAAAACGGCTTACATGTCCTTATCTCAACTTTCGATTAACTATCTACTGATATTTAATTGGGACATATACCGGGTGATGAAGATTCTGAATTCTGCACGACCCTGTATTTGTTTCAATTAAATGTCAGTAGATAGTTGATCAAAAGTTGAGATAGGGACATGTGAGCCGTTTTGACCAATAATGAATAGTTTCGACACAAAAAATTCCTAAAGTTGAAAAATGACGATTTTTCACACCCTATATCTCTGTAATCATTTCCGCTAGACCCCAAGTGTGATACATCGATGAAATCAGCTCTTCAGAGAGAATCTGAAAATGCAATAAAATACAGGGTGTTCCATTTAAAATAACAAAGTTGTTGCTACTTTTCGATAGAAGCGGCAACGCTGCAGAGCTGAAAATATTTTAGATCGATAGACCAAAAGCAACTACGTGAGTAACCAAAATTTCAGAATGATCCTATGTCCCGTTCTCCATAAACGTCCAACGTACCATCGACCGTGAGTTACCCTGTATATGGTCTACATTTCCAATGCTGCCAGAACTCGAGAAATTTTTTCTGATCGAAAGTCAGTCATATTATGATACACGTTTTCGTGATTTCTCCTCAATTGGCCATTGGAACAAAAATTCGATTTTGTTTCGAAAGTCTTGCCTTTCTAGATTTTTTTCTCTAGAACTCCACTTGAGCTGACTATTGAGAAGAACTGTTCTCATGTTTTGTGAAGGATAATGAGATACGAAAGAAGCACTATTGTGGAATATACAGGATGATGAGAAAATAGGACAAAATCTCATTTCAGTGAAAAAAATAAAAAATGGTGACTAAAACCGTGGCCCATTCGATTCAGTATATTCAGAAACGGCCTTCTCGATATCCATTATTTATATTAGACTATTAACTCGAGACGTTTTTGAGAATTCGCCTTTAATTGAAATACAGGATTTCAATTCAAACTAGTTTCCTGATATCGATGATTCTTATCAACAATATCAACTGATTCCCAATATTTATTGGCCAAGTATGAGACACAGAGTATTGTTGTTCAATATAATGAGTGTTTCACAACTTATCTGACAAATTACGAACTCTAGAAAACAATAATGTTAGAAGAATGTGGTGACCAGCATTATCTCCAGATCTGAATTTGATTGATCATGTGTTCCAAAATAATGACAACCTTATCCAAGCTGTATCAGAAGAATGGGAGGCAATATCAATAGACTTCATCAACAACCTCATAGAATCTATGCCAAACCGATTTCATGAGGTTTTGTTAAATCGGGGAGGCCCTACCAAGTACTGAAATTTAGGATAAAGGACTTTCTAGTTGGATCTTCATAATGCTGAAGAATTCACTAATGTCATATTTCGCCAATAGAGCCCATTTCGAATGGTTTCATTGGATATAAAGTGGTATAAATTTAATTTTCCATCTCGTTTTATTTCTATAAATAAAATATTCTACACCCTTGCTTCATCCGAAGATGAAAATCATTTTTGGAATTGTCTTCTTGTTCCCAACAATTTGATCCCTTGAATTTCCTCCGTCCGAAAAACCATTTTCGCGTAAAAAAATAAAAATTATTCTCATGCATTTGTGGAATAACAAAATCATTTTGAACTATAGTAGGCTAGTACTCTATTTCGTATTTAAAATAATGGCATTTGATCGATTACGTTGCAGTCTTCTTTTGACAAATATTCATAAAGGTAAGAGTACCTACCTTAGATCGAGAATCAATAAACGCCTATAATAGAAAATAAAATTTTAACAACCTATTGCTCGAAAGTTGAGAGGCTTAGGGCATATATTTATATGAACTTTTCTTCTCAAAATGAGCTAACGAACCATATCCTATATTTTTGGTCATCAAATAAATTACACCCTGTATAGACTTCATTGTCAGAATACAATTTTCTATACCAGTTTTGTAGAGGACGAAACTTCTGTATCCCAAAAAATTTCCTTTCATGTTTTATTTTCCAGATTTACAGCATGTGAATCACCCAGTTACATTCCACAAGACATTGACAAAACTGCACTGGCAGATGCGTTAGCTAGAGAGACATGGAGAGATGGATCATGGGTAGAAAATCTGTAAGTTGAATATTTCAAACATCATACACACCATCGAATACAAAAAATATTTTCCCATAACAACCAAAATATTTTAAAGGCCTTTATTGGTACAGTTGTATTCAAAAAAATAGCGTACAAGTATTAGAGAGAGAAGCTAACGTCATCCTATTTGCGTAAAACGGGCTATCGAGAATGATTTTTCACCATATGTTGACATTTGTCATAGGTTGTCAAAACTACAAAGCATTGGCTGAGCCAGTTTTACACAACTAGAACTAGGATGACTTTGACCTCTCTTTTTAATACATGTACGCCTTTTTAGTGAATACAACTGTACGTATTTTGGGTCTCACATATAGATCACCATGTACATTACATATTTTGTATCTGAGTGAATATTCACATTATCAGACACATTCTACACCTTTTCAAATTGTAATTCACAAAGAATAACTATGTAGTAATTCAGATTAGTATAATGTTATTCAGATTAGTAAAATGCAAGTCAGAAAGCGTCAATTGTAATTCAGAAAGTATAACATGTAATTCAGATTAGTGAAATGTGATTAGGAAACTGTATTTTCTAATTCAGAGTAGTCATTCATAATTCAGAAATCGTCAAATGTAATTCAGATAGCATCACTTTCAATTCAGAAAATACCATGGACTTTAATTAGCCTAGATAGTGAAGAGAGCAACGAATAATCTTGGAATACCAGAGCTGCAGAATGGTGAATGGTGGTGTGTTGTGCAGCCCAAGCACAATCACCTCCAGCAATAATGGGCTTATATCACAAAAAAAATCATTTCATAATTCGATAGAACTCACCCAAACTAGTTCACCACCGCAAACCGTTTCTTGCTGTGAGCTCCTTACGTTTTATAAAAAAAATATTGAAATCCCCGATTTTTCGGACCTCTGAAAACGAGGCGATGATGTGACGTCAAAACCCTAATACTGAAACAAGACTATTCCAGACAGAGCTGAATGAAACATGACTTCTGACAGAGTGAATTAGCGCGAGATCACAGTTGAAAGAATCAATATATCAGTTGCCTCAGTCTCCGTCGGGCGTTTGGTATTTTCTTTCAACTATGGCGAGATGAGGTTTCTACGTAATAAGAGGGTCCGTTTTCAGAAGGTATACTATTATTTATGTCCAAAAATAAAACATTCCAGTTAATATTTCGATCGAATTATGTCGTCAATCATTATTTATGTATAAAAGGATCATTACAAACATGGTTTGAGTTAAAAGTTCTACTACTGTACACGCCCATTGTATCGTTGGCCTAATCAATATTCTATTCAAGATACACAAGTCGTTGTTCTCCAACATACGGACCATCAACTTTTGGTAGGTACCCGAAAATGTACTTTTATATGACACTTTATTTTGGACCAGATTGTTTCAATGGGTTCAACATCGGGCAGTATGAATCCATATGAAGTAGACTTGCTTCAGTTCTGTCCAGAACGTTTTTAAATCTGGAATGGCAAGAGGTGCATTATTGCTCACAAGGAGACCATCGGATAACTGATTTCTTTGAGTTTGCCATATCTGCAATAATCTTAGCACCCAATCATTGACTATTTCAGCTGTGAAAGAGCCTCTTCTTCTCTGGAAATTCGCTTTGTAAACCTGCTGCCGGCCGATATTGCTCAAATCAAAAGAACGTTGGGTTCCCTTGCATTGCTCAAATCAAAAGAACGTTGTTTCCCCTTGCCATATCTGCAATAATCTTTTAGAACCCAAGCAATGGCTATATCAGCAGTGAAAGAGTTTCTTCTTCTTTGGAAATGCACTTGCCATATCTGCAATAATCTTTTAGCACCCAAGCGATGGCTATATCAGCAGTGAAAGAGTTTCTTCTTCTCTGGAAATGCACTTTTCGAACCTGCTGCCTATATTGCTCAAATCAAAAGAATGTTGGGTCCCCTTGCAGGTATAAAATGTTGTATGGCGCACATGCATACGGGTTATTCAAAGTTTCTGAAGTACAAGTGATACTTTCTGAACTCGAAGTTATTTTTTTATGTTCTGGTTTCCACGAAAAGGGATATCCTGTAATGATAAGAGAACATCGTGAGAAGGGAACTAAGATAGGAATTGATGTTCTTCTTAAATTTCTGGAGGTTATATGCCTCGGGGAACACCTCTTTTGGCAATGTTTCTGTGATTCTTTGGAAAGAGATGTTCTACAGGTCCCCAAAGTGACCACGAAGGGATGCGAAGCCTCAACTCGACGGGTTAATCTCGCGGGGACTGCCAAGGGAGGAACAATTGATGATATTTCAGAAGAGCATGGTCGATGAAAATATCTATAAAATAGAGCCAGATCGCCTATTTTTCTACGGTGTTCCAGAGAAGTGAGTGAGTTCGTGAGCGAGGCATCACCAACGAGACGAATTGCCCTTTTTTGGACAAAATCCAATAGTTTCAGGGTATGTTTGGGTGCTGCACTCCAAATATGGGAACAGTATTCCAGGACAGGTCGGATCTGTGCCTTATTGATCATAAGCAGCTGACTAGAAGTGAAATAGCTCATTGCCCGAAACAGAAAACCAAGTTTTTGGGATGCATTTTTAGCAATCGATCTCAAGGGATTTTATCAAGAAAGGTTATTGCTGATAGTAATACCAAGCATCGAAATGGATGTCTTCATAGGTATGGTTACTCCTGACAAGCTTATGTTGGGCACAGTGAGACCGGCTTTTCTAGAGTATTGAAATTAAGCAAGTTATTGGATCCCCATTCGAGAATTGTTGCCAAGTCCATATTCATGTTGTCAACATTTCTCCCTCATTCGTTTCTGATTTGCCTGGCTGGTATTGAAGCCCTGGAAGAGAAGGCGGTATGGAGGGTACTATCATCCGCGAAGCTGTGTACTGAACATAAAGTTGCTTCCAACAAATCGTTGATATGGAGTAGAAACAGTGTTGGTGCTAGAATTGATCCTTGCGGAACACCAGCATTTATGATAAAAGAGTCAGATGAAACTCCGTCGACCACTACATGGAGAGACCTGTTTGAGAGAAAACTAGCTAGCAGAGAACATAGCTGGGGAGGCACGCCGTAAGATGGAAGCTTGGCGAGGAGTCCGTGGTGCCAGACTCGATCGAATGCCATGGAGATATCAAGTGCCACGGCTAAGGTTTCACCATATTTTTCAATAGATTGCTGCCATATATGTGAGACGTAAGCGAGCAGGTCACCAGTTGATCTCTGATGACGGAAGCCATATTGCCTATCGTTGATAATACCTGAATGTTCTGCTTTCTGAATAACATTTCACTATTCTAAATTACAAGCTACACTTTCTGAATTTCATTTTACTAATCTGAATTACATAATACGCTTCCTGAATTACAATTAACAAATCTGAATTTCAAGTTATACTATTATTTCAGTGTTGATCAATGGGGCTTCGATCAGTTTGGAGCAATGAAAGGTTTTATAAAAGGAGATTCCTACCCAGAGGAATACGTTTTGAATTTGCCAGCATTCAGAACAAACTACAGAGGCATCGATGATAGATTTCTGAATGACAGAGCTGTGAGGATATTTATCGTGGATACATATGGAAATTTGTTGAACTTGGTTATGAAATCGATCAAGAATGGATGTTCACAGTGAGTTCAGCTAATGATGTTGATTCCCTCTTTTGATGCTCACTGAGTATTTGATTCAAGGGTCAATTACGGTTTTGCGTTTCTGAGCAACCATGAGAGATCTGCTATAACAGACACAGACATCCAATTGAAGACAATGGGGGAAAACAAAATCCTTCCCAGTGTAATCTCTGCTCTGATAAAGACTAAAAGAAAAGATTTCCGGGCTGTTATACATTTGAACACCGACAGGGTTTGGCGATCAGGAATAAATACGAAGTACGGTTACGAAAGTAAACTGGTACCAGCAGAGTGTAATCTGAATTTGAATCGAGGTAAAGTTATGGTGGAATTCTGGTACAGTAAAAAAGGTGAGTATTTGAAAATTTTCTATTCGAAATTAAAATAATAAATGATATCGAACTTTGAAGTTTCCCAAAATTGAAATGGAAAAAATATTGAAAGGAATATTCTCAGATATAATTATGAACATAAAAAAAATTTATACATACAGGGTAACTCACGGTCCATGGTACGTTAGACGTTTACGGAGAACGGGACATAGGATCATTCTGAAATTTTGGTTACTCACGTAGTTGCTCTTGGTCTATCGATCTAAAATATTTTCAGCTCTGCGGCGTTGCCGCTTCTATCGAAAAGTAGCAACTTTGTTATTTCAAATGGAACACCCTATATTTTATTGTATTTTCAGATTCTCTCTGAAGAGCTGATTTCATCGATGTATCACACTTGGGGTCTAGCGGAAATGATTACAGAGATATAGGGTGTGAAAAATCGACATTTTTCAACTTTTTTTTTGTCGAAACTACTCATTATTGGTCAAAACGGCTCACATGTCCCTATCTCAACTTTTGATCAACTATCTACTGACATTTAATTGAAACAAATACAGGGTGGTGCAGAATTCAGAATCTTGATCATCCGGTATATGTCCCAATTAAATATCAGTAGATAGTTAATAAAAAGTTGAGACAGGGACATGTAAGCCGTTTTGACCAATTATGAATAGTTTCGACAAAAAAAATTCTTGAACTTGGAAAATCTCGATTTTTCACACCCTATATTTCAGTAATAATAACTGCTAGACCCCAAGTATGATGGGTCGTTGAAATCAGCTCATCAGGGAGAATCTCAAAATGAAATAATATATAGGGTGTTCGATAGAAAAAAGTTTAACTTCAGTGTTTTATAGTTTTTGGGGACACCCTGTATGTTTCGAAATAATTTTAAATGGTAGCCTATGTTGACATGCAACTTCCTAGAGAGGAAGAATTCCAAGAAGATAAGTGGTTAGCCTTCTAGAGACCGAGACGTTACTGGTGGCCCACCCTGTATATACAGGGTGGCATTGAAATAAGTAAAAATATTTTAAACACTGAGAAAGCTCGACGTGTACTATCGAATGGCACTATATTTTGTTAAATTTTTGGGATGAAATTTCTCGTTAATTAGAATGTGATGGAAATATCAATTCTTTCTCGGTTTATTCAACAGAAATCAATAGAAAACAACATCTTTCCTGGCTATTTGCCACGTCGAACATTGAATTATATTGAAATGTAGATTCGGTTGACATGTGGCATTATTGCGACTGGTGCTATTATTACAGCATGATATTGATGTATCCTATAACAATTATCTCCCCTAGATACAAATTGGATGTCAATATTTGGAGAGGCGATTCATGGGCCCATTCTAAGAAGAAAGTTTCATATGAACGTATGACCTAAACGTCGTAACTTTTAAGATACAGGGTGGTAAAGTTCTCAAAACGTGACAACCGGGCGCACGACTTGTAGGCGTGGTCTTGTCAAATCTCAGCATTCAGCGCAATGTTGCCAAGTCCTCAAAATTTACATGATAGTTTGCTAAAGAGAATAAGAAATGAAAAACCTTCACAAACGATAAGATTTACACAAAATTCTTAATCACATGACCTGTTTTGCTAACACAGAAGCTTCATCAGGTGAACTACTGGTACAATGAACCAGTTAGAAGTGGACACAGTGGAGTAATTGAATGCCAATGATTCATTATCAGTTCGCTCGCCCATTATGAGGAATCAGTTTAGGTTCCTACAGAAAATTCTAAATTAAAATTCATTGAAAATTTCAGGGGATAGAATCTTCATTCCAGAGAGAAGATTATGTGAAAAGACAGTTGAAACGCTGCCAAGCACTCTTGTGACAAACATAAAAAGCGGAGATTCTGAAATCTTAGATATAACTGGTGGAAAAGGCAATTCTTTGGCATTAATGGCTTCCATGAATTCAAAAGATGTAAGTTATGAAAATTCCAACAAATAAAAAACTTCGAGTGACCTTTTTTTAATTTCAGTTCATTGTTCCTGAAGGTTTTATCCTAACAGTGAATGCTTATCAACTTCAACTGAATTCTAAACCAGTTTTAGTCAAATCTATTGAATTTCTAAATGACATATGCTGTGGTAAAATGGAGGGCAGACTAGAGGAAGCCTGCAAAGAGTGAGTATACTATTTATTAATTCAGTAGAATGAAATCATCACTTTACCACTACAGATGAAGTTTTTCTAAAAGACCTGTTAGGTTCTCAAATTACCTAAGTTTGATATTTGGCACTCAATATTTCTCCTACTTGGCACTTTTGTATCTATTCAATCAACATATTGCTACTTACATTACCTACTTTCAATTGAAATAAGAAAAAGTATATTGTATTTTAGAAATAACGAGCTATTGAACATTTGATATCCCTTCATTGATGATTTGAAAACCATAAAACAGTTTAAAAAGAAAAAGGATCATTGAAGTTGAGAGCATTATAATTATAAGTGTAAAATTCGCGATAGCAAAAAACGTTCGCCAACTATCGGAGTTTTTGAAAGATGTCAAAACGGTCTGTTTACTCAAAACAAACCGCTCAGAAGTGTTCAAAAATGTTGCCGTTAGGTGGAGCGAAGTGTTATTTTCTATCGCGAATAACAACTTTAAAATAGGTGCAAAATTAATAAATAGTTGGGAAATTGTATACTATACACTGATTTACCACTAACCAAACTGTTTTTTTACACCTCGACACGTGTTTCGCTAACTATGTTAGCATCTTCAGGCGAAGATAAAAACAAAATGCTCTATCCTAGTGGGCTAGTTATATACTAAGTATATGTCCACCCAATATTATTATATATATTATATTACTTTATTACTATTCTCAAATATCTCTAAGCTTTCATATGTATCTAAATTCCTAACATTATCAACTTGCTTAACTCATTTGAGGTTATTGATATGTGTGTTATGATTGTGATTGAGCTTGTCTTCGGCTACACACGATTTATCTAACCTGCCATATTTCAAATGTGCTGAGTGTTCTTTGAACCTTGTTTTCATGGGACGCCTGGTTTGGCCTATATATGTTTTATCACAATCATTACAACTAATTTCATATATTCCTGAAATTGTATGTTTAACAGGACCGTAAGCTATTTCAAAGAAACTCACATTTGTCCTGAAATCGTCGAAGCAATAACGGAAGAACTGAGCAAATACTCTAACGTTGAAGATCACATCGGCTGGGCTGTCAGATCTTCCGCAATCGGTGAAGATTCAGAAGAACTGTCAGCAGCTGGACAAAACGAAACTTTCCTAGGATGCCAAAGCACAACGCAAATCTTGGAATCCATTTCAGCCTGCTGGGCTTCTTTATACACATATCAAAGCGTCCTTTACAGATGGTGAGTAGTCCAAAAACGATGAACTGATATCCAATGTCAACTATACTAATATTTATAAAGAGGAATGATTTGATTGTTTTTTTGTTTGTATTGAATAGGCTCCGAAACTACTGGATCGATTTGTCTGAAAATTGGTGGGGAGATACCTTAGAACCAGGAGAAGGTTATAGGATACTTTTTATCCCGGTACCATTAGGAAATTAAAGATGGCGGATCTAATATATCGGACGAGTTTTGTGATTATGGTCCGATTTTATTCAAAATTGGTATCTGGGGGTTTTCGGGGTCGGAGATTATGATTCTTTTGTCAGAATTTGAAAATTCGGGCGAAATTTGGAAATTCAAGATGGCGGAACCAATATGGCGGACGAGTTTTGTAATTATAATCCGATTCTTTTCAAAATTGGTACAGAGGGGTTTTCGTGATCGGGGATTATGATTCCTGCGTCAAAATTAAGAAACTCAAGATGGCGGATCCAAAATGGCGGATTTTGTAATTAGGATCCGATTTTATTCAAATTTGGTATGTGGTGGTTCTCGGGGTCGGAGATTGTGATTCTTTCGTCAAAATTAGGAAATTCAACATGGCGGACCCAATATGGCGGACGAGTATTGTAATTATGATCTGACTCTCTTCAAAATTGTTATCTGGCTGTTTTCAGGGTCGGAGATTATGATTCGTTTGTCAAAATTTGAAAAGGGCGGGATTTGGAAATTCAAGACGGTGGAACCAATATACCGGACGAGGTTTGTAATTATAATCCGATTCTTTTCAAAATTCGTAAGTTGGCGTTTTCGGGATCAAAAATTATGATTCCTTCGTCAAAATTAGGGAATTCAAGATGATAGATCCAATATTGCGGACGAGTTTCGTAATTATGTTCCGATTTTATTCAAAATTTTCATCTGGGGTTTTAGGAGTCGGATATTATGATTCTTTCGTCAAAATTGGGAAATTCAAGTGAACTAAAAAGAAGTTGAAATAAATGGTAGTTTGAAAAACTAAAGAAACACGCTTTTATAGATAGCGAAACTGAAAAGAAGTAGAAAATAAAATAATAATAGTGTCTTGATGAATATTGAACTGAAAAAATATATTATAGAAATAATGTATAGCAAAACAACGTTTGCGAGGTCTGCTAGTTAACCTATATAATAACGACGATAATGTAAACTATGCAAGAAGTGCTTAGAGAATTATTATATTATCAAGTGTAATTCATTTTGTTGTTTCCCAAAATTGCACTGGTTTTAACAAGGACTTACCCTGGATAGTAGACGCACCTGATAGATGTTCAAATAATAACTCTGGTATCTGGTTGCAGGCAGCATGGCCTTCCTGTAAGGGCAGATATGGCCGTGGTCGTACAAAAAATGGTAGCAGCCGAATGTGCTGGGGTTCTTTTCACCTGTCATCCCTCCACTTCGAATCCTCGCGAGATGATTATAACCTCAAATTTCGGTCTCGGAGAGGTAAATTATTCATAATAGGAATATCATGGGTCAAATATAGAATAAAAATTTGAATTTCAGACTGTCGTGTCTGGAAATAGTGATCCTGACACGTTCATTCTGAACAGAACCTGGGACAACACAATTTCCTTAAAGCATAAAAGCATTGGCAATAAAAATGTAGTTTTAACTATGACGTCAGAAGGTGTAAAGGAAACGAGTATGAACAATGATAATGAGAGATGGAGTCTCTCAGACGAACAAGCTATACGATTAGGAAAGATCGGTGTTCAACTGGAAAAAATTTTTGGAAACCACAGAGATATCGAATGGGCATTTTATAAGGTATGTTTTTAAAGTTCTTAGTCGTTGCTCACTGAAGAACATATAATCCTGCTCAAATAAACAACTGACAAATATATTAAATTCGCCCTTTTAGGATAAAGAGTTTATATAAATAGCTCAAGAGTGAACTATGTCAACACTAAAATACATACTTATCTCACATATTTTTCGAGATATTTTTGTCTTAAAGTTCGCAAAATCGCCAATAGCCTCGTTGAAACGGTCGAACATTGTCGACATCGTTCACTCATTGGAAAGAGACCAGATATTTGATATATATGAACTGACTATGCGTCGTTCTCAACATTTAAGAGTGTCTGATATATATATGACATGCTCTCCCCTTTCCGATTAAAAAAACTAGGGATTGACGTACCCCTATTTTTTGCAATTTTCAGGAAAATTCCTAAAAACTGCAAAAATTGCAAAAATTCCTGAAAATTGCAGAAATAGCAAAAATTGCAAAATTTCCTGAAAATTGCAAAAATCGCTAAAAATCCTGAAAATTGTAAAAATCGCAAAAATTCCTGAAAATTGCGAAAATCGCAAGAATGCCTGAAATTATCAAAAATTCCTGAAAATTGCAGAAATAGCAAAAATTGCAAAATTTCCTGAAAATTGCAAAAATTCTTGAAAATTGTGAAAATCGCAAAAATTCCTGAAAATTGCAAAAATTGCCAAAATGCCTGAAAATTGCAAAAATTGCAAAAATTCCTAAAAACTGCAAAATTTGCAAAACTTCCTGAAAACTGCAGAAATAGCAAAAATTGCACAATTTCCTGAAAATTGCAAAAATCGCTAAAATTCCTGAAAATTGTAAAAATCGCAAAAATGCCTGAAAATTGCAAAACTTGCAAAAAATCCTGAAAATTGCAAAAATTGCAAAAAATTTCTGAAAATTGCAGAAATTGCAAAAAATCCTGAAAATTGCAAAAATGCCTGAAAATTACAGAAATAGCAAAAATTGCAAAATTTCCTGAAAATTGCAAAAATCGCTAAAATTCCTGAAAATTGTAAAAATCGCAAAAATGCCTGAAAATTGCAAAACTTGCAAAAATAAATTCCTGAAAATCGCAAAAATCGCAAAAATGCCTGAAAATTGCAGAAATTCCTGAAAATTGCAAAAATTGCTAAAATTCCTGAAAATTGCAAAAATCGCAAAAACGCCATGCCTGAAAATTGCAGAAATAGCAAAAATTGCAAAAATTCCTGAAAATTGCAAAAATTCCTGAAAATTGCAAAAATCGCTAAAATTCCTGAAAATTGCAAAAATTGCAAAAATTCCTAAAAACTGCAAAAATTTCTGAAAATTGCAGAAATAGCAAAAATTGCAAAATTTCCTGAAAATTGCAAAAATCGCTAAAAATCCTGAAAATTGCAGAAATAGCAAAAATTGCAAAAATTGCAAAAATTCCTGAAAATTGCAAAAATTCCTGAAAATCGCAAAACTCGCAAAAATGCCTGAAAATTGCAAAAATTCCTGAAAATTGCAAAAATTGCAAAATTCCTGAAAATTGCAAAAATCGCAAAAATGCCTGAAAATTGCAGAAATAGCAAAAATTGCAAAAATTCCTGAAAATTGCAAAAATTCCTGAAAATTGCAAAAATCGCTAAAATTCCTGAAAATTGCAAAAATTGCAAAAATTCCTAAAAACTGCAAAAATTCCTGAAAATTGCAGAAATAGCAAAAATTGCAAAATTTCCTGAAAATTGCAAAAATCGCTAAAAATCCTGAAAATTGTAAAAATCGCAAAAATTCCTGAAAATTGCAAAAATCGCAAAAATGCCTGAGATTTGCAAAAATTGCAAAAATTCCTAAAAATTGCAAAAATTGCAAAAATTCCTGAAAATTGCAGAAATAGCAAAAATTGCAAAAATTGCAAAAATTCCTGAAAATTGCAGAAATAGCAAAAATTGCAAAATTTCCTGAAAATTGCAAAAATCGCTAAAATTCCTGAAAATTGTAAAAATCGCAAAAATGACTGAAAATTGCAAAAATTACTAAAAACTGCAAAAATTGCAAAAATTCCTGAAAATTGCAGAAATAGCAAAAATTGCAAAATTTCCTGAAAATTGCAAAAATTCCTGAAAATTGCAAAAATCGCAAAAATTCCTGAAAATTGCAAAAATTCCTGAAAATTGCAAAAATCGCAAAAATGCCTGAAAATTGCAAGAATTGCAAAAATTCCTAAAAACTGCAAAAATTGCAAAATTTCCTGAAAATTGCAAAAATCGCTAAAATTCCTGAAAATTGTAAAAATCGCAAAAATTCCTGAAAATTGCGAAAATTCCTGAAAATTGCAAAAATCGCAAAAATGCCTGAAAATTGCAGAAATAGCAAAAATTGCAAAATTTCCTGAAAATTGCAAAAATTCCTGAAAATTGCAAAAATTGCAAAAAATTTCTGAAAATTGCAGAAATTGCAAAAAATCCTGAAAATTGCAAAAATGCCTGAAAATTGCAGAAATAGCAAAACTTGCAAAAAATACTAAAAATTGCAAAAATTGCAAAAAATTTCTGAAAATTGCAGAAATTGCAAAAAATCCTGAAAATTGCAAAAATGCCTGAAAATTGCAGAAATAGCAAAAATTGCAAAATTTCCTGAAAATTGCAAAAATCCCTGAAATTCCTGAAAATTGTAAAAATCGCAAAAATGCCTGAAAATTGCAAAACTTGCAAAAATAAATTTCTGAAAATCGCAAAAATGCCTGAAAATTGCAGAAATTCCTGAAAATTGCAAAAATTGCTAAAATTCCTGAAAATTGCAAAAATCGCAAAAACGCCATGCCTGAAAATTGCAAAAATAGCAAAAATTGCAAAAATTCCTGAAAATTGCAAAAATTCCTGAAAATTGCAAAAATCGCAAAAATGCCTGAAAATTGCAAGAATTGCATGAATTCCTAAAAACTGCAAAAATTGCAAAAATTCCTGAAAATTGCAGAAATAGCAAAAATTGCAAAATTTCCTGAAAATTGCAAAAATCGCTAAAATTCCTGAAAATTGTAAAAATCGCAAAAATTCCTGAAAATTGCGAAAATTCCTGAAAATTGCAAAAATCGCAAAAATGCCTGAAAATTGCAAAAATTGCAAAAATTCCTAAAAACTGCAAAAATTCCTGAAAATTGCAGAAATAGCAAAAATTGCAAAATTTCCTGAAAATTGCAAAATTCGCTAAAATTCCTAAAAATTGTAAAAATCGCAAAAATGCCTGAAAAATTACTAAAACCTGCATAAATTGCAAAAATTCCTGAAAATTGCAGAAATAGCAAAATTGCAAAATTTTCTGAAAATTGCAAAAATTCCTGAAAATTGTAAAAATCGCAAAAATTCCTGAAAATTGCAAAAATTCCTAAAAATTGCAAAAATCGCAAAAATGCCTGAAAATTGCAAAAATTGCAAAAATTCCTAAAAACTGCAGAAATTGCAAAAATTCCTGAAAATTGCAGAAATAGCAAAAATTGCAAGATTTCCTGAAAATTGCAAAAATCGCTAAAATTCCTGAAAATTGCAAAACTTGCAAAAATTACTAAAAACTGCAAAAATTGCAAAAATTCCTGAGAATTGCAGAAATAGCAAAAATTGCAAAATTTCCTGAAAATTGCTAAAATTGCAAAAATGCCTGAAAACTGCAGAAATAGCAAAAACTCCTGAAAATTGCAAAAATCGCATAAATGCCTGAAAATCGCAAAAATGCCTGAATATTGCAAAAATCACTAAAATGACTGAAAATTGCAAAAATTCCTGAAAATTCCTGAAAATCGCAAAAATGCCAGAAAATTGCAAAAATTGCAAAAATTTCTAAAAACTGCAAAAATTGCAAAAATTCCTGAAAATTGCAGAAATAGCAAAAATTGCAAAATTCCTGAAAATTGCAAAAATATTGTAAAAATTCCTAAAAACTGCAAAAATTGCAAAAACTCCTGAACTGAGATATTGGTTGTATGAAAAAATCTGGGATCTGGTATATACAGTGTGTGCGATTTCAACCCGCAACACCCACCTAATTTGGAACCCGTCGACCGATTTTCAAAAGTGAACAAATTTGAAATATTCAGATTCTCAAGGCCTACTTTTGTTTGTTGAAGGGATCAAAATTTCAAAAACGGCTATCAGGCAATTTTTTGCCAAAACTGTGACTAGCCCATTCGATTCAGGCATAGCTCAAATACCCCCCTACGAGATTAGAACGCAAAATATCATATAGGGTGTCAGTTATTCGATGGCAAATTTTGAAATTTTTTCAATTTTCGATTCACCCCGTATCAAAATCTGAGAAACTGCTGAAGTAGTCATTCGATGGGGGAACACATCGAATACTTGAAGACGAAGTTTCATCGTAGTCACAGTTTCGACAAAATATTGCCTGATAGTCGAATTCGAAATTCGTATCTCCTACCGTTTTCGAGATCCCCATGCTATTCAACCTTATCTTGGACAGACTGTATATATGAAAGAGAAAAAAAAATTGTTGAACGTTGCTGGTATTCGATAGGAATTGATGGATGAAATATTCGCCGTTTCAGGACCAGCTGTATCTGTTACAATCCCGTCCTATTACGACTCTGAACGCGTGGACCGATTTTGAACTCGGTCACGAAATGGATTCACCGATCCTAACTGATAAATCCATAGCGACTTTTGGGAACATAAGAGAGGTCATCCCCAACGCTACCACGGTCCTATCTTATTCCAGTTCTATACGAGTTATGGATGAATGCATTCAAAAATTTCCTCAGTTGAATTACGATCCGATGGCAAGAAAAGGATTAATTACGTTCAAACACAACGTTATGATGGACTTCGTAATGGTGAGTGTCGTCACATCTGTTTCCCTACAAGAAATGAGGTGGAATGACTGTTGACAGTTGTAGAAAAATGAAATTGGATTGATGAAAGACGAAACTTTTGGAAGTAAAAAATATTGTTGCGGGCTACGATCTGAAGAATACAAATTGAAATTTCGATCAAATGCTCGAAATAATAAGCATCAAAGTGTCATGATTTCTTCGAGTAGGTAGGACAGCTTCTATACAGGGTGGGCCACCAGTAACGCCTCGGTCTCTAGAAGGCTAACCACTTATCTTCTTGGAATTCTTCCTCTCTAGGAAGTTGCATGTCAACATAGGCTACCATTTGAAATTATTTTGAAACATACAAGATGTCCCCAAAAATCACAAAACACTGAAGTTGAACTTTTTTCAATCGAACACCCTATATATTATTTCATTTTGAGATTCTCCCTGGTGAGCTGATTTCAACAAATTTTCATACTTGGGGTCTAGCAGTTATAATTACTGAGATATAGGGTGTGAGAAATCGAGATTTTCCAAGTTCAAGAATTTTTTGTGTCTAAACCATTTATAATTGGTCAAAACGGCTCACATGTCCCTATCTCAACTTTTGATCAACTATCTACTGACATTTAATTGAAACAAATACAGGGTGGTGTAGAATTCAGAATCTTGATAACCCGGTATATGTCCCAATTAAATATCAGTAGATAGTTAATCAAAAGTTGAGATAGGGACATGTGGGCCGTTTTGACCAATTATGAATAGTTTCGACACAAAAAATTCTTGAACTTCGAAAATCTCGATTTTTCACACCCTATATTTCAGTTATTATAACTGCTAGACCCCAAGTATGATGGGTCGTTGAAATCAGCTCATCAGGGAGAATCTCAAAATGAAATAATATATAGGGTGTTCGATGGAAAAAAGTTTAACTTCAGTGTTTTATGGTTTTTGGGGACACCCTGTATGTTTCGAAATAATTTTAAATGGTAGCCTATGTTGACATGCAACTTCCTAGAGAGGAAGAATTCCAAGAAGATAAGTGGTTAGCCTTCTAGAGACCGAGGCGTTACTGGTGGCCCACCCTGTATATTCATTTCCAGATAAAATGAGTTCACTCGATCGCAGATAACATACATTGATTCATTTTCTTGATTTTTAACTCTGGAATTATGATTTTGAAATGATTCGGAGCCATCTAGCAAGGTCATGAAGTTTGTCGTTTTATTTGTAAACGTCATTCTGTTCCCACCACCGTTACCAGAATGGAACAAATAGAACGCAACTATCGTCTCTCCTCCTGCATTGTCAGCTGTTTTTCAAGAAAATGTCAAGTAGTAGAACTGTATTCTTTTAACTGTGGTAGAACTTGAGACATCAGTATCTTTGTCGGTTTTTCGTCGTGTTCAAACGAAAAAAATATTTTTGAAAAACTAGTAGGAATCATATTAAAAAAAAATTCTCTTGTTCTTTTTCTCATCGTACTGAACTGCCTCATGTACTCAAATCTACGATATTTAATTTCTATTTGGGGGAGCACAAATAAACTACACAACACTAATTTCGTCGCAGCCCAAAATTTCGTCCCTGTTAAAATATGAATAACTTTTTTCTGCTTTGAACAATCTGAATTCGGATTACACTGTTCGCTAGCACAGTTCCTCAGCTATAATCTCGAACTTCTTTAAAACATGAAGTTCTTCATATAAAATCGCTACAGGGTGTGACCTGAACTTTGAAAAATTTTCTTCTGTGACGGGAAAAAATTTTGGCAGTTCATCTCTATTGGCAGGTTATAAAATGTCACTTTTAATAAATTACTTTTTTCCCGTGGGAAAAAAGTGAGTACTTTTTTCCCGGATATATATCACATATATATACACTGTTGATGGCTTTTGTAGTGCTATAGTTCCGAAAAATGAGTCAATAATACCGTCTCCGAGAAAGAACTGCAAGTCCTTTTATCTTCCATTCGACTTCGCGGTTATTGAAATTGATGAAAAGACAATTGAGAAATGAATAGAAAAAAGATTTTTCATGGAAATATTAATAGTCTGTATCTCGAAAAAGAAACAAGTTAGGACACAAGTTTATATGAACTTCATTTCCTAGAATATCACAAGGAAAAACCCCTTGAATTGTTTCGTTGTTATATTATTACACTTACTATTGAGTTCCATCAAAAAACGGCAGAGTCAATTACAAAAAAGTCATGGTATTTTTTTATAGTATCTGGTGTTCTCGCCTATTGAATAATTTTCATTATTTCCAGTCAGTCCATAAGAATGTATCACCTAAACCAATAATGAGTTCATTAATACTGGATTTGGCGATATTTGGACACCCAGTATTGAATGAAGAAATCAATGAACTATTAGTAAATCGATTGGGAATCACTCCCGCTCTGAAAAAGCTGAAAGAAACATGGGGAATAATCGGATTAGCTCGAAAACTGAAACTGATAGTGCAACAAGCTCAGAGTTTGACGAAAGAACTGAATTACAATTCGAGAGAAAATGCAGCACTGTCAGAAATTGTGGAAAATATTTTCAGCACCTTTGGTACTTTGGTTGAAATAGCATTATGTCATTCTGGAACGAGCACTGTGTCTGTTTTTTATCAAATTGTTTTGATGAATATCATGTTAGAAGGACAGGAAGGTGAGAAAGTGTAATGTACCGGGTGTACCACCAACAAAGGACGCCGGCTGTATCTCGGAAACTATTTGCCGTACAGGTTTCGGAAAAAAATATTTTTCTCCGATTGGCAGCAAATATTAATTTTGCTGACACATATCGATCAGCAAAGTATTACTTTTCCTGCCTAGGCAGCAAAGTGGGTACTTTGCTGCCTAGGCAGCAAAGTGGTTACTTTGCTGATTGATATGTATCAGCAAAATTAATAATCCATAAATTGTTTATAATTTCCTTCATATTTCATTCGAGACTTCTCCGGCAACGAATTCAACTCTATATTTTTTGCCACCTCCCTTATTTCTGGAGGTGTAAGTACTTCCAGGTCGCTATCACTGTCCATTATATAATAATTCAAATATACCGATATTTCTTCACACAACTGTCAGAATTTTCATGAATTGTCAAACTAAAATTATTATGGACAACTGCGATTTCTATCAAATTTCATTTTAATTGAACACTACAGGAAAAATAAAGAGATTGTGGAAATTGTAATAATTTGCAATTACAATATCCTCCTATATCATTATGAACAATCGGAGAAAAAATTATATGTTCAACTCGGCAGCAAAGCAGATTGACTGCCTTAGCTGGATTCCTAGCCTCGCTACGCTCGGCTATGAATTCAGCCTCGGCAGTCAATCTACTACTTTGCTGCCTAGTTAAACAAATAACTATTATGATAAAAGTGGCAAAGAAAAATCTCTGGAAATTATTCTCAAGTTTCCAGGACAGCCACTAGAGGGCATAATTGCCTTGGCCAACCTAAAAAACGGGTTTTTATGAAAATTTTATGTATCAAGACATATCAGAAACACTTTTTCCATGTTCTCGAGTTGATTTCCAATCATTTCGTTGAAAAAAAATGCGCTAGCTCTTTATATAAAAGAGGGAGGAAAGGATGAATAGTACTCTGGAAAACATTTTATTACTACAGTTTGGTGTAACGGAATTAAGCGATCATGGTCTCATTATGAAGAGTTTTCTCAGATCTTCCCGATAAATCACGAATCAAGACGATTTAAATCCCGTGGTGGCCGCTAGATGGCATCGTTTGAAAAATCAACCGATTTGCCATTTTTTTTTCGAGAATTTCAAATGGAACCATATATTTTTCCTGCTATGATATGAAAGTAAAGTAAACGAGAAGAAAAATGGTGAAAACCGCGAGTTGATACCTCTTGAAGAACCGGAGAAATACTCGGGATAATATTAAAATTTAAACTGTTAGCATGTCAAATGCCTTCTCATTCGTTATCGGCATTTTGACAAATAAGCAATCCACAGTGAAAACTTCCAATGGAACTTCAATTATATGTTGACGTTTCTTTCATTCAAAACCAACTTGCCTTTTCTCATTCCTAGCCTATACTTACTACTTACATTTCAATTAGCTATGTCATTACTAAGAGTCTCCTTCACTATTGTGAGATATAACAGAAGTTTGTGAAACCAAAATAAATGAATGATCGAAATCATAATTTCATAGATACAGGGTATTTCTGATTACGATTATTGAAGTTAGATTCCTGTGGTGAATATTTTCATAATATTATTTCGAGTATTTCACCGGTTCCTCAAGAGGTATCAATTCGCGGTTTTCACCATTTTTCTTCTCGTTTGCTCTACTTTCATATAAGAGTAGAATGAATATATGGTTCCATATGAAATTTTCGAAAAAAATGGAAAATTGTCTGATTTTTCAAACGATGCCATCTAGCGGCCACCACAGGATTTAAATCGACTTGATTCGTGATTCATCTGGAAGAACCAAAAAACCCTTCATAATGAGACCAAGATCGTTGAATTCCGTTACACCAAACCGTAGTATTGAGAGTGTTTTCAAAGTACTATTCATCCTTTCCTCCCTTTTTCATTTAGAGAGCTAGCGCAATTTTTTTTGATCGAAATGATTGGAAATCAACTCGAGAACAAGAAAAAAGTGTGTTTGATATGTCTTGATATTTATGAAATTTTCATAAAATCCCGTTTATTAAACAGGCCAATGCAATTACGCCTTCTAGGGGCTGTCCTGGAAACTTGAAAATAATTTTCATAGATTTCTCTTGGCCACTTTCATCATTTATATTCTTGTTCGAAACCTGTGTGGCAAATAGTTTCCGAGATACAGCCAGCGTCCTTTCTTAGTGGTACACCCGGTACAGGGCTCGGTACAGGGTGGCTGGAAATTTTGGAGAAAATTGAATATTCGCGGTTTAATTTTGATTATTTTATGACCCTATTTGAAGAGATGTAACAAAACAAATGACATATTCTCAGTGTTACGTTTTCTGTTCTTCAAGAATTTTCCTTGAGCTGACATCATCAACTCAGTTTTTTTCAAGTACGGCCCTGTTTTTTTTATTACAGATTTTGAGAGCTTTCAATCTCCTGGAATCAACGGTGTATTGTACTTATTCAGAAGAATGTGTTTGTTTTTAATACTATCAAAAATCTATTCTCTGTTTTTCTCTAACACATGAGTTCTTATATGGAAAATGCGAATAATATGAATTTTTTGAATAGGTGTGATACACTGTTGATCTCAGGAGATTGAAAGATCTCAAAATCCATAATTAAAAATTAAATATTTAGAGATAAGAAGTTGTTAATATCAGTTCAAAGACGAAACGTCGGTTTGAAAATCTGGTATCACCACCTTATAGAACAGAAAAAGTAGCAATGAGACTGTGTAATTTGTTTTGTTGCATCTATTCAAATAAGGTCATGAATAAATAGAATTGTAATCGCGAATATTAAAATTTTTCCAAAAATCTTTGTGGAACTTTTCAATTTTCAAAACGGCATTTTGTTAGGCGTGAAATTGCGCAATTTTGACATGATTTAACTGACCTTGTATCTCATATGGTTCACGAGATCCAAATGATGAGGCTTGTATTCCAGCCACCCTGTATACTCATGGCAGAAAGTAAAAAAAATGTGATGAAAATGTACAAAATCATCAAAAATGATGATTTTGACGAATTATTCGTAAAATCAAATCAAGTCAGAATAGTAAATTCCTTACCTATATACAGGGTGTTGCGAAATTCGACCGACAAAGCTTGACATGTGATAGCCCTGGTGATTTCATAATCACTGAGATAGGGACATATGGTCTTCAAGTGTTCAGTTCTCGAGATACAGGGCGTTGAAGTTGAGAAATTAAAATAGTTTTTTCGCAATATTCAAGAAAAATTGAATATAATGCATTCAAATTCGGTATATGGTTTCATCTTTCAATGGTTAATTTTTTGACCAGAAAGACATTCCGAGAATTTCATCCGGTATTGCGCTACAGAGGGTTGTGATAACTTTTCCTCCCATATTTTCTACGCCACTAATGATATTTCAATTATTTCCAATTTGTCGAATTGATTGTTCAATTATATTCAATAAATGCATCACCCTCAACTGAGCTAAAATGAACAGTTATCGAGATATTTGACCCAAAATAGAAGTTTGCATAGTAATTTTTCATCTTCCTCAGTAGTAGAAAATTACAAAAAATTGTGTTTTCTCTTTATGCGTGGAATAACTATTACTGTTCAGCTATAGAATGAGATCTGAATAGTATCTAATCTACTCAACACCTGAAAAATATTTTTGCAATTCTCTACTACTGAAAATGATGAAATATTACTATGCAATCTTCTATTTTGAGTCGAATATCTCGAAAACTGTTCATTTCAGCTCAGTTGAAGGTGATGCATTTTCTGAACAAAATTGAACAATGAATTCGAGGAATTGGAAATAATCGAAATTTAATCAGTGGCGTAGAAAATATGGGAGGAAAAGTTGCCACAACCCCCTGTAGGGCACCACTGGATAAAATGTCCAGAATGGCTTCCTGGTCAAAAAATTACCCATTCAAAGATGAAACCATATACCGACGTTGAATGCATTATATTCAAGTATTCTTGAGATATTGCGAAACAACTATTTTTATTTCTGATCTTTAACGCCCTGTATCTCGAGAACTGAATACTTGAAGACCGTATGTCCCTATCTCAGTGATGATGATATCACGAGGGCTATCACCTGTCAAGCGTTGTCGGTCGAATTTCGCAACACCCTGTATACTTTCCTGATGTACAGTTATTATAAACATTCCAAAAACATAATATTTTGTTTCTAGAGTTTGGAACAGATCATATTTCTGATTTTGCACTAATCTTGTCTTCATGTGAGGATGTGATATCTGCAGAGATACCGAAAAATCTTGAGGAAATAGCCAAGGAAATTAAAAATCAAGGAAACTCAGAAGAGTTCTGTACTATGAAGAAGGAATTGGGAATTGATTGGATTGAGAAAAATTGCCCTGCAGCCAACAAATTATTACAAATTTTTTTGAAAAATCATGGCCACAGAAGTTTGGGAGAGGTATTTTATCAATGATAAATTTTTAATATACAGGGAAAAACTAGAATGAAACGTCACAAAAGCTTCACAAATGCGTCAATGCAGTTGTTCATGTTTTTTCAACACTTTTGTATATCCAGCATTGGGGAAAAAGATGTCCAATAGGCGAGTGGATTATTTTTTTATTTCTTAAATAGAATGATCACTCAGATACCTTTCAATTTCATATTTTTTAAGAATTTTTCGGTCGATTTTTAGGTGCTAGAACCATCAACAATGCCACGGTAATTTTCAAACGGCTAGAAATTTATCATATACAGTGTGTCCCACTTACCATGCTCACCATGGGTATCTTTTTAACGGTGAGAGATACGAGGTCGGTTAAATGACACCAAATGTGGAGTTTGTCAAGGCCAACTATAATGTGAAAAAATATTTTGATAAAATCTATTCGTTTTTGTTTTATACGCAAAAAACAGATTTTGATTATTTTCATGTCTCCTCCGTAACTTCTTTATTTATGAAAATATTCAAATAGGAATTTCACATTCTCATGGCAGTTTTTCAAAGCGATTTCGAAAAAAATATGAAATTTATACCAACTCTTCTAGAATTTGAGATATCAGCACCAACTTTAGTTTTTCAAATGTAGGTCATAGCTCACTATGACTTAGTACAAATAACTTTTTTTTTCTTACCGATGATATGTCGCAGTAATAGTTTTGTGTTAATAACAACGGAGTTATCGTCATTTATACAAAACAAAAAATTATTTGGAAGCCGCCATCTTGAATTTATAAATTTTAACGAAAAAAATCATGATCTCCGACCTCAAAAACCCCCATTTACCAATTTTGAATGGAATCGGACCAATTCTTGTCCGCCATCTTGGAGCAGCCATTTTTTTTAATTCCAACAAAAATCCCATAATGTATTGTCTCCAAAATTATGAACACCTGCCAAATTCCCAGCTAATTGGAGTCATGGAATATTTGTTGAATTAAAAAAAAATGGCTGCTCCAAGATGGCGGACAAGATTTGGTCCGATTCCATTCAAAATTGGTAAATGGGGGTTTTTGAGGTCGGGGATCATGATTTTTTTCGTTAAAATTTATAAATTCAAGATGGCGGCTTCCAAATAATTTTTTTTTGCATAAATGACGATAACTCCGTTGTTATCAACACAAAACTATTACTGCGACATATCATCGGTAAGAGAAAAAAAAAGTTATTTGTAATTAAGTCATAGTGAGCTATGACCTAAATTTGAAAAACTAAAGTTGGTGCTGATATCTCAAATTCTAGAAGAGTTGGTATAAATTTCATATTTTTTTCGAAATCACTTTGAAAAACTGCCATGAGAATGTGAAATTTCTATTTGAATATTTTCATAAATAAAGAAGTTACGGAGGAGACATGAAAATGATCAAAATCTGTTTTTTGCGTATAAAACAAAAACGAATAGATTTTATCAAAATATTTTTTCACATTATAGTTGGCCTTGACAAACTCCACATTTGGTGTCATTTAACCGACCTCGTATCTCTCACCGTTGAAAATATACCCATGGTGAGCATGGTAAGTGGGACACACTGTATAATACCACAAGTGATAATATTTTGCCGGAAATATTCGGTGATTGTTACGACAGCTTGTTGCCTAGTAATTTCGTGAATGACATTTTTATCAAAACTACGAGCTGTAGGCGAGTAGTTTTGGATCAATGTCATGAGCGAAATTAGAGCAGCAAGCTGGAGAATGTCAATCGACAAACATTTCTAGGAAAAATAGTATCACGAGTTGTATTCGTATGACTATTTCATGATTGAATGAGACAATATATATGATATAGGAAACATAATTTGAGTCTATTCCAACTCAAACTGCGAAGAAGGACATAATGATAGTGATGAAATACAGAATTCAATTTTTTAGAAATTAACTACCTACTTATAGTTATTCACAAAGTGGAATGTACAATTTTGATAAGTATTTTTTTTATAATCTTGGAGATGGTTGCTCTCAAAAGAGTGTATACAAGTGCTATCCAATAAAAAAAAAATGAATTGAATTTATGTGACATGAAATAATTTAAAAAAAGATATCGTTGCCGAGGGGCTCGAACCACCGACCTTCGCATCATCGCGCAACAACTCTATCAGTTGCGCTATCACAATAACTTGAGTAATTGAAGAAGATCACTTTAAAAAGGAATTTGAATTCTAGTATTGTTGTGTCAGACCGTCAACAAATATGCAATCTTTTCAAATTACACATGAAACGTCCAGCCAGAATAAAATTGTCTCGCCTTTCGTACAAAATGTCTCACTAACGCAAATTATAAGTAAATAAAATAAAGTAGGAACTCAGGTTATTGTCTCAGATTTGAATCCAAAGCATTCTTGACCAGACACGATGTCAAAATTGTATCGCTGATGAACGAGGTTTGTTGGTCACGTGTGGGTCAATTCGGCTTCTGTATTGGTAGAGCAAGTCCGATAAAATTTAATAAACACAAAATATCGCTAGAATACAGAAGAAACCATGAAAATGGTCGATTCTGATTGGTTCTCGAGATCAAGAGTGGAATAGTCACCAAAATACGAGCCAAAATACTGACTAATATGGATTGAAACTTTTGATGATGTGTTCTAGTTCGAGGTTATCACAGAATCTTGGGCAGAGAATCCATCAGCACTCATACCCATGATTCAGTCAAATATAAAACACGGAAGGAACGTTGAAAAAGTAAAAATGTCTTTGGATGACGTCCTCGCCAATCTTACTTCACCAAAAAAGAGCTCTACAAGGTAATAGTTATTTAACCAACTAGTGTATTAATCGCCTTTTAATATACAAGTTGGTTACAAAATTTTTCCGTCGACTATGTTTCTCATTACTCCTGCAATGAAGAAAACTTGGTTCGCGAATTCATCATTCATCCGGAAACTGCTAAGCATCACCCAGTAGCCTTGTTACTGACAAAAGTGACATTTTACATTTGTTGAAATGATCAACATAGAAAATAAATTCCTTGTGTTAGAAAACAGAGATTAAAATCGTGTCAGAAACTTGGAAAGGCGAACCCGCGTTAACGGAAAATCTTCGATGAAATCCATATTTTCGATTTAAATGCAGATTCCGTAAGTTATAGCATAAAACAATGAATGCACGCGGTGTATGTTTGGTTGCCTATAAAACAATCGTGCATTAATAGACAAATCGTTCATTAATAGGGGGTCATTAATGAACGATTTCATATACATTAAACTTAGTCGTTAATACGAGGTCGACGGAAAAATAATTTTATTGTTGGATTTCCAGGATAAGTAGCAAATATTGAATTTTTCAAGGTACATCATCAAGTTTCTGATAAATAAATTGAGGGTGGCTGTAGGTTGTCGAGAACAAACCAAATCAGAACTTGTAAGAGGATTTGATAAATTGAGAATGGCTTATAGACATCTGAGCCAGAGAATGGTATCAGAAGGTCTGCTACCATCCAAGGACCTTATCTACCATCTGACACATGAGGAAATTCAGAAAATTATTCAAAAAAGGGATCCAGTACTTATAAACAAGTATGGAAAGCAGATTTAATATTTTATTCTATCCTAAAATCGGGTGGTTGAGGGGTTATTATTTCCATCTCAAAAATATTTCAAAATGTTGCATGTATGAATAATATTTGATGTGCTTCATCTTTGGAATAAAATTCGGTAAAACTGCATTTATCATGCATTTGGTACTTACGTATTTTCGTCTAAAAAATACGAATTTGATGATGAAAATGTGAACAAACCATTATTTATTGAGATATTTCACTATAAAGTTACAAATTTCACCTTCTTTTACGCCTGTTTTCTGGATCGCATTTAGAACAATTTGCCCTTCTTCTTTCATCATTGGACAATTTATATATATACAGGGTGTGCGCTGAAAGGAGGTCAATCCATTGACCATATATTCCTTGAACAAAAACAATATGACTTCCTGAATACCAATTTTCATTTTAGCACTTCATATTCGATATACAGGGTCAAAATTGGAAATTATAAACTGTTTTTTAAATTACTCGCGTATTTAATAAGATATTAATCTCAAAATTGGTACATTACTTCAGCACAAAGAGTTACATCGTATGAGGAAAACAAAACAGAAAATAACTGTCAAATATTCAAAATACTGGGGTTCAAGTACACACTTACCCTCATATTTTTTTTGTACGTGCGCTAATGACTTCCTATCTATTTTTCTTCAAGTGTTCAATCATTTTTGAGTATTTTTTGTCTCTTGTGAAATTTCGATAAAATTATCTGTTTTTGAGATAATTCGAAAAGTACTGGTTATTGTTTGATGCCTATGCGGCTAGGGGTAATCTTATAATATTCACATACTCCTATTTATTTCGTCAAAATTGGAAGAGGGCGTAACTTTTTACGCACGAAAAGGTGAATATGGAAATACCGGGTGCTCAGAGCGAATGTATTAAAATAATAATAAATGAATGGATAGAAATTCAACACATTTAATTTAATTTCCAACTTTGACACCCTGTATATCGAATATGAAGGGATAAAATGAAAAATTGTATTCAGAAACTCATATTATTTTCGTTCAAGGAATATATGGTTAATGGATTGACTTCCTTTTAGCGGACACCCTGTATATCACAATATACGACACATTTTTTTCTATTATATGAGTCAACTAGAAATATGATTTTCTTGTGATTCTCGCCATAAAAATCATATTTCCTGTTGAATTTTCTATATAAAAATGTGTCATTAAAGTACACCATGAGCATAAAAAGTGTCCAATGACAAAATCAGAAGAGCAAATACTCGAGCAAATAGCTGTAAATGCATCCAACACAAGGGGAAAAAGAAGGTGAAATTTCGAACTTTTTCTTGAAATATCCCGACAAATAGTGGTTTGTTCACATTTTCATTATCAAATTCATGTTTTTCAGACAAAAATACGTCAGTACCAAGAAAAATATTTGAAAAAAAAAATCACATGATAAATGCAGTTTTACCTAAAATTCAACACTTAACCCCAGCCATATTTTCAGTCTCACCAGTTGGAGCTACTAAAACATGAGGTCAATGTGGTCCATTTGAACAAATAGAAAAACACTTGAGCAGGCTTCCGTTTTTTTCCAGGTTTTTCTCCATTCTTCTACTTCATAAAAACCCAAATTATTTTGTAAACTCCACAACAGGGGGTGATTGTTGGAAAGAAATAGACAGAACTTAACATAACCAAAAAAACACAAGTTCATCTGAAGTCTGACCCACAACAAAATGTATCAATTTATTTGTGTATTTGTTCTACTTATGTTGTATCACCTCAAACATTCTATGGTAAAGAAGAAAGTCTTGAGAGTATAAGGCTCAAAGGCTCAGAATGATTTATAAATTACTTCAACTTAGATTATGTTAGAGCTTTCTTTGGAAATCTTCATAAAATAGGCAGTTAAATATGTAATCATTGTTTTTTCTGCAACATCAAATGATAATACAATTCTTCACTGATACATGCACACTCAATGTTCATTTTCAATTCAGATTCATAAATACAGGGTATCCCTAACAGGTATGACTGATAAAGACAATCACTTCATCATATGTTCATGTTTCAGAGCAATAAGAAGACAAAAATTATACACAAAATGGAACAGTTTGAAATTCCCTGAAATCATGTATGGCATTCCTGCTCCAGAACCAGAATCAGAAACTGGTTTTCAAATAAATCCTTTGACAAAAAAATGTAAAGGAACTCCAGTGTGCACAGGAGTGGTACAAGCAAGGGCATGTGTAATAAACAGTTTGCAGGAAATTGGTCAACTTCAAACAGGTTGAATAACTAAAAATCATTTGATACTCAGTAATAACCCATTTTTTATGTTTCTCCTCTATTTCAGGTGACATTCTGATAACTTATAGTACAGACATTGGTTGGTCACCATATTTTCCAATGCTTTCTGGTATAGTTACAGAATTAGGTGGTTTAATATCTCATGGTAATAATACAATGTGTGAAACAATTTCCATTTGTATGAATTTTTTCAACTTTCAGGAGCTGTTGTGGCTAGAGAATATGGATTACCCTGTATAGTAGGAGTGCAGAATGCAACAAAGTATTTCACAACAGGTGAAATTCTAGTACTGAATGGAAAAACAGGAGAATTAGGAAAATTGTGATAAAGGCTCAGATATACCTAGGTAATTAACCAAATTTCTAGAGGATTAGTGAAATAAATGTTTCACTAATTCATCAAATTCAACAAGAACTCAAGTTATTTATTATATACATACATTAATAAAATGCTACTAACAGAAAAACTTACATAATTTCCTAAATCTGATCCACCAAATTGAAATTCTTGTGCTGAGGTGAAGGTATAACATTGAAATACTTCTTGTAAAACTCGGTCCCTTGTCTGTGTCCATGGCACCTCTGCACCCATGTGTGCTCCCAATTCGGATCTGCCTTTTCACAAGTTACCATCACTCTTCCAGGAATGATGGCAAACAATGTTCCATTCCTACCTAGCCCCACGTTCAGTCCTGGATGGAAACGCAAATGGCGCTGTAATGCCAGTATTCTTCCGGCTTGTACATAGAAACCGTCCTGTACTTTCCATCCCCTATGCTTTGGTCTGACTTTGGGACTGGTGTTTTTGGTACTTCCACTGGTCTTTTTACTGGCGAATCTGAGACTGTTTTGGAAGATTTTAGATGTCTCCAAGAGACAGTTTTTCACTGATGATACTGCGAAATTCATCATTTAATCCAAATAATTGAAATAAGTGTATGAAAAATCAAATATATCATAAACATAACCAAACAATATCTCTCTTCTTTTTCTTTGTGCTCACGCTCTCACGTAGACTGGGGATTGAGGAACCTGTGTTTCAGAAATTCAGAGAATGATTCTGGAGATTGAAGTAAATAGTAAAAACACAGAAGAAGAACCGATACATAACCTAACCTTGTTTCTTCATAACAACAACAACAAACTAGATTTTTTATTATAATATGGTTTATTTATTCAAAAATTGATAATGAAGCATCGAATCACACCACTGCGGTTCATACAGAAAAATTGGCTTCTAGTGGGTATACTGATATGCATATTACTAGCTGGAATATATCCTGAACTTGGATCCAAAGAAGGTCAGCAAATTTGAAAAGTAAAAGTACAATATATCCATTACTTTTACTCACTTTTCAGGACCTTTACGTACTGAGTATACTGTTAAATATGGAGCCGTTTTTCTAATATTTTTTATAAGTGGATTGTCTTTGAAAACTGAAGCAATTTTCCATACATTCCAAAGGCACAAGTTGCATTCCTTCATACAGATTTTCACATTCATATTCATTCCAATATTTACACAAGCTTTTATCAGAATAGTATCAATTTTCAGAGTGAATGTTTGGATACTGAAAGGGTGAGTACTTCAGTGGTATTTCATTATTTATTGGGTGCTTTATAAAAAAGTGTCAGGTTAATTACAGTAGCATGTATGCCTCCTCCTGTATCCAGTGCAGTTATTTTGACTAGAGCTGCCCAAGGAAATGAAACAGCTGCTATATTCAACTCAATATTGGGAAGTTTTCTAGGAATTATTATAACTCCTCTACTATTACTGTTCAATGTAAGACTGATCTGTTATGATATAAAGCATAGCACAACTAATCTTCTATTTCTAGTTGGGGTCTACTACTGTTGTTCCACTATTAGACACAGTGATTCAGCTTCTTACAACAGTGGTTATTCCACTTGTACTAGGCCAAGGCATTATAAAATTCACAAGCTTTAGAGGTCATACTTTACCTTTGAATGCTGTTAGCCAGTGTGCCCTTTTATTTGTAATATACACTACATTTTGTGATACTTTTCTTGTACCAGAAAGTGGGATGTCTGCTTTGGATGTTATATTCACAGTTTTTTCAGGTACTAGTTATACAAGCTCTACAGAAGGTTGCATTAATTACTTATATGTATTATTTGTTTCCAGTGTTGATATTACAAGTGATTCTTATGTTCCTCAGTTTCAAATTTGCAAGCAGTATGAAAAAGCATTTTGATGCACAAGACATCATTGCTATTGTTTTCTGTTCAACACATAAATCTTTGACATTGGGTAAGACATGCCCACTTAGTTTGAAGAAAATTTAGTGGCTACTGATGAAATAATTAATTTCAGGCATTCCAATTCTCAGGATAATGTTCCATGGTTATTCCCATTTGAGTCAGATAAGTTTACCTCTGTTGGTTTATCATCCCACCCAAATTATTCTAGGTGGATTGATGGTGTCTCAGCTCAAGGACTGGGTGCATTCTCAGAGAGTTAAAAGACCACCAGTGTGATTTGCTAATATTAGGTATTTATTATTTTTTATATTATCATAGGGATAAACAACTAAGAGTGATAAATAAATGAGTCTTTTCTGGCCCATGATAACTATTATTCTGAAAATGGTACATTTAATGTATGACACAGGAGGACAACTTAAATTCATCAGAATAATTTGTAAATCTAGCAATTCACATTTTTTAAATGTTATTTCATACAAGGAGAATTACATTTTACATTCTAATTTCCGAACAAAAAACCGGCTATTTCCGAAGGCAAGACAAAAATTACTTCTTGGCAGATACTATCTTTTCGTCGGCAAACACTTTTCGTCTGCTGCAGTGTTGCCAGTTCTACTGATTTTTCAGCAGATCTGATTTGCATATTGATCTACTGAAACATTTCATAATTTACTGAAACATATTTTTACACCTATTTATTATTATAATTACCCATATTATTATTAATCTTCAGTTAATCATATACACTCATAAATTGCATGATATTTCATTCAGCATGCTTTGTTTGAATTAATTTTACAAAATGAGTAAAAAATGTACATATATACTAATGATATGTATGAACTCAAAAAGGATGAAGATGAAATTCAATCTTTTATATATCTCTGTTATAACAGTTTGTTTGAGAGTTCGTTATTTTTATGTTCAATTTTCTGATTTTGTATTTTTGTTGTTGATTTTTACTATTTTTTCCTGTTTTTTATGTACTCAAATCTCATACCAACAGCCTTCGAAAATTTTCAAATTTTTTTTAGTTTTTTAGTGATATCGAAAAAAGTGAATATTTGGAATATCTGTTATTTTTTCTCCACGTTATTATTGGAGATACAGGAAAACTAAATACTTTATCATAGCAACTTTTGATGACGTTTAACGTGGTGATACCGATTTTTCTATGCGACGTTTCGTATTCGTAGAACCATCATCAACTTTTGTTTTTTAAATACGGCCCTGATAATTCTTTCACAGATTCTGAAAGCTTTTTATATTCTGAATTCAACCATGTATTATACAAGGTGGTTTGAATGTGTTTCGAACTATTTTTAGCCATCATCAATGTTTTTTTCGAAATTCCAAAGGAAAAATGCCATCAGTTCCACTTGAACTCTGCAATGCTACCAACGTGACCGCATTGAAATATAGAGAGGTCCGATAAATATTTCCTTGTCTAACATTTACTTTGTGCCGCTGAACTATATTTCAATTCAGGCTATATTCCGAATTCAACTGACAGTACTGAATCTGCTGAATTTTCATTCCGAAATCAATAAAATTGACTGAGAGTGACAGATACTCGTGAGCAGATATACTATTCATTCCAAATATTTCCACTCAACATCATATACGTATTAATAATCAATACGGATAATCTCTATCTGTTTCCATAGCGAAACATGAAGCCGATTTTTGAAGACAAATGACTATCCATAAGGAAAAGTTTTGAAACGATCAGACACATACTGCTTTGATTGAAAGGCTAGTAAACGTCAGTGTCCACCGAAACGCATGTCTTTGATGACTACTATAATAGCGCATGGCGCATGCGTATCATGCCACCAAATCCTTATGGATATTCATTTGTTTCATATTTTTGGCTTCATCCTGGCACCCGTTATGATCCGTATTGTTTATTAATACGTATATGCTCAACATTCTGCTGAAATTGCTGACTATCAAAAGGTAGTGTGGCTTCAGTGAACTGTCATTATTTTTGAGGGGAAAGGAATCACACATTAATTTCCGTTGTTTTTCATACATTTGTCTTGGCTTATCAATAATACATTAATAATATCATATTGATATCAGAAAATACCTGCTATTTATTTAGCTCAAGCAGGAGCATCTGCCAGATCAATGACAACTGACAAATTTCACCAGCTGATCAACTGCTGCTGATTACTATGAAAACGTGTTTCGAATTACAGCACTGTATTTTTGATTTTATATTTCGGAACACAGCTTTTCAGCAGAGTCAGTGGATCTACTGACAGTACTGACCAGTTGAATTCGGAATATAGCCTCAGCAGTGTCAAATTTAACGATATTGACAAATTTTGTCAAAGTATCGATATAAATGAAAATTTCATTTTGAAAATTCGAAATGTCATCAGTCAATGACATATATATGACAGACATATCACGTCATTATAATAACGAAAATAGTTCAGTGGCGCAGACTAGAGGTTAGACAAGGAAAGATTTATCGGACCTCTCTACATTTCAATGCGGCCAGGTTGGTAGCATTGAAGAGGAAGATGGAAGAGGAGAGAATTTTCGTCTCCCTTGTTCAAGGTAGGAAAGAGCTCAATTGATTTCAGAAATCAGAATGGAAAGAAAGCTAGTGTTCTTGGTATTAGCCAGGAAAGTTGTTTTCTGTTAGATATTTCAATAATGCTTTCCTCATTTCTCAAAAAAAATGTACAACAATAATTTGATTCAACATGTTAATGGATTATCCCATATGCCTATATATGAATGACTTCATACTGTAATAAACTAGGTTCGGATTTATTTAGGTAAACTTTCAACAGCTATAGAGATGGGATTACATGAGAAATATTTTATTGTTCCCTGCTTGCTCAATTCTCTCTCTCTTCCTTGTAGAGATACAATCAAACTTCATTGGAGGATCACAGGAAATTGTCTTTCCTATTCACGCATCTTCATCTGCCCAGGGTTCCCTATTCCTTTTATAGTATGACTTGTCCAAATCTCGTTGTTGACGGTATTGCTTCTTCTTCTTCTCATCTTTCGGACATTGCTTGCTTGGTTTTCTCGTACTCGTACAAGGTGGGGGATTGCCTTTGTCATGCTCTTTGATTAGATGAACGTCGGGCTGCGATAAGAAAATTATGATGTCAAATATGTGTCCACAAAACATAACTTCCTTATAAAAATCCACTCACATAATACTGGGATCGAAAAATGAAAATGAATTTTGATAACTGCAGTCAGTGCAATTATCAATCATTATGACAATATGATCGACTTGTTGTTGTTGTTCTTTATTACCCCAAGGAACATTTGTTTACAATAGGGATATACAGGGTGTCCCAAAATTGCTGGAACACAGAGCTACTACGTGTAGAGGAGGTCAAAATAAGTTGTTTGGGCCCAATTTATTTATGTGCCAAAATGTACCGTTTGTCCGTGAGAAGGGTTCAAAGTTCACTTGAAAAAACACATTTTTGAACGCTGTTCAGGAATAAGTGGAACGAATTTGATGAATGGTACCCGCGGTAATAACAAAATTGAAGAATTTATTGAAACATTTACAGACAACGTCAACAACAAACTTGAATGACAATAAATTTGTTTCCTGTCGAAATCACGACTTGCCTTCGTTTCCACTGCCAACTAAGTTTTATATCACAATTTAATTAAACTTGTACTATAGGAATATCTGGTAGCATTATTTGAGAGAACATTTTTTTTCTTCGAAACTATTTGGTATACGAAATTTTTACAAGAGTGATAAAATGAAGGTAATTGATGAGTCTTCAAGCTCAAAAAATTTCAGAACCGTATCATGACCCTCAAAAAAGTTCTGAAGAAAACGTCAGGGGGTGAGGGTGGTTTCAACCATTCTACAATTTCTTTTAGGTTTCTTAGATTACCAAAAGGAAAGTAATCCTCTGAAATACACTATTGCCAAATTTCATCAAATTCGTTCCACTTATTCCTGAACAGCGTACAAAAATGTGTTTTTTCAAGTGAACTTTGAACCTTTCTCACGGACAAACGGTACATTTTGGCACATAAATAAATTGGGTCCAATCAACTTATTTTGACCTTCTCTACACGTGGTAGCTCTGTGTCCCAGCAATTTTGGGACACCCTGTATAAACATATGATATACAGGGTTTCCCAAAAGAACCGGAACGGTCGAATATTTCAGCAACGACTTGACTTAAAAATATGAAATTTGGTATACGGGGGTTATCAGTAGTGCTGGATCTGAAAATAATATTTGCAACGTTGCCAGATTTACAGTTTTACCTATGGATCCCTCAACTTTATTTTTTCGAATGTAATGCTATATATATTTTCAGCGCATTTCAAAGTATTCATATTTTCGTTTTATACAGACGAGGAGAAAATCTCAAAAAAATCTGGAATAATAGACATTTTTTGTTCATTCAAGTTACAAATATTCATAGTGCTATATAATGTGAATGTATATTTACTTACATCCGAAAATTAAACAAGATAGCAATATATTTCATCAGCTGTTTTTAAAATTCATTCAATAATCTGGGTTGTCCGGAACATAAACCTTCGGTTTGTGTCTTCGCTTCTTGTTTCCTTTTTTAGCATCTTTGCAGCAAGGATCCTTCGGCATGTAATTTTTCTGAAAAATATCACACAATCACTGTGATTTTGAAATCTTCAAAGGGCTCATGAGGAACTTGCATTTTTAATTTCCAAGAGAGAAAACCACCAATCAATGTTGACATAAAAAGGCAAGTTCCCTATGCCGCATAATCAACATGCAATAAAGTATGAACTTACCTTGAATCATCATGTATAAATTCAAACAGAAATAGGCACTGCACATGGGGAACTTGTCGATTTAAAAATGCAAGTGAGCACTCAAAACAAGCCCCAAAGTTAGTAGTATTACTCGCACTACATTGGTTTCAAACAAATGGAAAACTTTTCTATCATTGATTTCTCAGAAAAGTGGGATTTTTTCGTGTTGTGAATAATGGGGAAGTTTCCTACATTGAGGTTTTCATCTCACTGTGAAGTTTGTAAAAAAATAATATACAGAGTGGGCCTTTGAAAACGAAACAGAGGCTCTGTAGGTCGCCAAAACCGGATTATGAAAAAAATCTGAAACACGTCAACTACATTTTCGAGGGGGACATCGTACTACAATATTTTCAGCCCTGCGGCGTTGCCGCTGCTAACGAAAAGAAGCAACAACTTTGTTAAATTATTTCAAATGGAACACCTTGTATTTTAATGCATTTTTAGATTCTCCCCGAAGAGCTGATTTCATCAATGCATCACACTTGGGGTCTAGCTGTAATGGTTTCAGGGATATAAAGTGTTCAAAATCGAGATTTTTCAACTTTAACATTTTTTTGTGTCGAAACTATTCATTATTGGTCAAAACGACTCCCATGTCCCTATCTCAACTTGTGATCCACTATCTACTAACATTCAATTGGAACAGATACAGGGTGATCAGAATTTTGAATCTTGAACCACCCTGTATTTGTTTCAAATAAATGTCAGTAGATAGTAAATCACAAGTTGAGATAGCGACATGAGAGCCGTTTTGACCAATAATGAATAGTTTCGACACAAAAAAAATGTTGAAGTTGAAAAATCTCGATTTTGAACACTTTATATCCCTGAAACCGATACAGCTAGACCCCAAGTGTGATGCATTGATGAAATCAGCTCTTCGGGGAGAACCTAAAAATGCAATAAAATACAAGGTGTTCCATTTGAAATAACAAAGTTGTTGCTTCTTTTCGTTAGAAGCGGCAACGCCGCAGGGCTGAAAATATTTTAGAAAGATGTCCCCCTCGAAAATGTAGTTGACCTGTTTCAGTTTTTTTTTGATAATCCGGTTTTGGCTACCTACAGAGCCTCTGTTTCGTTTTCAAAGGCCCACTCTGTATACGTGTTTTTCCTTTTTTTCGTAAGATCAAATTTCACTTCAGAAAAAAAATAATAAAGGGGGAACTTGGCTCCTCCACCATTCCTTTGACGTACTTACTGAAAATCCACATTCACACAGAGGTGAAATACGATTCCCTGTGCCAGTACGACGTTGCCGATATCATCAATATATCTAGATTTCCGGAAATCGTTCTTTGAACGCATAATAACTATATCATAACAGCAATGGGATATAATAGGTTCCTACTTTGTCAAGTATTATGAATAATTCCCATAAATCTCTCATTCGCTGAATGAATTTGATTACTAATAAAGATAAATTCTGATATTTTGCGATAGCATCTATAATCTTCTACTATCGTTATATTACAATATGGTATTTATAGCTTGTTAGTCATGTTTTGTTAATTAACTCGTTTCTTAATGAAACCGATCTATTTTTCAAGAAAGTCGCAGATTATATTTTGCAACAGCGCCTAATACTTCGAGTCCGTCCACACCGCACTCAAAATACTGACATGGCACAACAAGAGGAAGTAGCCATGGGTGTCGGCTTCATTTTGTTCTGACCGATGACAGTAAATTAGGAAGGATAGTATCATTGAATGTAGCCGATAGTGATTCATTGATTCAATGATTTTTTCGAGTAAGATCGAGCTCTATTGGAGATATTTCAATACATAAATAACAAAACCATAACCTGTCAGAATGAAGCCAACTACCCTCTGCATTCCTGCTCCGAGTGCATTTGTGGTTATGTATGTTTTTGTTTATCAGTTTTACTTCTTCTATTTTTTTCATTCGTTTTTCATTCGTTAGCTATTCGCTAGGTATAGTATTCACCATCAGCTTTTTTCAGACTAGATTCAGAAAATTAGGAATTGGTTTAATTTGAAAATGAAAACGACTTGGGCTTTATCGTTCGCCATTCTGTACAGCGTGGACATAAAACTGGAGAGTTCCGAACTTATTTTATGAAAATTCATTTGAAAGAAACTTTCCCATTGGTCTAACCCCGTGTCTGAATATTTAAAAATCGTTTGCACATTTAAGAAGATCTTTCACAACAGTTGGAAATATACAGGGTGTTTCATTCGAAAAAACTGATTTGGACCCTTTTTTCATTTCACGAAACGCATTTGTGTATTTAAGGAGTGCCAAAAGATAGTACAGATGGAACCTTACAACTTTCATACTTGAATTTTTTTCCACCTCGTACAGTTGAAGCTGTATGTAGGGGTCAAAATATAAGGAGGTTAACTCTAGACAAATTTATGAATAATGAAATTGACTAAATATACCAGTCCCTGTGGGAAACACTTTTCGGAGAAATCAATAAATAAGTTGACCATGATTTTCAAACATTATGACACTATTTCACTCACATCAATGGTTGTATCCACAACGGGACATTTTTTCTTAGACGGTCCCTTGTTAGCCCCTCCCCTATTGTTCGGACAATTGGTCTCTAATTTGAAAATTACTTTTTCCGAAAATTTGCAAGCGCAATCTTTTCGGCAACCCGACTCTGGACACCCCTCGGGCACATTTTTCCTCTTTTTCCTTCGACATTTCGAATCCTTTTCAATCTGACATTTCTTTTTGCTGACCTTAGCGTAGTCCGCCTGATCTTTGTCAAATGGCAACTAAAATGAGATAGTGAAGTTGCACAAAAAAAATAGTAGGCCGATTTCAACTTTTTTTTATCTGTTGGTAGGTAATGCATTTGTCTTTGAAACAAAAATAAAGAGGTGAACATTTTTTCAAAGCCTTGATGGTGATGGAATAACTCGAACCATGATTTATTCTTAAATTTTGACTCACCCTGTGTGTTAATTGAGTAATGGCCTAGAAAGTGCTTGCACCCTATACGAAAGAGGCTTCTTTTGCGAGCATTTTGTTTTCTTATTCATTGATTTATTTCTAAAATTTTCCGAATTACAGCTTTTTTGCTGATACCTTACGCTTATCCCACAAATTAAATTTATTAAAGGATCAGAGTACTCAAAATTGATTGGGTTGTAATCTGGTAGGATCACATTGTCTTTAAAAAAACAAATGCCGTTGCCATAGCAACTAATTTGTTGTATGCCTCCATATTTGACCATTTGTCGTTGTGTCATTAATTAAGTGTCTTGTTTTATTGACTAAAATTACATAAAATGCCTCAAATAAATCCTGAACAAGTAGCAAGATTAGTTGCGTTAGTAAACGATGGACGTAGTAAACGTTACGCCGCTCGTGCAGTGCGAGTTCATGAAGCAACTGCTCGTAGAGCAATCCGCAAGTACGAACAAACAGGAAGCACCGCTCGGAGGTCGGTGCTGGTCGCTCCCGAAAAACTTCTCCAAGAGATGATCGCTTCTTGAGATTGCGGATTTTACGGAATCGATCAAATACTGCGGTAAATGTTCAGCAAGATCTTCGCCAAATTCGTGATGTTGCAGTAAGTAAGCAGACGGTATATAGACGTCTAAAAGAAGTTAATTTAAAAGCTAGGAGACCTGCCAAAGGTCCCAAATTATTGCCCGAACATCGTGCTGCTAGAAGAAATTTTGTTGAAAATTATGGACAGTGGAATATTCCTGAATGGTCTAATGTCTTGTTCACGGATGAGTCAAGGTTTTGCCCTAACATGGTGGATTGAAGAAAAATAGTGTGGAGAAGAACTGGTGAACGGTTCAATCAAAATTTAATAACAGAATGCGAAAGTTTTAATGGTGGGTCCGTTATGGTGTGGGGAGTGATTTAAATGAATGGAAAGACACCCCTTCATGTTTTTCCGGTGAGGCAGTCGATGAATGCCCAAATTCACATTGACATTTTAGAGCAGTATGTCTTACCTTATGCAGAGTTAGTGGGCAATAATTTTATATTGATGCAGGATAATGCCCGACCACACACCGCAGCAATAGTGCGAAACTTCTTAGAAACTACTGGTATTACCGCATTACAATGGCCTGCGAGAAGCCCCGATTTGAATCATATAGAACATTTGCGGGATGAATTAGGGGGAAGGGTACGTTCTCGCGAGAGGGCTCCGGAAAGTCTCGCAGAAATGGCAGATGCATTAGTGGAAGAATGGGATCGTATACCAATGGAAACGATAAGCAACTTAATTTCCAGTATGCCTCGTAGATTAGAAGTTCTTAGAGTTGCTATAGGAGGCAATACACGGTATTAAGCAGTCATCCCAATTTATAATTTTGTGTTCAATAAAAATGGTTTTCAAAATTATTGGTATCAGTTTATTTCATTAGAAAATTGTTTCTCGATGAATTCAGAAAGTTGGTAATCTGCAAGGATTCAGCAAAAAAGCTGTAGTTCGGAAAATTTCAGGGATAAATCAATGAATAACAGAACAAAATGCTCGCAAAAGAAGCCTCTTTCGTATAGGGTGTGCACACATTCTATGCCATTACTCAATCAACACACAGGGTGAGTCAAAAATTATGAATGAATCATGGTTCGAGTTATTCCACCACCATCAAGGAGGCTTTAGAAAAATGTTCACCTCTTTATTTTTCTTCCAAAGACAAATGCATTACCTACCAACAAATAAAAAAAAAATGGAAATCGGCCTACTATTTTTTTTTTTAAGAAGATAGGTCAAATATCAAGTGCGTCACTTTTATGGAACTGAGTGTAGTTTGGACACAACAAATCCTAAAGTTGAAAAATCTCGATTTTGAACACCCTACATCTCTGTAATCATTTCTGATAGACCCCAAGTGTGATGTATTGATGAAATCAGCTCTTCAGGGCGAATCTAAAAATGCGATAAAATACAGGGTATTCTATTTGAAATAACAAAGTTGTTGCTACTTTTTGATAGAAGCGGCAACACTGCATTGCTGAAAATATTCTAAATGAAAAGAGCGTATTCTAAAATATAACCATGCATATTTTCATGGATTTCTCCCGACTGATTCTTGATATAGAGATAGGGTAAGCTCGTCTTGACATACCCTGTATGTATACCCACGTATACAGGGTGGGCCACCAGTAACGCCTCGGTCTCTAGAAGGCTAACCACTTATCTTCTTGGAATTCTTCCTCTCTAGGAAGTTGCATGTCAACATAGGCTACCATTTAAAATTATTTCGAAACATACAGGGTGTCCCCAAGAACCATAAAACACTGAAGTTAATCTCTTTTCTATCGAACACCCTATATATTATTTCATTTTGAGATTCTCCCTGATGAGCTGATTTCAACGAGCCATCATACTTGGGGTCTAGCAGTTATAATTACTGGAATATAGGGTGTGAAAAATCGAGATTTTCCAAGTTCAAGAATTTTTCGTGTCGAAACTATTCATAATTGGTCAAAACGGCTTACATGTCCCTATCTCAACTTTTGATTAACTATCTACTGATATTTAATTGGGACATATACCGGGTGATCAAGATTCTGAATACTGCACCACCCTGTATTTGTTTCAATTAAATGTCAGTAGATAGTTGATCAAAAGTTGAGATAGGGACATGAGCCGTTTTGACCAATTATGAATGGTTTAGACACAAAAAAAATTCTTGAACTTGGAAAATCTCGATTTCTCACACCCTATATCTCAGTAATTATAACTGCTAGACCCCAAGTATGATGGATTGTTGAAATCAGCTCACCAGGGAGAATCTCAAAATGAAATAATATATAGGGTGTTCGATAGAAAAAAGTTTAACTTCAGTGTTTTATGGTTTTTGGGGACACCCTGTATGTTTCAAAATAATTTTAAATGGTAGCCTATGTTGACATGCAACTTCCTAGAGAGGAAGAATTCCAAGAAGATGCGTGGTTAGCCTTCTAGAGACCGAGGCGTTACTGGTGGCCCACCCTGTATAATCTAAGATTGAAAGTGACACTCACCTTTTTGATATTTTTCAAATCCAAAACATTCGTCAATGAATTGCTCTCGATAGTGTGCCAAGATTCCGTTGGCACTAAATTTTCTTTTGCGTCCCAAAGTCCGTAGGCCGTAGTAACATTGTCGCATTTTTTCTTTTTCGGTTGCTCAGGGCACTTGTTCTTTTTCTTTTCCTCTTTCTGTTTTTCGCATTTTCCTGGCGGCCGTTTGCAAGGTTCCTAAATAATTTTCCGTTGTAATTTTCTTTAATATGGCGTCTTTTTGTTTCCAATTTTCAGTGATATAATGAAGTATAGTAGATATTTGACTTCAATATATTAAAATTTTGAACCAACTTTGCCTTGATAAAATATTGCTTGCTAATGAGATATACAGGGTGGTCATGAATTCAGCTGACAAAATCATTCTTGACAGCAGCTAGTTTGGAAAATTTTTATGTATACAGGGTTTTCAAAAAAAATCGAACCCCCTTGCTAGGGTAGGTAGAACATTGCAAAATAAGTTGGGTTTGCTCAGTGAACAAATGTCGTAACGGCATCCGTTTTCATGATACAAGGTGTTGAAAACATTATTTTTTTACATACATTTTTCACGATTATTCCGAAACTACTGACAACATTGTAATGAAATGTTGTATGGATGTTTCTTGGAATCTGACACATCGCATGAATTTGTTTTTATATCTGACTCTCATAGATGGCGCTAGTTACACGGTTCGTACCGAGTAGTTTTGAACATAACTTTTTTGAGGTTAGATTTTTCAATCCAAATATGATATGAACTTGAACATCATTCAATTTGACACCAAAAAGGTACTCCTGGTGAAACTCGATACTATGTTCCGTTTTCGGAATATTTCGATTTGAAAATAATGAAGTAGTAATGATGCTGGTATAAAATGAATTTTATTGAGTTCAATCACCTATTTATTCAGGTTCAAAAACAATAAAATTATTCTCGTGCTGAAGTTATTGATGGAACAAAGAATCATAAGTAGAAAATTAAGAGAATATTTGACTAGAAACATGAAAATATTGAATCAGTTAGAGTATGTGTTCAAAATGTCCTACGTTTCGAGGAATACACGATTCTATATTCTCTTCTTAAGAATGTATTATTCTTCTGAACAGTTGAGGATCAGCTGTTAGGTCATTTAAGTGATGTACAATTATGTCTCACAACTCTTGACGTGAATTTACCTATGTAGCATAGACTTTCTGCTCAAGATACAACAAAACTGTGTAAGTCCATTTTTTTAGTCAAATCTGTTTCGATGTTATTCTTGTGATTCATTGTTAAATCATGAGTTTTGCATCAGAAATGTATTGTTGTTTTCGGTTTTCAATATTTAGGTGATAATTTTTCATAATACCTCACTCTAATAGATAGCTTTTATACCTCAGCAACAGTTACCACTTCATCATTTTCAAATCGAAATATTCCGAAAACGGAACACAGTATCGAGTTTCACCAAGAGTACCTTTTTAGTGTGAAATTGAATGATGTTCAAGTTCACATCAAATTTGGATTGAAAAATCTAACCTCAAAAAAGTTATGTTCAAAACTACTCGGTACGAACCGTGTAACTAGCGCCCTCTATGAGAGTCCGATATAGAAACGAATTCATGCGATGAGTCAGATTCCAAGAAATATCCATACAAAATTTCATCACAATGTTGCCAGTAGTTTTCAACATAATCGTAAAAAATGTGTAAAAAAAATATTGTTTCAACACTTTTGTATCTTGAAAACGGATGGCGCTACGACATTTTTTTACTGAGCCAACCCAACTTATTTTGCAATGTTCTACCTACCCTAGCAAGGGGGTTAGGTTTTTTTGAAACACCCTGTATACATTTCGAAAAACATAAGGCTAATCTGAATATTAAAGTTTAAAACGTCACCTGTGACAGCCTGTATCTCTCTTATTTTATCAAGTCTAGCTAGTTTTACTAAGGCTTTTATAGTGGAACTGGCTCTATTTAGTTTCTCAAAGTACACAAGACACATTTTTTCAGACAGGTGTACAGGGTGATTCACCATAAATGTCCCCTCCTCTAGCTCACTTATTCTTGAACCGATTTGAAAATTTGAAAAATAATCTGAAATGATTTTTCAAACTTATTTTTTCCGTTGCATCAGAAAATACAGGGTGCTCGGAACAAACGATCTACAGAGTACTACTTGATTTTTTTCAAATGGAACACCCTGTATTTCATTGAATTTTTAGATTCTTCCTGAAGAGCTGATTTCATCAATGTATCACACTTGGGGTCTAGCGGGAATCTTTACAGAGATATAGGGGTGTTCAGATCGAGATTTCTCAAACTTTAGTGTTTTTTTCTGTCGAAACTATTCATCATTGGTCAAAAAGGTTTCCATTTCCCTATCTCAACTTTTGATTTACTATCTAGTGACATTTACAGGGTGGTTCAAGATTTAGAATTCTGATCACCCTGTATCTGTTCCCATTATTAAATGTATGTAGATAGTAAATCAAAAGTTGTGGTACGGACATGAAAGCCGTTTTGACCGATAATGAATAGTTTCGTCACAAAAAAATCCCAAAGTTGGAAAATCTCGATTTTGAACACCCTATATATTTGTAATCATTCCTGCTTGACCCTGAGTGTGATATATCGATCAAATCAGCTCTTCTGGGAGAATCTAAAAATACAATGAAAAATAGGGTGTTCCATTTAAAAAAATTAAATAGTACCCTGTATATCGTTTGTTCCGAGCACCCTGTATCTTCTGATGTAGCAGAAAAAAACTTCATCGAAAATCATTTGAGATGATATTTCAAATTTTGAAATCGGTTCAAAAATAACTGAACTGGAGGGGGGGACATTTATGGTGAATCACCCTGTACAAATGAAAAATCTTACCTTTTTTGCATCACAGTCTTTGTGAGGAGGCATATATTGGGCCTAAAAAATAAAACGGATTATAATAATTTATTTTATCATCCGTGAAGCACCAATGGTTGCTGTCATTACAATGTGTTATTCAATTATTATTGAAAATATAGTTTCCAGTAAAAATTAAGTTGTGGTCTAAGGAGGTAGTTGAACATAATAACAATACAATAATAACAAATTCATTAACAATATAATATTTAAATTCATTATTTATAAGTTGAAAAAACATTAATCATTCATCTGTTTCGTTTAGAAATAATGGGTTTTTGAGTACATATTCGATTTTGAAGGTTTTATATTATCGGCTAATTTATTATATTTGAATAGAGCAGCGTGAGTCGTTTTTTTTTTTGTCTTATTGAAGTGTTATTAAATCAAAGTGAAATAAGTCGTTCAGTTTGGTGATCATCAATTCCATAGTTTCTTGTTTTAATAAAAACGTATTTTTTTATCCATGATTTCATATGGAATTTTCATAATTTCAAATGTAAACATTTCATCTACGGGAAATCGATATAATTCAATGTTCGTTGTGGCATATAGCCAGGAAAGTAGTTGTTTTCTTTTGAATAAACCGAGAATGAATTATTCGAATAAATAATCATATCATGGCATGTACTCTTGGGTCTGAATTAGTGTCTATGAATTTTTTGGGATTTTTAGGGCAATCAGGAAAAAAATAATTTTTCGACCTATATGAGCCTACTGCATTGCTTGAACCGCTGATTTTGAAAATCTAAAGGAAGAGTTATCTATCGAATCTGACATCAAATTCTTTCGTTTTGGGTCTGAATTAGTGTCTATGAATTTTTTGGGATTTTTAGGGCAATCAGGAAAAAATAATTTTTCGACCTATATGAGCCTACTGCATTGCTTGAACCGCTGATTTTGAAAATCTAAAGGGAGAGTTATCTATCGAATTTGACATCAAATTCTTCCGTTTTGGGTCTGAATTAGTGTCTATGAATTTTTTGGGATTTTTAGGGCAATCAGGAAAAAAATAATTTTTCGACCTATATGAGCCTACTGCATTGCTTGAACCGCTGATTTTGAGAATCTAAAGGAAGAGTTATCTATCGAATCTGACATCAAATTCTTTCGTTTTGGGTCTGAATTAGTGTCTGAATTTTTTGGGATTTTTAGGGCAATCAGGAAAAAATAATTTTTCGACCTATATGAGCCTACTGCATTGCTTGAACCGCTGATTTTGAAAATCTAAAGGAAGAGTTATCTATCGAATCTGACATCAAATTCTTTCGTTTTGGGTCTGAATTAGTGTCTATGAATTTTTTGGGCAATCAGGAAAAAAATAATTTTTCGACCTATATGAGCCTACTGCATTGCTTGAACCGCTGATTTGAAAATCTAAAGGAAGAGTTATCTATCGAATCTGACATCAAATTCTTTCGTTTTGGGTCTGAATTAGTGTCTATGAATTTTTTGGGACTTTTAGGGCAATCAGGAAAAAAATAATTTTTCGACCTATATGAGCCTACTGCATTGCTTGAACCGCTGATTTGAAAATCTGAAGGAAGAGTTATCTATCGAATCTGACATCAAATTCTTCCGTTTTGGGTCTGAATTAGTGTCTATGAATTTTTTGGGATTTTTAGGGCAATCAGGGAAAAAAATAATTTTTCGACCTATATGAGCCTACTGCATTGCTTGAACCGCTGATTTTGAGAATCTAAAGGAAGAGTTATCTATCGAATCTGACATCAAATTCTTTCGTTTTGGGTCTGAATTAGTGTCTGAATTTTTTGGGATTTTTAGGGCAATCAGGAAAAAAATAATTTTTCGACCTATATGAGCCTACTGCATTGCTTGAACCGCTGATTTTGAAATCTAAAGGAAGAGTTATCTATCGAATCTGACATCAAATTCTCCGTTTTGGGTCTGAATTAGTGTCTATGAATTTTTTGGGATTTTTAGGGCAATCAGGAAAAAAATAATTTTTCGACCTATATGAGCCTACTGCATTGCTTGAACCGCTGATTTTGAAAATCTAAAGGAAGAGTTATCTATCGAATCTGACATCAAATTCTTTCGTTTTGGGTCTGAATTAGTGTCTATGATTTTTTTGGGATTTTTAGGGCAGTCAGGAAAAAAATATTTTTTCCACCTATATGAGCCTACTGCATTGCTTGAACCGTTGATTTTGAAAATCTAAAGGGAGAGTTATCTATCGAATCTGGCATCAAATTCTTTCGTTTTCGGTCTGAATTAGTGTCTATGAATTTATTGGGATTTTTAGGGCAATCAGGAAAAAAATAATTGTTCGACCTATATGAGCCTACTGCATTGCTTGAACCGCTGATTTTGAAAATCTAAAGGAAGAGTTATCTATCGAATCTGACATCAAATTCTTTCGGTTTGGGTCTGAATTAGTGTCTATGAATTTTTTGGGATTTTTAGGGCAATCAGGAAAAAAATAATTTTTCGACCTATATGAGCCTACTGCATTGCTTGAACCGCTGATTTTGAAAATCTAAAGGAAGAGTTATCTATCGAATCTGACATCAAATTCTTCCGTTTTGGGTCTGAATTAGTGTCTATGAATTTTTTGGGATTTTTAGGGCAATCAGGAAAAAAATAATTTTTCGACCTATATGAGCCTACTGCATTGCTTGAACCGCTGATTTTGAAAATCTAAAGGAAGAGTTATCTATCGAATCTGACATCAAATTCTTTCGTTTTGGGTCTGAATTAGTGTCTATGATTTTTTTGGGATTTTTAGGGCAGTCAGGAAAAAATAATTTTTCGACCTATATGAGCCTACTGCATTGCTTGAACCGTTGATTTTGAAAATCTAAAGGGAGAGTTATCTATCGAATCTGGCATCAAATTCTTTCGTTTTGGGTCTGAATTAGTGTCTATGAATTTTTTGGGATTTTTTTGGGCAATCAGGAAAAAAATAATTTTTCGACCTATATGAGCCTACTGCATTGCTTGAACCGCTGATTTTGAAAATCTAAAGGAAGAGTTATCCATCGAATCTGACGTCAAATTCTTTCGTTTTGGGTCTGAATTAGTGTCTATGAATTTTTTGGGATTTTTAGGGCAGTCAGGAAAAAAATATTTTTTCCACCTATATGAGCCTACTGCATTGCTTGAACCGTTGATTTTGAAAATCTAAAGGGAGAGTTATCTATCGAATCTGGCATCAAATTCTTTCGTTTTCGGTCTGAATTAGTGTCTATGAATTTTTTGGGATTTTTAGGGCAATCAGGAAAAAAATAATTTTTCGACCTATATGAGCCTACTGCATTGCTTGAACCGCTGATTTTGAAAATCTAAAGGAAGTTATCTATCGAATCTGACATCAAATTCTTTCGTTTTGGGTCTGAATTAGTGTCTATGAATTTTTTGGGATTTTTAGGGCAATCAGGAAAAAAATAATTTTTCGACCTATATGAGCCTACTGCATTGCTTGAACCGCTGATTTTGAAAATCTAAAGGAAGAGTTATCTATCGAATCTGACATCAAATTCTTCCGTTTTGGGTCTGAATTAGTGTCTATGAATTTTTTGGGATTTTTAGGGCAATCAGGAAAAAAATAATTTCTCGACCTATATGAGCCTACTGCATTGCTTGAACCGCTGATTTTGAAAATCTAAAGGAAGAGTTATCTATCGAATCTGACATCATATTCTTTCGTTTTGGGTCTGATTAGTGTCTATGAATTTTTTGGGATTTTAAGGGCAATCAGGAAAAAAATAATTTTTAGACCTATATGAGCCTACTGCATTGCTTGAACCGCTGATTTTGAAAATCTAAAGGAAGAGTTATCTATCGAATCTGACATCAAATTCTTTCGTTTTGTGTCTGAATTAGTGTCTATGAATTTTTTGGGATTTTTTGGGCAATCAGGAAAAAAATAATTTTTCGACCTATATGAGCCTACTGCATTGCTTGAACCGCTGATTTTGAAAATCTAAAGGAAGAGTTATCTATCGAATCTGACATCAAATTCTTTCGTTTTGGGTCTGAATTAGTGTCTATGAATTTTTTGGGATTTTTTGGGCAATCAGGAAAAAAATTATTTTTCGACCTATATGAGCCTACTGCATTGCTTGAACCGCTGATTTTGAAAATCTAAAAAAAGAGTTATCTATCGAATCTGACATCAAATTCTTTCGTTTTGGGTCTGAATTAGTGTCTATGAATTTTTTGGGATTTTTAGGGCAATCAGGAAAAAAATAATTTTACGACCTATATGAGCCTACTGCATTGCTTGAACCGCTGATTATGAAAATCTAAAGGAAGAGTTATCTATCGAATCTGACATCAAATTCTTCCGTTTTGGGTCTGAATTAGTGTCTATGAATTTTTTGAGATTTTTAGGGCAGTCAGGAAAAAAATATTTTTTCCACATATATGAGCCTACTGCATTGCTTGAACCGTTGATTTTGAGAATCTGAAGGGAGAGTTATCTATCGAATCTGGCATCAAATTCTTTCGTTTTCGGTCTGAATTAGTGTCTATGAATTTTTTGGGATTTTTAGGGCAATCAGGAAAAAAATAATTTTTCGACCTATATGAGCCTACTGCATTGCTTGAACCGCTGATTTTGAAAATCTAAAGGAAGAGTTATCTATCGAATCTGACATGAAATTCTTTCGTTTTGGGTCTGAATTAGTGTCTATGAATTTTTTGGGATTTTTTGGGCAATCAGGAAAAATAGTTATTTATTATACAAGGGAAAAAAGTAGTAGATTTTAGCTCCAGGTTGTGTTGTCTCCCGACGCGTAGCGGAGGGAGACAAAAAACCGTGAGCTAAAATCTAATATTTTTCCTGTGTATAATACACTATTTTTTTCTGTGACAGAAGGAAGGACGAATCAATATTGGGAAGATATTACATTATTTCGAAATCTGAAAATTATCGACGTGAAATTTCACGTTTTTAACAGTAGGGACACCTGCGTTTTAGAGACATCTTCATCATTCTTTTGAAGTAATCAAATATCTGATGTCACTTCTGTCAGTTCAATTCTGTGATTTGATTTTAAAAAATTGCGAATTCAGTAGTTGTTTAGTAATATACGAAACCGCGAAGTCGAATGGAAGATAAAAAGACTTGCAGTTCTTTCTCGGAGACGGTATTATTGACTTATTTTTCGGAACTATAGCACAACAAAAGCCATTAACAGAGTATATGTATGTGATATATATCCGGGAAAGAAGTACTCACTTTTTTCCCACGGGAAAAAAGTAATTTATGAAAAGTGACATTTTATAACCTGCCAACAGAGATGAAATGCCAAACTTTTTTCCCGTCACAGAAAGAAATAATTTTTCGACCTATATGAGCCTACTGCATTGCTTGAACCGCTGATTTTGAAAATCTAAAGGAAGAGTTATCTATCGAATCTGACATCAAATTCTTTCGTTTTGGGTCTGAATTAGTGTCTATGAATTTTTTGGGATTTTTTGGGCAATCAGGAAAAAAATAATTTTTCGACCTATATGAGCCTACTGCATTGCTTGAACCGCTGATTTTGAAAATCTAAAAAAAGAGTTATCTATCGAATCTGACATCAAATTCTTTCGTTTTGGGTCTGAATTAGTGTCTATGAATTTTTTGGGATTTTTTGGGCAATCAGGAAAAAAATAATTTTACGATCTATATGAGCCTACTGCATTGCTTGAACCGCTGATTTTGAAAATCTAAAGGAAGAGTTATCTATCGAATCTGACATCAAATTCTTCCGTTTTGGGTCTGAATTAGTGTCTATGAATTTTTTGAGATTTTTAGGGCAGTCAGGAAAAAAATATTTTTTCCACATATATGAGCCTACTGCATTGCTTGAACCGTTGATTTTGAGAATCTGAAGGAAGAGTTATCTATCGAATCTGACATCAAATTCTTTCGTTTTGGGTCTGAATTAGTGTCTATGAATTTTTTGGGATTTTAAGGGCAATCAGGAAAAAAATAATTTTTCGACCTATATGAGCCTACTGCATTGCTTGAACCGCTGATTTTGAAAATCTAAAGGAAGAGTTATCTATCGAATCTGACATCAAATTCTTTCGTTTTGGGTCTGAATTAGTGTCTATGAATTTTTTGGGATTTTTAGGGCAATCAGGAAAAAAATAATTTTTCGACCTATATGAGCCTACTGCATTGCTTGAACCGCTGATTTTGAAAATCTAAAGGAAGAGTTATCTATCGAATCTGACATCAAATTCTTTCGTTTTGGGTCTGAATTAGTGTCTATGAATTTTTTGGGATTTTTAGGGCAATCAGGAAAAAAATAATTTTTCGACCTATATGAGCCTACTGCATTGCTTGAACCGCTGATTTTGAAAATCTAAAGGAAGAGTTATCTATCGAATCTGACATCAAATTCTTTCGCTTTGGGTCTGAATTAGTGTCTATGAATTTTTTGGGATTTTTAGGGCAGTCAGGAAAAAAATATTTTTTCCACCTATATGAGCCTACTGCATTGCTTGAACCGTTGATTTTGAAAATCTAAAGGGAGAGTTATCTATCGAATCTGGCATCAAATTCTTTCGTTTTCGGTCTGAATTAGTGTCTATGAATTTTTTGGGATTTTTAGGGCAATCAGGAAAAAAATAATTTTTCGACCTATATGAGCCTACTGCATTGCTTGAACCGCTGATTTTGAAAATCTAAAGGAAGAGTTATCTATCGAATCTGACATCAAATTCTTCCGTTTTGGGTCTGAATTAGTGTCTATAAATTTTTTGGGATTTTTAGGGCAATCAGGAAAAAAACAATTTTTCGACCTATATGAGCCTACTGCATTGCTTGAACCGCTGATTTTGAAAATCTAAAGGAAGAGTTATTTATCGAATCTGACATCAAATTCTTTCGTTTTGGGTCTGAATTAGTGTCTATGAATTTTTTGGGAGTTTTAGGGCAATCAGGAAAAAAATAATTTTTCGACCTATATGAGCCTACTGCATTGCTTGAACCGCTGATTTTGAAAATCTAAAGGAAGAGTTATCTATCGAATCTGACATCAAATTCTTTCGTTTTGGGTCTGAATTAGTGTCTATGAATTTTTTGGGATTTTTAGGGCAATCAGGAAAAAAATAATTTTTCGACCTATATGAGCCTACTGCATTGCTTGAACCGCTGATTTTGAAAATCTAAAGGAAGAGTTATCTATCGAATCTGACATCAAATTCTTTCGTTTTGGGTCTGAATTAATGTCTATGAATTTTTTGGGATTCTTAGGGCAATCAGGAAAAAAATAATTTTTCGACCTATATGAGCCTACTGCATCGCTTGAACCGCTGATTTTGAAAATCTAAAGGGAGAGTTATCTATCGAATCTGACATCAAATTCTTTCGTTTTGGGTCTGAATTAGTGTCTATGAATTTTTTGGGATTTTTAGGGCAATCAGGAAAAAAATAATTTTTCGACCTATATGAGCCTACTGCATTGCTTGAACCGCTGATTTTGAAAATCTAAAGGAAGAGTTATCTATCGAATCTGACATCGAATTCTTTCGTTTTGGGTCTGAATTAGTGTCTATGAATTTTTTGGGATTTTTAGGGCAATCAGGAAAAAAATAATTTTTCGACCTATATGAGCCTACTGCATTGCTTGAACCGCTGATTTTGAAAATCTAAAGGAAGAGTTATCTATCGAATCTGACATCAAATTTTTTCGTTTTGGGTCTGAATTAGTGTCTATGAATTTTTTGGGATTTTCAGGGCAATCAGGAAAAAAATAATTTTTCGACCTATATGAGCCTACTGCATTGCTTGAACCGCTGATTTTGAAAATCTAATGGAAGAGTTATCTATCGAATCTGACATCAAATTCTTTCGTTTTGGGTCTGAATTAGTGTCTATGAATTTTTTGGGATTTTTAGGGCAATCAGGAAAAAAATAATTTTTCGACCTATATGAGCCTACTGCATTGCTTGAACCGCTGATTTTGAAAATCTAAAGGAAGAGTTATCTATCGAATCTGACATCAAATTTTTTCGTTTTGGGTCTGAATTAGTGTCTATGAATTTTTTGGGATTTTCAGGGCAATCAGGAAAAAAATAATTTCTCGACCTATATGAGCCTACTGCATTGCTTGAACCGCTGATTTTGAAAATCTAAAGGAAGAGTTATCTATCGAATCTGACATCAAATTCTTCCGTTTTGGGTCTGAATTAGTGTCTATGAATTTTTTGGGATTTTTAGGGCAATCAGGAAAAAAATAATTTTTCGACCTATATGAGCCTACTGCATTGCTTGAACCGCTGATTTTGAAAATCTAAAGGGAGAGTCATCTATCAAATCTGACATCAAATTCTTTCGTTTTCGGTCTGAATTAGTGTCTATGATTTTTTTGGGATTTTTAGGGCAATCAGGAAAAAAATAATTTTTCCACCTATATGAGCCTACTGCATTGCTTGAACCGCTGATTTTGAAAATCTAAAGGAAGAGTTATCTATCGAATCTGACATCAAATTCTTTCGTTTTGGGTCTGAATTAGTGTCTATGAATTTTTTGGGATTTTTTGGGCAATCAGGAAAAAATAATTTTTCGACCTATATGAGCCTACTGCATTGCTCGAATCGCTGATTTTGAAAATCTAAAGGGAGAGTTATCTATCGAATCTGACATCAAATTCTTCCGTTTTGGGTCTGAATTAGTGTCTACGAATTTTTTGGGATTTTTAGGGCAATCAGGAAAAAAATTATTTTTCCACCTATATGAGCCTACTGCATTGCTCGAACCGCTGATTTTGAAAATCTAAAGGGAGAGTGATCTATCGAATCTGACATCAAATTCTTCCGTTTTGGGTCTGAATTAGTGTCTATGAATTTTTTGGGTTTTTAGGGCAATCAGAAAAAAAAATAATTTTTCCACCTATATGAGCCTACTGCATTGCGCTTGAACCGATGATTTTGAAAATCTAAAGGGAGAGTGATCTATCGAATCTGACATCAAATTCTTCCGTTTTGGGTCTGAATTAGTGTCTATGAATTTTTTGGGTTTTTAGGGCAATCAGAAAAAAAAATAATTTTCCCACCTATATGAGCCTACTGCATTGCGCTAGAACCGCTGATTTTGAAAATCTTAAGGGAGAGTTATCTATCAAATCTGACATAAAATTCTTTCGTTTTGGTTCTGAATTAGTGTCCATGATTTTTTGTGGATTTGTAGGGCAATCAGGAAAAAAATAATTTTTCCACCTATATGATTGCAGCAGAATTCCTCTTTCACATGAACTTTGAATCATGAGAAAATATGCATTTTTAACAAAGTTATTGAATAATTTGTCCCCCCGCCGATGTGTAGAAACACGGACTGTGCTCTCCGGCATACAACACAGAAGCTCATTATTCGAGGTGCGCTTCGTGCCGTTTTTCTCGAAACCGGGCAAATTTTCGAGAAAAATGATAAGGACCATTTTTGTTGAAAATTAACTGAACTTCAATTTTTATCTGAACCGAAAATCTCTAACTGCCATATTTTAGGAGATATTGGCTGAAAACCTATTTTCCTGGTCTTTTGGGGTCATTTTCTCCGCCATCGCACGCGTTTTCCAGTCAAACTTTGTCTCATGTTTAATGAGGTACCAAAAGCTACTTCCAACCGGAAGATGAAAATAGTGCGTAATTAACGTTAACTTGCCCTTTTTTCCTCCTTCATTTATTGGACTATGTGTGTGATATTGCCAAATACGAATACAACTGTAAAAGGTGAATGATCAAAAAACGGTTTCAGCTTGTTCGAGCCTCCCTGTAGATTTACAGTCGGGACAGTAGATTCCTCAACGAAAACTCACGTGTTTCGTGGCATCGCTTTGCATGAAGATCAGTTTCTGATCGTCCAGAGCACTCGATGTGTGGAAACTTCTCTTGGGGGGCCTGATGGCATCTACCCCCCCGCATTTTTGCCACGGGCACTGCATGCATTCCGATGGATCGTCTTCCAATCGATCTGCGCAGGACTCGCTGTAGCTCGGGTAAGGCGCAAGTTTTTTGCTGCATTTCGGCTGAAAATGAAATAAATTATTAGTAAAATCATCTTGGGAAATTGTGTGCATCCATTTTTTTTTTCTACAAACGCTTAACAAAGTAGCCTTCGACGCTTTCAAATTCCAGCACAAAGTTGACGTTTTCCCAGAAATGTCATTCTTTGACAGCATTTGCGCTCGTGAGCGGAAATATTGAAAAAACGCTCGCACATCTCTGTAACCTATACTTATCTATTCTTGAAAACCCCCAATTCTTTCATGATGAAAAATAGTGACAGTGAATCATCAAACACACCTCCTGATATAGCAGAAAGCGCAAGAGTTTGAATCTCTTACCGGAGAAATCAAGAAAGAAATATGAATTACAATATGATACATTCATAAATTGGTGCCACTCCGAGATGGTGAATATGTATTCATAAAACGTTTTACTGGCTTATTTTGGTAAAAAATCAAAGGCTTTGAAGTCATCAACTCATTGGTCTATATATTCGATGGTACGTATACATGCTTGAATGTTAAAAATAATATCGGAATCAATAAGTATCTGAAACTTATCGCATTTCTCAAGAAACAATCTATTGGTTATAAAAGCGAGAAAAATCCAAAACATTCACCGCTGAAGATATATACCAACAAATTTCTATAAGAAGCTCCCGATGAAGCATATCTGTTGAAAACGATGAATTATACTTTATATTTAAACTCTTTGTTGTCATCAGAAAGACAGTGTATTTTCATTTCATTGCATCAATGAGTATAATGTTCAATTTGATTGCAGAGTTTATCGTACTATGGCTCAGAGGTCTGAAGCTCAGGTTGCCACGCTGGTGGTCCAGTTTCAATTCTCGGTAGGCCCGACATTTTTTTTCTGGCTTGTCAGTTATTTCAATTTTTCTTTTTTCGTTTCCTTTGGACATATGGGATAATATGGATAAGAACTTTTTCAACTATTTCAATCGCTCATACTTTCAGGGCAGTTATTTCCAAAAGCTGCGTTAGTAGAAAAAATCTTGTGTGTATTTCGAGCACAAAGTGTTATTGCCGCTCTCCAAAGATTACCGCGCTCCGCTCCGCATCGCGCGGTAACTTTCTTTGTCGAGCGGCAATCTATCACTTTGCGCTCTAAATACACAAATAGCTATTTAACTTTCAAAATAGTCGCAGACGGATGCAAAACTGATATGATGTAGAATTTTTTTATTATAATAATACAGAGAATTGAGTTATAAGCATATTGATAATTTATCGAAATAGTAATTCACGTAACAAGTCCGGAAAATACTGTTTTTCTACTACTGCTATGAAAAGTAGTGCATTTCTCAGAGCTAACTTAGTTTCAAAACCATGTATTGCTCATACTGTGTGAAATATTTTTTCTCGCGGCACTTTGCCAACACCACATACATTTCCATGGAAAATCAACAAAAATCGACCAAAACTTGGCTGCTGTTCAGCTTTGAATAGTTTTCACAACTGTCAGAAGAAGTTTTTTAAATTCTTTAGGGTAGTTCTCATTAGTGCTTTTGATAGAAATCGCATTTTCCATCAAATATTATTCCAACAATTCATAATACATAATATGATGTATATACAGGGTGGGTCACGGTCGATGGCACCTTAGACGTTTACGGAGAACGGGACATAAGATCATTCTGAAAATTTGGTTACTCAAGTAATTGCTCTTGATCTATCGATCTAAAATATTTTCATCTCTGCGGCGTTGCCGCTTCTATCGAAAAGTAGCAACAACTCTGTTATTTTAAATGGAACACCCTGTATTTTATCGCATTTTCAGATTCTCTCTGAAGAGCTGATTTCATCGATGTATCACACTTGGGGTCTAGCGGAAATGATTACAGAGATATAGGGTGTGAAAAATCGACATTTTTCAACTTTAGGAATTTTTTTTTGTCGAAACTATTCATTATTGGTCAAAACGGCTCACATGTCCCTATCCCAACTTTTGATCAACTATCTACTGACATTTAATTGAAACAAATACAGGGTGGTGCAGAATTCAGATTCTTGATCACCCGGTATATGTCCCAATTAAATATCAGTAGATAGTTAATCAAAAGTTGAGATAGGGACATGTAAATAAATAAATAAATAAATAAATAAGCCGTTTTGACCAATAATGAATAGTTTCAAAAAAAAAATTCCTTAAGTTGAAGAATGTCAATTTTTCACACCCTATATCTCTGTAATGATTTCCGAAATCTGAGAAATAACCACCTCCAAAAGATTCGTCTTTATATCATATACAGGGGTGTAAAGAAAGTACGGATTTTTCGGTATTCTTCAAGACATCCTGTGGAGTGAACCACTGATAATTGAAACGATTTCTCAACACCAAATTGGAGCCCAATCTATTCCGAATATTTTCGTTTTTTATTCATCTTGATATCCCAATTATTCAAGAAAATATAGAGTTTCAAAGAAGAGGTGGATATTGGTATTAATTTTACCACCTCGAAACTCGAACTGGGGAGAACGTGTCGTTTTTCAACTTGTTTCTGTGAGGATTTTTACTTCAAGATGAGAATTGTTCACAGTTTTACCTATCGGTTTACTGTTCAAAGACACATATACGAATACTCTCATGAATATGCAGGGGTGATAAAAGTTGCTCCAATGTTCTTTTGGTGAAATGCAATTTTTGTTAATCAACGTTGGCTATTTTGTTAATGTCATTAATTATTGTCAAAGTCAAGCGATTCACAATTCATAAATTTGATTAATGAGAATTCAACTTGAGAGATTTGACTCCTACTGATGTGGCGAGGGCTGTAGCATTCATTGAAAATGACCAGTGGGCCAATGTTCTTTTAACATATGAGAGCCGCATCTGCACCAATTCAATAGATGGCAGGGAAAGACTCTATCGCCGAGTTGAACAAAATGAACAATTTGATTTTACTGCTTCTGTCTCCTATGGCAGAGGTTTAGTCACGGTTAGGTTAGGTTAGGTTAGTTAAGAAACGACACATTTTCAGATCCAATTTGAGTTTTGAGGTGTAAAATTGATACCAATATCCACCTTTCCTTTGAAACTCTGTATTTTCTTGAATAATTGAGATATCAAGATAAATAAAAAACGAAAATATTCGGAATATATTGGGCTCCAATTTGGTGTTGAGAAATCGTTTCAATTATCAGTGGTTCAGTCCACAGGATGTCTAAAAAAATACCGAAAAATCCGTACTTTCTTCACACCCCTGTATATGATGGAGAGACTCATCGTTTGAAGGTAATTATTTCTCAGATGTATTCGTGAAGAATGAAGCTACATTTCGTGAAGAACAAAGTTTGAATCGAGCGATCGGTTCGAAAGAAAATTGATGTCAAAGTGTAAATTTTGGCCGTTCCCTTAATTGTGCCAGTGTGTGTATAAGAGGTTAAAACATATTATGTCTCTTCCTAAGGATAGTAGTGGAGAAAAATAAAAATCCTAGTATCAGAATCAAAAAACTGATAATTGAAAAATGCTTACATCCATGTACGCGTGATAGCAGTCCGATTTTGGCTTTCCAGTTGGGCAATCTCTCATAATGAAACTCGGGCAGTCCGATTTCTTTTTGCACTGCTTCGGCTGCTTCTCGCATTTTTCGTCCTTGCCACTGCCTTTAGCACTTTTGGCGCCCTTTTTCGATGCTTTAGCGAACGATCTCGAAACGATGAAAAACGGTGACGTAGAATAGTTCCTGTTGTAACAAATGGAAATCGAACATCAATAGGTCGGTGTACCTACTCATCAAAATAGAGAAAGAAATAAATACATAAATAAAATAAACCAACCTAACATTGACTAGCCTAGCAGGTTTTCATTTTGAAACGTATGGAAAATATTCTACAACAAAAATCGGTGTGACACTGAATGTGTACACTGGATGTTATTACTGACATTCAGCTGAAATTCGATACAGACTAAACGTGTGGACTCTTATCATTGGATTTGTGAAAGGCATTTGATACAGTCAATTTTGAAATTATAATAATGAAATTAACTCGAATAGGAATAGAGTTTACTCTTGGTTTGAAAATTATCTAGTTGATAGAAAGTAGTTTGTGTATATGGGAGATTTATTTCCTTCAATAAGAAACATATCTTGTGGTGTGCCCCAGGGATCAATGCTCGGACCTATTTTATTTCTGATTTATGTAAATTCTATCTCGAGTTTGAAATTACAAGAGAATTTAAAATTATTTGCTGATGACACAACTCTCATTTATTACGGAAAAAATATACAAGAAATAACAAACCAAATGGACCAAGATCTCGCTTCAATAACATTATGGTTACATGATCATAAATTGACAACCAATTTCGATAAATCTGCTTTTATGTTCATCTCGAAGATAGTTATGCCTGATAACCAAATAGATCCTTTAAAATTCGGGAATTTTTATATAAATCCTACAAAAAACTCCAAACTCTTAGGTTTAACTTAAAACTAAATTTAAATTGCTCAGAAAAAAAAATCTCCCATTGTTGGTATATTATACAAATTGAGGTCTTTTATACCTCTTAAATACTTGAAATTAATTTATTTCAGTTTGATTTACTCTAAATTGCAGTTTCTGATATCGATCTGGGGTACTGCAGCAAAATCTGTCTTGAAACCTCTCAAATCTCTTCAAAATAATGCCATAAAATGTATTTATAAACTACCATTTCTGGAATCAAGATCTAGACTATACAAACCAAGGATCTGCTAGATATTGACTCTCTCTTCAAAATGAAAGTAAGCATTTTCGTTCATTTTACTAAAAATAAGAGAAAGCACTCGAATCTTACTTTCAATATCAATTCTGATACCCATGAGCATCACACCAGATGAAGTGAACATTTGGAAATTGTCAAAATAAAAACCCAATTCGAGGAAAAATCATTGTATTTTTGTGGAATAAATATTCATAATAGTCTACCCAACAGAATTAAATCTATTAGGTTCGTCACAAAATTTAAGTGTGAACTGAAGAAATATATGTTATCAATTTAACTCTCTCCTTGTATCAATTATTTCTGATTGATCTTTCATTGTATTGCATACTTCATTTATTTATTATACATTTTTTTTGTTTTCCTCTATAAACATTGTATGTTTCTTGGGATCAATAAATTAGTGTTATCATTATTATTAATTGAACTGCAACAAGCACATCTTTGCAAATATTTTTGCGATACTGTACAAGGTGATTCCCCATAAATGTCCCCCCCCCCTCCTCTAGCTCACTTATTTTTTAACCGACTTCAAAATTTGATAAATCATCGAGAATTTTTTTCCGCGTCATTAGAGAATGCAGGGTGCTCGGAACAAACGATATACAGGGTACTAGTTTATTTTTTCAAATGAGACACCTTATATTTCACACCTCATTACCTGTTGACGACGTTGAAGTTGGCTGTTTTCACATTGACGTTGATATTGGGTGATTTCAGTTCGGCCTTCTTTTGATCAGAGAGCACCAAAGTTTTGGTACGCAGGTCTTTTATTGGTTCAGGAAAAGGGCATTCCAAATCTCTGAAATAAAAGTGTCAGCTCACACACTGCTAAGAGTTGCTATAATTTGGAGAAATATTTGCAAAAAAGTAAAATACCAACTTTGAAACTCTGTAATTTGGAAGAACTATAAAATATTCTAGCCACCCTTAGATTTCTGTTTTAGCATTTTGTACAATAGAAGAAGTTCTTATTGTACAAGGTATACAGGGTGTCCTAACTTGCTTCGTTTTCGAGATATAGGGTATTAATATTTCCATGATAAATCTTTTTTTCTATTCATTTCTCAATTGTCTTTTCATCAATGTCAATAAAACTTTGTGGCGGAATATGGAGCTTCTTCTAGTGCAATTAGATTCGAAATAATATTTCCAGTGGCGTCACAGTGGGTAAATTTATCGATATTCATGGTGAATGTCATTGTACAGGGTGGCCAACTGAGACTCCAGAGTTCGATTTCTCTGTTGTCTTGAGAGATACAAAAAAAATTCATGAATCAAAATTGAAGTAATAACCGAGCTTCACATTTCAAAATTTCTTTGAAATACACAGGGTGTTCCGTAAGGTCACAGCACATCGAAGCTATGTTTTTTTCATTGGAACACCCTATATTTCATTTCATTTTTGAATTCTCCCTGACGATCTGATTTCAACGACGTATCATACTTAGGGTCTAGCAGTGAAAGTTACTGACATATAGGGTCTGCAAAATCGAGATTTTCCAAGTTCAGGTTTTTTTTCTGTCGAAACTGTTCATTATTCGTCAAAACGGTTTACATGTCCCTATCTCAACTTTTCACTCACTATCAATAATTGGTGTTCAATTGAAATTGATACAAGGTGGTCAAAAAATCTAAATTTATAATTTGTTTCAATTAAATGTCAATTGAACACCAATTGATAGTGAGTGAAAAGTTGAGGTAGGGACATGTAAACCGTTTTGACGAATACTGAACAGTTTCGACAGAAAAAAATTCTGAACTTGGAAAATCTCGATTTTGCACACCCTATATGTCAGTAACTTTCACTGCTAGACCCTAAGTATGATACGTCGTTGAAATCAGATCGTCAGGGAGAATTCAAAAATGAAATAAAATATAGGGTGTTCCAATGAAAAAAACATAGCCTTGATGTGCTGTGACCTTACGAAACACCCTGTGTATTTCAAAGATATTTTGAAATGTGAAGCTCGGTTATCACTTCAATTTGAATGCATAACTTTTTTTTGTATCTCTCAAGACAACAGAGGTATCGAACTCTGGATTCTTAGTTGGCCACCCTGTACACCACCGACTTTTCTGAGTTTCATATTTTCATTAGATTGAACTATTGAAATGAAATAACAACTTTTTCATCGTAATTTGTGTATTTGGCTTAATTTTTCAGAAAACAATAAAAAATTATCTGTTCAAGCGGTAAGGTGACGACCACTATGCAATTTTACACCTATTCAATTATCACCCTGTAGCAATGTTATCTGAAATTACAGAAGTTTCATGTTGCCACAAGCCACGACGAACTGTCAAGAGAATCGGTGAGAAAAGATTTCAAATGAGCTAGGAAATTCGTGACTTAATTCTACTTTGAATTCAGGCTATATTTTGGAAAACGACGTTATCAATGTTGACCAGTTTATTATTGAGCCAAAACCGTTGTAGAACAGGGTCGACAATTTTTTAAACAAAAAAAAAATAGTTGGATGAAACCGTTGAGAAAGGACGAGTATACAGTGTGTCCCACTTACCATGCTCACCATGGGTATCTTTTGAACGGTGAGAGATACGAGGTCGGTTAAATGACACCAAATGTGAAGTTTGTCAAGGCCAACTATAATGTGAAAAAATATTTTGATAAAATCTGTTCGTTTTTGTTTTATAAGCAAAAAACAGAATTTGATAATTTTCATGTCTCCTCCGTAACTTCTTTATTTATGAAAATATTCAAATAGGAATTTCACATTCTCATGGCAGTTTTTCACAGTGATTTCGAAAAAAATATGAAATTTATACCAACTCTTCTAGAATTTGAGATATCAGCACCAACTTCAGTTTTTCAAAGGTAGCTCATAGCTCACTATGACTTAGTTACAAATAACTCTTTTTTCTCTTACAGATGATATGTCGCAGTAATAGTTTTGTGTTGATAACAACGGAGTTATCGTCATTTATACAAAAACAAAAAAATTATTTGGAAGCCGCCATCTTGTATTTATAAATTTTAACAAAAAAATCATGATCTCCGACCTCAAAAACCCCCACTTACCAATTTTGAATAGAATCGGACCAAATCTTGTTCGCCATCTTGGAGCAGCCATTTTTTTTTAACTTCAACAGAAATGGCGGACAAGATTTGGTCTCAAATTCTAGAAGAGTTGGTATAAATTTCATATTTTTTTTGAAATCACTTCGAAAAACTGCCATGAGAATGTGAAATTCCTATTTGAAAATTTTCATAAATAAAGAAGTTACGGAGGAGACATGAAAATGATCAAAATCTGTTTTTTGCTTATAAAACAAAAACGAATAGATTTTATCAAAATATTTTTTCACATCATAGTTGGCCTTGACAAACTCCACATTTGGTGTCATTCAACCGACCTCGTATCTCTCACCGTTAAAAAGATACCCATGGTGAGCATGGTAAGTGGGACACAATGTATAACAAAAATAAAAGGAAAAACAATTCACTGGCAAAACCACAAGTTCTATGGAGAAATATTAAACGACAAAGTTGTAAGTAATAAAGAGACCTACAACTTTTGTGATCACACTTTTTTCACATAACATCGAAATTTTTGCATAAGAAAAAAAAAAACTTATTTGAATTTTTCACATAAATTTTGAGGTTATGTAAAAAATGTGTGATCACAAAAGTTGTAGGTCTTTTCATTGCCTACAACTTTGCTGTTGAACTTTTTTCCATAGGGCTCGTAGTTTTGCTGGAAATCAAAATATACCGTTTTTTACCCTAGAAAACACAACTCCTACCACTTTAATTCCGACCTCAGATCGCCCGTAATTTATTTTCCCTCTCATATTTGTTATATTCTCTTCCTTTCTCAATGAATTTCATTCTACTATGATTTTTCTTCACATTTCACCGTTCTCGAAGGCTTCAGCACTGGTCTATTGCGGCATGGAAGAAAATCAAATCGCATTCTCTTACTTATCTGTTTCCGTGGATTCCCATTGGACTTCGCTTTTTCCATTCCTCAATTCCATGAATTTGGGTAGCATAGCGGGTTGCAGATGTCTCATTTCGGGCGGAATGAGTTCTTCCGGCTCTTTCGGAAACTCGATTTTGGGCAGGACGCTCGGCTTCTTCGTGTTCGATACGACATATCGATATGCCCCCAGGTCGGTGGTGTCTGCGTTTCCGAAATCTGTTACTTTGATGCTTGAAATGGGGAGTGCTAGGTCGGCTTTACTTGATAGGTATTTGTATTGCTATGAACAATAGATATTTATACAGAGTGGGCCATTGAAAACGAAACAGCGGCTCTGTAGGTCGGCAAAACCGGATTATGAAAAAAAATCTGAAACACGTCAACTACATTTTCGAGGGGGAAATCGTTCTAAAATATTTTCAGCCCTGCGGCGTTGCCGCTTCTAACGAAAAGTAGCAACAACTTAGTTATTTCAAATGGAACACCTTATATTTCATTGCAGTTTTAGATTCTCCCCGAAAATCTGATTTCATCAATGCATCACACTTGGGGTCTAGCTGGAATGATTTCAGGGATATAGGGTGTTAAAAAATCGAGATTCTTCAACTTTAGGATTTTTTTGTGTCGAAACTATTCATTATTGGTCAAAACGGCTTTTATGTCCCTATCTCAACTTTTGATTTACTATCTACTGACATTTAATTGGAACAAATACAGGGTGGTTCAAGATTCAGCATTCTGATCACTCTTGTATCTGTTTCAATTAAATGTCAGTATATAGTAAATCAAAAGTTAGGACAGGGACATGAATGCCATTTTGACCAATAATGAATAGTTTCGACGCAAAAAAATCCTAAAGTTGAAAAATCTCGATTTTGAACAACCCTATATCCCTGAAATCATTCCAGCTAGACCCCAAGTGTGATGCATTGATGAAATCAGCTCTTCGGGGAAAATCTTAAAATGCAATGAAATACAAGGCGTTCCATTTGAAATAACAAAGTTGTTGCTTCTTCTCGTTAGAAGCGGCAACGCCGCAGGACTGAAAATATTTTAGAACGAAGTCCCCCTCGAAAATGTAGTTTACATGTTTCATATTTTTTTCATAATCCGGTTTTGCTGACCTACAGAGCCGCTGTTTCGTTTTCAATGGCCCACTCTGTAGTCTAAGATATGGCTGCTAGATTACTACGTTCATCGAGTGTTCAATGAAAATCAAATTTTAACATACAGGGTGGGCCACCAGTAACGCCTCGGTCTCTAGAAGGCTAACCACTTATCTTCTTGGAATTCTTCCTCTCTAGGAAGTTGAATGTCAACATAGGCTACCATTTGAAATTATTTTGAAACATACAGGATGTCCCCAAAAATCACAAAACACTGTGAAGTTGAACTTTTTTCAATCGAACACCCTATATATTATTTCATTTTGAGATTCTCCCTGGTGAGCTGATTTCAACAATCCATCATACTTGGGGTCTAGCAGTTATAATTACTGAGATATAGGGTGTGACAAATCGAGATTTTCCAAGTTCAAGAATTTTTTGTGTCTAAACCATTCATAATTGGTCAAAACGGCTCACATGTCCCTATCTCAACTTTTGATCAACTATCTACTGACATTTAATTGAAACAAATACAGGGTGGTGCAGAATTCAGAATCTTGATCACTCGGTATATGTCCCAATTAAATATCAGTAGATAGTTAATCAAAAGTTGAGACAGGGACATGTAAGCCGTTTTGACCAATTATGAATAGTTTAGACACAAAAAATTCTTGAACTTGGAAAATCTCGATTTCTCACACCCTATATCTCAGTAATTATAACTGCTAGACCCCAAGTATGATGGGTCGTTGAAATCAGCTCATCAGGGAGAATCTCAAAATGAAATAATATATAGGGTGTTCGATAGAAAAAAGTGCAACTTCAGTGTTTTATGGTTTTTGGGGACTGTATGTTTCGAAATAATTTCAAATGGTAGCCTATGTTGACATGCAACTTCCTAGAGAGGAAGAATTCCAAGAAGATAAGTGGTTAGCCTTCTAGAGACCGAGGCGTTACTGGTGGCCCACCCTGTATATTCATGATAGGAAAATATATTTTTTCTGTGACGGGAAAGAAGTTTGGCATTTTATCTCTGTTGGCAGGTTATAAAATGTCACTTTTCATAATTTACTTTTTCCCGTGGGAAAAAAGTGAGTTCTTTTATCCCGGATATATATCACATATATATACACTGTTGATGGCTGATAGTTCCGAAATAGTTCCGAAAAATGAGTCTCCGAGAAAGAACTGCAAGTCCTTTTATCTTCCATTCGACTTCGCGGTTACGTATATTACTAAACAACCACTAAATTCGCAATTTTTTGAAATCAAATCACAGAATTAGACTGACAGAAGTGACATCAGATATTTGATTACTTCAAAAGAATGATAAAGATGCCTACAACGCAGGTGTCCCTACTGTTAAAAACTTAAAATTTCACGTCGATAATTTTCAGATTTCAAAATAATGTAATATCTTCTGAATATTGATTCGTCCTTTCTTCTGTCACAGAAAAAAATAGAGTATTATACACGGGAAAAATATTAGATTTTAGCTCACGGTTTTTTGTTTCCCTCCGCTACGCGTCGGGAGACAACACAACCTGGAGCTAAAATCTACTACTTTTTTTCCTTGTATAATAAATAACTATTTCACCTGGTTGCATATCGAAATATACAGGGTGATTCATTAAGAATGGGAAATCTCTGAACTACAGATAGTAAACATAAAAATAATGAGATTTAGCCCAATATGCCTGCTGAGAATGTTGCTGGTGTCACAAAATAAGTTGCAAATTCATATTCGTCTATGAAATAAAATTTCCCCCTAGAACACCCTGTATCTCCTAAATCAGCAACATTCTCATCAGGCATATTGGGCTGAATATCATTATTTTTGTGTTTACTATCTGTAGTTTAGAGATTTCCCATTCTCAATGAATCAACCTGTATAATTTAAGAGCCAAAATGAATGATGTTAGATATATTGAAAACCAAAAAAATTATAAAAGAATTGCAGTTAGAAAAAAGTTAGATAAATTTGATTTTGTCATTCATTAAGATATCGAAATGTTCTCAATGGCGTATTACAAGTTACATCAACTTTCATCAAAAGGTATGCGAAATTCCTATCTCCCTGTATATTGATTAAATTGGTTTGTAAATTTTATTTCTGACTAGAAACTTGTCTCAATGTTTTTCATGCATATTCACGATAGTCAATTCCCCTTCAAATTTTAGAGCAGTACCTTTGAAGGATTTTAACATATTGAAGAACATCTGGAAAAAAATTATTTTTCAATGCCTTTCTTACGGTCCAACGGTGAATTTTTGTTCAATCTCTAAATCTCTTCACCCTGTAGAATGTATGGTACGTTGTTCTGAGGTACCTTATAATATATACAAGAATAGAGTTACTTATTCTCTTACTTATTGCCTAAAATAGGTATTAAAGCATATTGATGTATGATAAATTTGATACAAATTTCAATTGATTTAAAATCTAGTTGACTGTATAATGAATATCAAACTAATATTTCAAGTGAAAAAGTTGAAAATGGCTTGGTAGTTTATCGACAAGAGTGGTACCTTTTCCATTTCTAAATGAGGTAAAACTGCACTTCATGCGATGGTTTTTTTGTTTCTAAAATTTGTTTTTGTACTTACGTATTTTTGTCTCAAAAACACGAATTTGTTATTGAAAATGTGAACAAACCATTATTCATTGAGATATTTCACTATGAAGTTACAAATTTCACCTTCTCTTCTGCCTGTCTTTTGGATCGCATTTAGAACAATTTGCCCTTCTTTTTTCATCATTGGTATCACAATGTACTCCAATGACTAATTTTTTCCTATTATATGAGTCAACTAGAAGTATGATTTTCTTGTTAATTATCCATATTTAGTGAAAAGAAGGAAGAATATCATTTAAAATAATGGCGTGTGTAATGTCGTTCAAAAGCAATCTGTCGACATTTGACATCTCGTATTTGGATTGACTATTGATTAAATGGCCCGTCATCTGGTATGATTGTTCACTAAATATGAATAACTCGCCATAAAAATCATATTTCCTGTTGAATTTTCTATATAAAAATATATACATCATGAGTATATAAAGTGTCCAATGACAAAATAAGAAAAGCAAGCAGCTGTAAATGCATCCAACACGAGGGGAAATAGAAGGCGAAATTTCGAACTTTTTCTTGAAATATCTCGATAAATAGTGGTTTGTTCACATTTCCATTATCAAATTCGTGTTTTCCAGACAAAAATGCGTAATTACCAAAAAACTTTCACGAAAAAAAAAACCATCGCATGATAAGTGCAGTTTTACCCTATTTGTGTGCAAAAAGGCTAGTGCGATTAATTTAATTCGTTCACTAGTTGCGGCAAAAGTGGATCACCTCCTGTATATCTAAGGGTATGAAAATGTTGACACTTGTCATTTATCAAATCTACATTTTTTTAGTGCGGTGATGAGTTAATTTATTCGAATTTTCTTGTAATTGCATCTTTCCATGTTTTACTTGAAAGATATCCACTTACAGAGTCCAAAAAGTGATAGTGTTCAAGGAAGACATCACTGAACGGCTTCAAAACGCACTAATTATTGCATTGTTAATTTTGAAAATGAGGTTTTTTTCACAGAAAAAAAGCTACTTGGGTTCTACTTACGGTTAGTACTAAATCACTGGCAATTTTGGAATTTCTTAAAGCCATTTTTGGCAGAAAGATGTTGAAAAATGAAATATGATTACAACTGTTTTAAATAAATTTTGTCATGGTTATAGTTTCAATCTCCACTGCCAGCTAGACAGTCATGTTTTGGCAGTTTCAAGTACAGGGCGTTTATGAAATAATTCGAAAAATTCACAATTCTCATTATAGTAAGGGAGGCAAAGATGCTAAATAGGGATTTACTCGAGCGTCGTGAGGACGTATCAGATTGTGAAGATTAGATGCGAAAATGAAAAAATAGTTATTTAACCAACTAGTGTATTAATGAGGGCGATTAATGATCGAGATCATTAATCGTCTTTTAATATACAAGTTGGTTACACAATTTTTCCGTCGACTATATTTCTCATTTCTCCTGCAATGAAGAAAACAGGGATTAAAATCGTGTCAGAAACTTGGAAAGGCGAACCCGTTAACGGAAAATCTTCGATGAAATCCATATTTTCGATTTTAATGCAGATTCCGTAAGTTAAAGCATAAACAATAAATGCACGCGGTGTATGTTTGGTTGCCTATAAAACAATCGTGCATTAATAGACAAATCATTCATTAATAGGGGTCATTAATGAACGATTTCATATACATTAAACTTAGTCGTTAATACGAGGTCGACTTTTTGAAAATGAAAAAAAATATCGTGACCTTGAAATACTCGATTATTATACAGACGCTTCATCTTAATGTCCTTGTCGTATCGACCCATAATCTGACAATTATGTAAAGGAATTACCTTAATCTTACGTTCGAATTTTCTTTGTTGACTGAATGTAATGACTAAAATATAAAATATACAGGGTGGGTCAGTTTTTTGTAGTAAGACTTCAACAGCTCGAAGAGTTCACAATTTTGCCATACAGGGTGGACCAATAGTGTGGCAAAATGAGATAACGGCTTTGCTGTTAGAGATAGATGAACAAAAATGCGTGGCGTATCCAACATACTTTTTCTTATAGCACACCTTGTATTTTATTGAATTTTCAGATTCCTCCTTATGAGCTGACAAGGTTCAAGCATTGATAACAATATACGAAGTGGATCTTTTTTTTTTCTGTTTCCTACGTTACCACAATTACATTCATAGTTTCCAGTAAAGTGAAACTCGAAATCCTACTATTATGATGAAAGAATAAATAATGTAAAAACAAATGATTCTTTATTCATCACTAAACATTTTCACAAGATCACAATACAATATATAAAATATAATACAATAAAAATACTTATACTCATAAAATACTCTTAACATTAACATTGCAAACAAATATCAATACTGGGTTAAAAATTAAGTACTAATCGGTACGATCTCAAAAAAATTATCAGTAAATCAACAAAGAAATAAGACGTCACCAATCACCATATCAAGATAATCTATGTCTGTTGAAGACCGCTAATTCATAATATTTGTGATGAATTCACTCCTTGAGACTTGTTCAATTAATGTGATGTTAACTAGACTAGTAATCCCTGAATGCCAATAATCTTTAAATGTAAAAACTTCACAAACGATAAGATTTCCACAAAATTCTTAAACATACGACAGGCCAAGCCAAAGACAAGAATCTCACTGAGCTTAGGCAAATACGCGACGGTGTTTCAGGCAGAAATTATTGCAATACATCATTGCGTGAAAGAATTGATAAGGCAAGAGAGTTTAAAGACAAAACCATTGCAATCTATTCAGATAGCCAGGCGGCAATCAAAGCAGCCAACTCTATGCAAGTTAACTGAAAACTAGTATGGGACTGCTTAGAAACCCTGAATGCACTGGGCAGTCAGAACAGATTGACTCTAGCATGGGTACCAGCACATACAGGGTACGAGGGCAATGAAGAGGCAGACTCACTTCCCCGAGCAGGAGCAAACAACGCTCTTAATAGCCCAAAACTCTTCTGTGGTATTGCGAAAGCTATACAAAAGACTAGTATCAAAACATGGATGCAAACTAAATCTCAAGAATGGTGGAACAACTCGCCAGGAATGAGATAGGCTTAAGAGTTTATTAAAAAATCATCGCCAACATTCAAAGAATATCTACTAAGCCAGAAACGAAGTTCACCTAGAATACTAGTGGGACATCTCACAGGGCATTGTAGGCTCAACAAACACATGAGTACGATAGGTCTGACTGAAGAACTGCTGTGCAGGTTCTGTCAAGAAGAGGAAGAAACAGCAATACACATAATTTGCCACTGTGAGGGCTTGTCAAGACTAAGGTTCCTTACGCTGGGTGAGGAAAAACCAGGAGCCCAGAGATACACAGGAGATCTGAAAGCTAGCCTATGGAGTCTCATAGAGAAGGCGGGGCTAGCCGAAGAACTCTAATCGATTTTGAGGGCAGACACAATAGATCTGAAAAGGTCGCAGTGTGGAGGCAGATAGCCCGAAGGCCCCATTCCAAATCTAATCTAAACATACGACATGTTTCGCTAAACCAACCTTGGCTTGCTTAACTTTTATATGTCCTACTTTCCCAAATTGAAGGATTAGTTACCTGTGGACAGGTTCGATAATCCTTCATTTTCGGAAATTAGGCACAATATCTACATTAAAATAAGGATTAACTTGAAAGGGTTGATAGCAAATACATATAATTACCTACTAAGAAAACAAATCCAAGAGTGGGGAACTATTAAGGTCTAATTGATCGTTGAGTGAAATATCAGAATTTTGTTTGTTTGTTGATTTCTAATGATTCAAAATGATTGAGTGTCATTCCTTTATTTTCTACGTGTAGAATTTCGAAATTGTCATCAAAACTGTGGTTTTCTTCTAATATATGGTTGGCGTAAGTTGAATTTATTTTCTTTTTCATGAATGCGCTGATTGAACGTACGACCTGTCTGACCGATATACAGTGTCATTCATAAAGTCGGCATCATATGGGAAAAACTGTTATTAATGACTTATTTTGAAATTTGAGTTGGACGTCAAGTTTTGCTTCAAAAAAGATGAAAAATGGCCTACTCAATCGGGGTCACGTGACTTTCGATGCATGTCAAAAGTGACATTTTTTCAAATTAATCGCTGAAAGTAGGCTTATTTGTTCGAATATCGGAAAAGTTTACTTGAAAAAGTTGTTTCTATTCCAATTTTACACATGCTTCTCGAATTTGATTGCAAATTTTAGATTTTGATTTTTCTTTTAATTTTTCGAAATTTCTGTAATATTTGGAGATTTGTTAATTCCACGAAACTACTTCATACCAGTAGCTTTTTCATGCTACTTACTTTCAATTACTTATTATCACTGATTATTCTATTAGAATTTTACTTATGTGACTCGTATTTTATCTTTCTATTACATTTTTTAGATTTCGATATTTTTTAAAAAATTTCGAAATATCTGTAACATTAAAAAAATTGTAAATTCGATAGAACTACTTCATACCAGTAGTTTCGTCATGCTACTAACTTTCAATTACTAATTATCACTAATTATCGACAAAAATATGATTTTCTTCAGAAAATGATAATCTCCGCTTCAAAATTCTGTTATGTTTGATGCAAACATAACATCAAAATTCTGTTATGTTTGAGTCGAGCATTTAGAAACGAAATTCATTCAAATTTATTTTTTCAGTACTTACTGAAAAGATCAGTTTAAATGAATTTTGTTTCTAAATGCTTGACGATATATCAACTTTGCATCAAACATAACAGAATTTGGAAGCGGGTATTATCATTTTCTGAAGAAAATCATATTTCTGTCCATAATCAGTGATAATAAGTAATTGAAAGTAAGTAGCATGAAAAAGCTACTGGTATGAAGTAGTTTCGTGGAATTAACAAATCTCCAAATATTACAGAAATTTCGAAAAATTAAAAGAAAAATCAAAATCTAAAAGTTGCAATCAAATTCGAGAAGCATGTGTAAAATTGAAATAGAAACAACTCAACTCAAATGAACTTTTTCTATATTCGAACAAATAAGCCTACTTTCAGCGATTAATTTGAAAAAATGTCACTTTTGACATGTAGCGAAAGTCATGTGACCCTGATTGAGTAGGCCATTTTCCATCTTTTTTGGAGCAAAACTTAACGTCCAACTCGAATTCCAGAATAAGTCATTAATAAAAGTTTTTCCCATATGATGCCGACTTTATGAATGACACTGTATACCTTAGGACAAGATCCACAGTTGAGTTTGTTGTAAGTATATCACCTTACTTATATTATTATTATTATTATTATTATTATTAATGTGTTAGCGAAACATGTTTTGTGTTTGAGAATTTCGTGGAAATCTTATCGTTTGTGATGTTTTTACATTTGCCATGGTTTTCCATCAAGTCACGGCCGAGTCAATTCCAATAATCTCTTTGGTTTTCACAAATTTCGAGCTACCTATGTTCAAATATCAAACGTTGCTCTCCAGAGTATTATCATTTGTTTAAAATTTTGATTAAATATCGACTCGACAGAGTCTGCTATAATGTTTCACATTGAAATGAAAAAAAATCAGTTCATTCGTATTGAAAGCCATTGTGAAGAAACCTTCAAGAGACAGTATTGGAAGTCATAAATAATATTTTCAAGGATACCAAGCTATCAAATCACTATAGTAAATGATGGTTTGAATATTCACGTTTAGTGATTGTCCTAATAATCATTAAACGTATCGAAGCCCTTGGGACCTCATTTCATTTTTTTTGCTATGGCACTATAAACTTAAAACTTACCTATGATAAATGGAAGAAACAATAAAGGATACTTATACTGGGCATGTGAATATCTTCTATACTGGCTCAAACACGAAGAACGAAATACTATTTTTTATAGTGAGTATTCCACTCTTGATCTCGAGAACCAATCAGAATCGACCATTTTCATGGTTTCTTCTGTATTCTAGCGATATTTTTTGTTTATTAAATTTTATCGGACTTGCTCTACCAATACAGAAGCCGAATTGACCCACACGTGACCAACTAACCTCGTTTATCAGCGATAAAATTTTGACATCGTGTCTGGTCAAGATTGCTTTGGATTCATATCTGAGACAATAACCTAAGTTCCTACTTTATTTTATTTACTTATAATTCGCGTTAGTGAGGCGAGGTGAGAAAGGCGAGACAATTTTATTCTGGCTGGACGTTTCATGTGTAATTTGAAAAGTTTGCATATTTGTTGACGGTCTGACACAACAATAATAGAATTCAAATTCCTTTTTGAAGTAATCTCCTTCAATTACTCAAGTTATTGTGACTGACTGATATAATTACTAGCTGATGTAGCGCAACTGTTAGGGTTGTTGCGCGAGGATACGAAGGTCGATGGTTCGAGCCCTCGGCGACGATATTTTTTTTTTTTTTTTCAATCATTCCTTGTCACATAAATTCAATTTATTTTGTTTGAATTGGATAGTAATTGTATACCCTCTTTTGAAAGCAACCATCTCCAAGATAATAAAAAAAATACTGTTTATCAAAATTGTATATTCCACTTAGTGAATAACTATGAGTAGGTAGTTAATTTCTAAAAAAGTAAATTCTGTATTTCATTACTATCATTATGTTCTTCTTCGCAGTTCGAGTTGGAATATACTTAAATTATGTTTCCTATTTCTTATATATATTGTCTCATTCAATCATGAAATAGTCATACGAATACAACTCGTGATACTATTTTTGCTGGAAATATTCGTCGATTGACATACTCCAGCTTGCTGCTCTAATTTCGCTCATGACATTGATCCAAAACTTCTCGCCTACGGCTCGTAGTTTTGATAACAATGTCATTCACGAAATTACTAGGCAACAAGCTGTCGTAACAATCACCGAATATTTCCGGCAAAATATTATCACTTGTGGTATTATATATGACTATAAAACTAATAAAATGTAATGTTCGTTTCAAAGAGGTGAGATGTATTTTCTAAAAGGACTTTTTGTTAACTAATGTTAGTTGCTACTTCACTTAGCATATTTGAGCTGAGCAAGAGTCCATGGTTACATTTTTGAAGTGTAGCTGATTCTTCTTTATTTTTGACTACACACTGGTGTGACTATCCACAAATGAACATTTTTTTTGTAACGTGATAAAATGAAATAAAATCTATTTTCCTAAACCATCCCAGTTTGTGTTTCTTCAATGCAATGATTCCTGTTTGAGTCAGTATTTTCACCACTAGAGTGCCTCGAACATCTCATTTCACGCCCTTTTGAGAGTGAGGACACGCTTGTCACCACTGACATTTCCGAATTATCATCATTCTCAGATTTAAAACGTCAGTTCTGAAAATGAAATTGGTACTTCTGTTCGGTAACGTATTGCAAAAATTCTGAAATTGATGGTTACATTTGAGTGGCCCAAAGACGAGGAGACATCCCAAGTGTTTGTTAAAGCTTCAAATTCCAATATCCCTTTCATGGAAATACATTCAATGATATAATATTGATATAACTACGCCACTGTTAGGGTTTCAAATTATGATAATATGCATAATAATACACTTGTTCAATGAAAAGGTACGGAAAGATGAGATTCCATCTCTTATAATAATAGTGTATTGAAATTTAAGTAGATATTAAGATCTTTCAAACACTCTTAAAAGACGTAAAATGAGAGAGAGGTACTCGACCAGTACTGGACAAAAAATCACATTGTACACAAACTGTCACTGAAATTAACCTAACTTAAGCCTGACACTAGATTCTATTAGAGTTCCTAAACTTACTTGACACTGCTGATTTTGACGTTTTTTGTATATTAGAGTACGGACACCATAGGTCGCGTGCACGATGACCGACCCTGGAGGCAAAATATTGAAACACAACCTCATTCTCCTGTGAATTATTGAAACACAACCTCACTTTTTCATTCGGTTACAGATGAATCAAAGGATTGAAATAGTTCACAATATTTTGGCATACGAATCGTGTTTTTTACGCTATTCATTAATTCGAGCATGCCTTCGCATTGTGCTGTTGTACAATGCACAAAAAATGCAGCAAGAGACTAGGGAATATGATTTTTCAGGTAAATAGTAATCTCACATAGTTATCATTATGAAATGTTGTCATTCCTTATTAAAATTCCTTCTGCCTTCTGCCACTTCTGCAATACAAGCTAATACTGCTAATAGATTGAAAATGTCTACAACACACACGATCGTCAGCATGTCAGACCTGTCCTACCGATTGATTGCATGAATCCAATCTTCTTGCATTATTTTAGAAATTTCAGGTATATTTCTATTAGCTCCTATTGCAGAAGGAATTCCGATGAGAAATCAGAGAAATAACCAAATTTCGAAAATGAAAACTATATGTCAGGGACTGTAGTAGGTACTTACTTTTAAATCATAATGTATCATCCGGATTCCTTCATCTTCTGCTGCAGTTTTTGTGCATTTTACAACAGCACAATGTGATGGCATGAGCGAATTGATGAATAGCGGAAAAATACGATTCATATGCCAAAATAATTGTGGAAAACTATTTCGATCACTTGTAAACAAATAAGAAAAGTGACGTTGTGTTTCAATGTTTTGCCTCCAGCGTCGGTCATCTGACAGTTCTTGCACGCAACCCATTGATGGAAAAAGCGGGAACTGACAGTACACGGACGTACATGACATAAATTTCAAAGGTTTGACAAATTGAGAGAATTAGGAGAAAGTTGCAAGTTTGTGCATGCTTCCAACTGTAAGAACACCGGAAATCAATTCACTCGAATTTCCATCGTATAACGTAATTCTACAAATATGGAAAGAGAATATGATACGACCGGCATGGAATATAGGTTCAGGCCACAAAATTTGCGAGGTATTCAAATTTCTTGGTAGGATATAGAACATTTTTCAACGCATTTTTATCAGGTACACTTCAGAACGGAAAATTTGATGTTGAAGAATAGGATCGTATTGAGAGAAAGAGCCGAACCCACAATTTATAAACTGAGCGAGTATCGAAAAGAACCTAATTCCAATTTAGAACCAACAAGAAACGAAAAAGTTGCTGATAATGAAATTCATTCCGAACAAATTTTGAAAGAAAAAGACTTGAGATCATGGTCGATCATCTGATGATGAAACAGCAGCAACTTCCTGAATTGACTGACTCAAACAGATTCCACATCCCTGTTCAACCAAGAATTCTTCAGATCATCTTCGTATACGAACTCTTATACTAATTTTGTGAAACATATAGTCACTTTGTGGAACTCTGATGTACCAGATATTGATGTATCTATATCAAAGAGTTGAATATATTGTTCGTGTATCACTTCTTCAAAGTTGATTACCCAAGTCTGAATGTGCATGTTCATGCGTAGTTGAGAAGTGCTAGACGACTACATAGCTCCTAGTGGATTTTGAACCACTTCTTGGGTACTAAGATACGAGCAAGATATTATCAGAGCACAGAACAAGAACGCTTAACGAGTGCACCATTTATGTTAGGTATTGAAAATGATCTTCATCAGATGGCCATAAGGGCACATATATGAAAAAAGGTCATTTACATAGATAATGAATAGGAGAGGGCCTAGTACAGAGCCTTGTGGGACCCCACATGGATGGACTTATCATTCAATATTTCGAGAAGAAATAGTTTTCTAATCAATTTATCGTACTCTTTTACCACTCGAGGAGACGCTATGCACTCTCATACAAAAATCAAAGACAGAGAAAGATATATGGATGTACTCTTCCCAGGACTTGTGGAGGAAGGAAAATGCGAGGATCCTTTATCTAAGCGAAAAACATAGTCTTGTCCTTGTCTGGCAAAACATATGATTTACTTCAAAATCGTTTGTGGTTATGTTTGATTGTCACTGCTTGTCTAGTGTCCGAACAAAAAACGTCAAAACAGAAGTGTCAAGTACATTTAGGAACTCTAGATTCTATCAAATAATATCACACCTAACGGCTTCATCAAAATCACTTACTCAGTATATCGGAACTGTAATTTTTTAAATTCTTAATATTCTTGATAGTCTTCAGCTCCCTGGTACCGTTAAATGTGAAATTGACGTCACAGTTACTCAACGGGTGGTTGTCCAGAGAGCTAGGGCTGACAGGGGTAGCAATCCCACTATCCAAGGAATCCGAAGGGGATGTTTTGCAGTCCCCGAACCCCATCGTCTGGCTGGTCTGGTTCTTGTCCTCGAACTCCTGTATGGTGATGTCGATCTTACTGTTCTGCACGTTCATCTTGTGCTGGAGAATGTCGTTGTGGGAATTCGAGAAGAACCTGACATAAATTCAGAAATGGTTTCTGAGAACATATGCATATCATGAGGGATATTCATTTATTTATTTATTTATTTACATCCAACAGGCAAAGCCCAGTTACAGGTGTAAATGATATAAGATCTATAATGCTAAAGATACACACTACTGAAAACGAAAAATAATTTACAACAAAAAATGAATTTTCCAATGATGTTGATATAGTTTTTTTGAATTGTGAAAGAGTCTGGAAAAAAATGTCAACACCATTGAGATTATTATAACTTCTACACATTGATGTAAGAGGACAATGAAAATGGTGTTGTGAATTTGGTACATCTATATGGAAAGTGATATTAGATCGTGAAGTTATACGAGGTACATTGAAATTGGGTGATGATATCGATATATCGAAGGCTTTTGACTGCGTGAATCATGAGATACTGTTGCGGAAGCTTCACCGTTACGGATTTCGAGATAAAGCACACTTATGGTTTACGACATATCTATCTGGCCGCACACAAGACAAAATCAATCTTAAGTTTAGGTAATATGCAATGTGGTGTTCCGCAAGGATCGGTCTTGGGTCCAATTTTGTTTTTACTATATGTCAATGATCTGACGACGCTTGACATTTCAGGAAATGTCACCCTGTTCGCCGATGATACCACCATACTATGGCATAAAGATAAGGAAGCTGATCTTCATCATATCATCAATTCAGACATAATAAGAGTCAGTGGTGTGACTCGAACCTCCTGTCCTTCAACATATTAAAAACCAAGATAGTACCTTTCAAATGTTCAATTACTGATATTCATTTAAATCACCAAATTATTGAAAACAGTGTGTGCTCTAAATTCCTAGGACGACGACGACGGTCTCAAATTCAATGGATATTTGAGAAACTTGAATAAAAAATTGTCTTCTAGTTGTTATGCTGTGAAAATTTCAGCGAATGAACTAGGATACTCAACCGCAAAGACAGTATACTACTCCTTGGTAGAGTCTCATTTGCGGTACGGTATCCCATTCTGGGGAGTGTGCAGTGGTAATGTGCTCCAAAGTGTTTTTGTTTCACAAAAAACGAGCCTTGAGATACCTCTGTAAACTAAAATTTCGCGATTTGTACAGACTTCACTTCAAGCAACACAACATACTCACGGTAGTTTCAATATTTAAACTCGAAACAGTGTGTCATGATATTTTGATTGATTGATTGATTGTGGGTCCCTGGGCACTCAGGGGTACCTGGTAACGAAATATGGCCAATACTGGAACAACTTCAGTATGCAGGGACTCCTGATGAAAAGGTTTCAGGACAGCTGGAGAGAGGCTCCTGGGATGAGGCAGTCCAAACTGCATATAGAAAATCGGTCACGAAGACAGACCAATGCCCTCTCGGCTTTGAGCAGGAAGGACTTGCAACTGGTGGTGGGCCTTCTGACAGGGCACTGCCTCTTTTGAACAAGCATCTCAGCACGATGGGAATTGTTGAGGATCCTGAACGCAGATAGTGCTCAGAGGATGAAGAGACCTTTACTCACATCCTCACTGATTGCCCGGCAATAGTGACAGCAAGGAATATCCATTTTTGGGGCAGTATCCTGAACCGAGAGGATGTTTGATATTTTTGGCCTAGAAAGTTGGTATCTTTTGCCCGCGAGATCGGCCTTCTCTGTGGCTGACTTACAATCCCGATTCACCGCCCACACATACATACATGACCAGTTGAATAAATAATTGAAATTAATAACCTGGAGGTTCTGTCCATGGGTGAGTTGTTGTTGAGGCTGTTGGCTCTGAATTGGTCCTGGTTGAGGTTGAGAGGCAGGTTGATCTTCCCGGTACTATTGGCCTTCACCATGATCTTCTCGGGAGACCTCGGCGGTCTAACATTAGCGTTCCTCCGTTCTGTGAACGACAGCTGAGCCAGTATCCTTTGAACGTCGTCTGGAATTTCCACGTCCACGTTTTGTTCCACCAGAGAGTTTATGAATTCGCCTATAATTTAATAATTTACTAAATGTCAAAAGAGGCAAATACTGTGAAAGAGCTATTTTTTTATATCTGTTCTTAGTTCTTATATACAGTGTGTCCCAAATTCCATGATTATCATTGGGATCTCCGTAACTATGAGATAGAGAGCCGGTTAAATTAAGAAAGTTTTAGCAAATTCAATTTTGATTCAGAATCTGTAGAGAAATCTGGACTAGCTTCAGTCATTTCTAAGTTATTCAAGAAAAAGTGGAACTATATAATCCCATCTGGGGTGGCGATTCTCGCCCCACTCACATAAAACCTAACCGAACCTAAGATTTATGCTATAATAAGTTTTTCATCCTATTCATTCAATAGACAGCAATGTGTTGAAATAGACTCAAATAACGTATCTAATTTTGAATTCATAGCATGTGGGGTCCCACAAGGCTCTGTACTAGGCCCTCTCCTATCTATTATCTATGTAAATGACCTTTTGCCATATATGTGCCCTTATTATTGCATTATTGCATTTGCAAACGACACTACTCTCACCATCTCAAATGAAAGTACACTTGGTTCATTGGCAAATATAAATTTCGCTCAAGCTAAAGCGGAAACTTGGTTCAGAAGTAACAATCTCAAATTAAATAAAAATAAAACAACATATATTATTTTCAACTAACAACTCGGGGGCATTTGGTGAAACTGTCAAACTGTTAGGTGTTACACTGGACGACAGACTAAACTGGTCAGCTCACACAGAACAGCTATGTATGAATATTTCCAAATGCTTTCTTCCATTCAAGAATTTCATATGGAATAATACTATGGGGAAATAGTGTTAATGCAAACGAAGTTTTCATGTTACAAGAAGAAGCAAAAAGTATAATCAGTGGGTCAGGGTTTACCGATTGCTGTAGACCGCTTTCCTAGAACTCAGTATGATGACGTTACCATCCATTTACATCTATCAATCTATTTTAGAGATGCATAAAATCAAGAACTATCACGAAAAGAATGCTGATTTCCATACTTATAACACTAGAGGCCGTCATTTGATAAGACCATCTAAATTCAGATTACAAAAATCAAGTATGAACTCTTTCAATGTGAATCTTTACAACATACTAAAGACTACTTACGTCTAAGCATTGAGTTACAATAGTTTCAAAAAACACATGCATTCACATTTGACCTCAAATGTATATTATTACTATTGGGGAATACATAGCTGCCCTAACATCCATAACAAAATAAATAACCATTATTTCTCATATATTATTTTTATATACATTACTTTTTGTACAGTTTTATCGTAGCCTTTTCATATTATCTTTGTATGTTTGTATGTATACAGACCTCTTTTTTTATGTTTAAATTTTTACTCCATCTGTTAATCTCTAGTGTATAGCCACTTGGTTTCTGTAATATTCGTGACCTATATGTATTCGCGAGATTCACGAAGTGGGCGACATCTAGGTTACATAATACGAACTTCAAACTAGGGTAAAACAAACTGTTGTCTATGGATAAAGTGCATAGACTACATTGCATTTAGCTTGCTGTAGCTGTAGTCAAACTTGTCAAAGACATAAAGTATTGGCACTGTTGGTAGTGATAACGGTTGAGTTGGTTAATTTTTTCACCTTATTACATTTTTATTAGTTTAGTGAACAGTGAACGGGTGAAAAATTGGAGATAGTTCAAACAATTCGAACTAATTATGACGAGCAAATCAATTGGCATATAAAAGAACAGCTACAACATGTTTACAATACCCAGATTGTCCTGCTTTGCATGAACAAATACAATTTCATCGTTCTACAGGAGTTCCACTGGACCCCAACTTCAATTTTACTTCATGTGGGGAAGATTTCAACGCCGAAGTTTGTAGACAAAGTGCTAAAATGTGCCTTTTGTTGAAGTCTTCTTCCTCACACAAAATCACATGATTTTTCCGTCTAAATGAGGCAAAATATCTGCCAAAAGTACATCTACAACAGGCATTATTACCGTTTTCGATCGAATATTGAGAATTAATGTCAAGAAATTTACGACGATTGAGTTTGTTTTCCCCCAGTTTTGACGTGGCTTTGACATGGAACGATGAAACTCGAGCGCCACCTGGTAACATTGATTCCCGCGAATATTGTGACGTATCTTATTTGTATTCTTATGAATCTATCTATGTATCTATACCTAGCGTTGCAATGGTCACGTTCAGTCCTCTGTTTTGCATTTCCAGTCGGTTCAGCTGGGACTGTTGGAGGGCTCTGGTTTTCTCGAGGCGGTTCACATTGGAAATTGTGGTTTCCAGCTGGGTCATCAGGAGTTTCTTCTGTTCGGCGAGTACTCTGTTCTGGAATTCCTGTTTTTGAAGGGCTTCTACGTGGGGCTTCACGGCGGTGGTTTCTTCTTGCAGCACATGGTATTCCACTTTGTATTCGTTGAGTTGCTTTGCGAAATCTGTTGTGTATACCTGAAAAATTCTCACCTATAATACCACTAGAGCTTCAATTATTTTTGAAAAATGTTCCGATATTAGGTGGGAAAATGACGATATGATCTGAGCAGCTTTAAGTATTTAGATATCATTATCGGTGGTTTTATCTCTGAATCTGTTCTAAATGTCTATTCTAAATCTGTATTGTCTATACTAATATTATAAAGAGGAATGATTTCATTGTTTGTTTGTATGTATTGAATAGGCTCCAAAACTACTGGATCGATTTGGCTGAAAATTGGTGGGGAGGTAGCTTAGAACCAGGAGAAGGTTATAGGATACTTTTTATTCCGGTATAATTAGGAAATTCAAGATGGCGGATCTAATATATCGGACGAATGTTGTAATTATGATCCGATTCTATTCAAAATTGATATTTGGGGGTTTTCGGGGTCGGAGATTATGATGCTCTCATCAGAATTTGCAAATTCGGGCGGAATTTGGAAATTCAAGATGGCGGAACCAATATGGCGGACGAGTTTTGTAATGATAATCCGATTCTTTTCAAAATTGGTACCTAGGGGTTTTCGTGATCCAGGATTATGATTCCTTCGTCAAAATTAAGGAAATCAAGATGGCGGATCCAAAATGGCGGATTTTGTAATTAGGATCCGATTTTATTCAAAGTGGGTATCTGGTGGTTCTTGGGGCCGGAGATTATGATTCTTTCGTCAAAATTAGGAAATTCAATATAACAGACCCAATATGGCGGACGAGTATATTGTAATTATTATGATCCGACTCTCTTCAAAACTGTTTTCTGGGTGTTTTCGGGGTCGGAGATTATGATTCTTTTGTCAAAATTTGGAAAGTGCGGGATTTGGAAATTCAAGACGGTGGAACCAATATACCGAACGAGTTTTGTAATTATATATCGATTCTATTCAAAATTTGTGAGTGGGCGGTTTCGGGATCAAAAATCATGATTCCTTCGTCAAAATTAGGGATTTCAAGATGGTAGATCCAATATTGCGGACGAGTTTTGTAATTATGTCTCGATTCTATTCAAAATTTTCATCTGGGGTTTCAGGAGTCGGATATTATGATTCTTTCGTCAAAATTGGGAAATTCAAGTGAACTGAAAAGAAGTTGAAATAAATGGTATTTTGAAAAACTAAAGAAACACGCTTTTATAGATAACGAAACTAACGAAAGTAAATGTTCAGTTTTATATTCTACATTGGAGAAAGAGGAATATCAACAACATTTCAGAACAATTTCTAGAGAAGAAACATTTCCGGGATTTTTTTCAATTTTTTAGTTGCTATGGTAACGATACTCACAGAATAGGTACATGCTTTTAATTGGTCTAAAAAGATAGGTGTGGTATTTTCAGAATGAGATGTTGTTCTTGTTATTGAGATGATGAGCTTCTTACCTCTTTCATTATCTTGTCCATTATCGATTTGTCTATGTTGGGTAGTTGGACTTTGAGGTAGTTCATGATTTCTTCGAAACTGTCGCAGAGCAACAGTTTTTCTTTGTGGTATGACAAAAGGGCTAGCGCAACCCGGAAGATTACATCTGGACCTTCCATAAACAATAAATCTGTGAACAGATGAAAATTTTTTCAGCCTATTTTCAGCGATTAATGTAATAATGAAGTCATCAAATATTCCAATAATTTCAAGTTTCTTGGGCTGTATATAGATGAAAATTTGTCATGGTCAAAACATTTTGAAATACTAGGGTACGGAATCAAGTTCCTATAAAATGTGTCAAATCTATATACTTCTCCTTGATCTATTCTAAACTAGAATATTTGATTTCTGTATGGGGATTAACAAAACTATCAATAATGAAGTCTCTCAAAACCCATGAATATTACCTTGTCATGATGGCATGCAATACCCTGTATGTGATATTATTATCTTTTCGAATAGAGGGGTTCATGAGGTAGAAATTAGACGTGAAGCGTTTATTTCTACTGAAGATTTATCACGACTTAGAGCACATAATTCAAATCGATGCAAAATATTCTAAACAGCCAAAATCAAATGTATGACACCCTGTAGCTCGAAATTTGGTCATTGGATCGATCTGTAAATAGGACTGTGTAATGAGGACGCTAATATCTGGACCTTTCGGAATAAATTTGTATTATTAAAAGTTTTAACTTTATGAATGACACTGTACATATATTCGCGGCGGGTTGGACGGTGTACTATTCCATTTTTTTTTTTTTTTTTTTCAAAAAATTTCCAACCCCATAGTAAAACCTCGTGATTGAAATATTGTCCGACTCACCAAACACTCTAGTGACGAATCCCAAAGGAAACTGCGAAGCGAACACTGTGAGCAACCAAGGAGCAGCGTACAAAGTAGGCGCCACATCGTAAGAATCAAAGTGCTCATACAACTCCGGAAGCTGATCGTGCAGCAGCCTCGAGAGCTGGTAGAGTTTGATCTGAAGACTGACCATGTCGGGCAGATACTGAGAGCGCATGCCCCGCCTGAACATCAAGTGCCTCAGGAGAGTGAAGGCCTGAAATTCTTCCATCTGCAAAACAACGTTCAGTGGTCACACAGGATTTCCTGGTGAGCGAGTCGACACGTACGTGTAATAGTAGGATTCCTGTCACGAAGCTCAGTCCTTGGCAGTATCCGACTTCAGGATCCAGTAAGGAATAAGCTTTCAGGAGATTGAATAAGGCAAGTTGACCTGGTCCTAGCGGGCTGCTGAAGTATGAATGATTCGGAAAGGTACGTCCTGGAAGAAATCATATTGTTTGTAACTGCCAACGTCAAAGACACAGACCACTATCTACCAAGCATCGAACATAATTTCGAAACAAGAGAGGTACGGATTTTCATGATTTATCGAACATAATGGTCCTTCGAGCCGGATCTATTCATATCAAACAAGTTCTTCACGAAGGATACAAAGCAGCACTCAAGATTACATATTTGTCAATTGTCTTCCTCACCTAAATCTATCAAAATGGCGTGCTGGTGTGCAGTGAGCTGCTTCAACAGCGTCTCGTACGGCACATTGTAATTGGGATGCTTCGCCGCATCGACTGGCGCCACCTGCTGGCAGAACTGCTCCGCCAGGAATTTCCACACCTCCCCGCGCTTGCCTCTCGGCACCCCCTGTCTGATCGCCTGCAGCAGCATCTGGTGGTCGCACTTGATGCGACCGCCCTCTTTGCTCGTCACCATTTCCCACACGTCCATCACTTCTCTTCGGGCTGAACTCATTTCGTCGTATTCGAGTTTGATTCTTTTCACGGCGGACTCCTCTTGTTTAGCTGGAAACGGATGGTTACGATTAGAGTGCCTTCATAAATAGTGTGAAGACAATAGTGGTACACTTTTTGATTGGTCAGACCTATAATATGGAGGTGCAACCACCTGTCTTGTTTTCTCCATTCAGTTCTACGCATTCTATTTCACTTTGTTAGTGCTTTGTCTCTGTTTTTTGCTCTTTGGACACAAAACATCAAACAATCAGATATGAAACTCTATACGTCAGTACCTTGGGTATTATCTATTAGAATCCGTCTTTTAGGACTCGTAAATCTGAGATTCTTCAGACGATGAGATGGAAATATCAAATATCTAAACCTGACATCAATGGTCACTTCAAAGGCGCAAATTCATTACTGCATGTGAGATACCCTTCAGATTGTTCTCTATTCAGTTACTTGACCACGAATAACATTCCGGAAAGGGCAGCTCTTTGGAGGTCTATTGTCGTCACTCTATTTAATCTACTCACTCTAGTTACGATGATGATTTTCAAGGTCATTAGATGATAACTATAACCACAATTATACTTCGAGTTATGAGAACGAATCCTAACAGTATGATATTCAATTTTAGGGTTGTTGGATTCAGGAATTGCAAAATTTTTCGATATTTTATATTCATACTACTGTCCCACCACTTCTGTACTTATTTTTCTTACAACGAAGTCAACAATACCGGGTTTGACGGGGTATTTCAAACGATTATGAAACAAATATTTTCGTAAACGTTTGAAATATTTCTATCAGATCCGGTATCGTTGAATTCGTTATGATAATCCCTAATAGAATATTAAATGAAATACAGAGTGTCCATTTGACATTTGGAAATCAAACGTTGTAATCGTTTCCGGTAAAGCCGGAAGTGATGGGGAAATGTGAAATATTGCAAAATTTTTCAATTTTCAAATCCTACACCTCTGCCAAAGGATCCCGCACGGTTCTTATGGAAAATGGGTCCCAGTCGAATTGGCTCAAAATTCGGTAAAATGTAGGTCATGATGTCTCATACCTTCGGAACTTTGGAAACCATGACTTGCCTAATGAATTCGTAGGTACCCGTAAGTAGTATGCACTTGATATTTATCGAAGATCCCTCATCCACTCGATTCTTTCGAAATAATGTTGAATAATTCAATAACTTTTTATTGTCTGTTCACTGTCTAGAGAACAAATTTTTAATTCAGCGATCTATACTTGTTTACGTGGTTACTATAGTAACATTGTGTCCTTAACCATATTATTCATTTCCTTCAGGGGTGTGTATTCAGTGATTTATTTTGTTCACTGACTATTAGAGGTAGTGATGTGTCTGCTGGTCAATCGCGCTAGTTTACTGACAAGAGTTCATTTATTTCAATAGAATATACTACAAAAAAATCCAACGACACTCATAAGATTCTTGTTCATAGAAAAGAGGCGCTGATATCGTCATATTTTTAATGGCCATCGGACCAAATAATAACAATCACTTATGCCAAAAAAATACTGAAATGTGTTGCCAAGTCGCAAATTTGAATTCTATTCTGAATACTTATAAGTAAAAGAAGCATTGCTGCCAAATTCTCAAACTCCACTGGATATCAGGTTCCATTCCTTCATTTTCTACCTGTAGAATTTCGAAATTACCATCAAAACTATGGTTTTCTTCTAATATATGGTGGGCGTATGTTGAATTTGTTTTCTTTTTTGTAAAATTCATTTTATGTTCATGAGTGCGCTGATTAAACGTACGACCTGTCTGGCCGATATATACCTTAGGACACAGTTGAGTTTGTATACTCCTGATTTTTCGAATTCAGAAGTTTGGTCCTTATCATTTTTTATAAACCTTCCCAACGTGTTATTTGTTCTATATGCTACTTTTAAGTCCTCTTTATGTAGAAATGAAGCTAATTTTTCAGTTGATGATTCGAAATAGTTTAAAATTCTATGATCATGATTATCATTCTGAATGGTAGGATGAACTTCTTGAATAGCTTTATTATTAAGTTGTTTAGAAAGAATGCTGTCAATCAAAATAACGTTGTATCTGTTGTTGACAGCAATCTGTTTTATGATATTGAGTTCTTTATTGAAATTTAATTCCGACAGAGGGACATTCACTAGCCTGTGTATCATACTATAATATGCTGCAATTTCATGTTGATAAGGGTGTGTTGAATTATTATGAATAGTGATATCAGTGTGGGAAGGTTTATGGAAAATTGAAAAATCATGTTTATCATGGATTTCCATCAAATAATTCAGAACTTAGCAATGATACTTACCTCGAATTCTAGCGTTTTCCTTCTCCATTCTAACCAACAGTATCGCCTGGTAGATGGATTTCTTCCACAATATTCTCAGGTCCTCTTTGGTCCTTTTCCTGGGTGGATGCTCTGAGTTTTCTAGTTTACTTGGCGTTATCACACGTTTGAATATGGCTTGACGCCATGAACCGGCATCTAATCTATTCGGAGACCCATCTTCCCCAACAGAAGCTTTGGGGCTATTCCCCACTTTAAGGAAACTGAAAAAGGAAAAAACAATAAGAACTAGGCTTCAATTCTGCTGTTTTTCGTGGCTTACATATCCAACATTGGCGATTTCGGTCCTTTATCGATAGCCATTCCCCTTTCGGGTGAGATGGAGCTGTTCTGGCCGTTGTCTCGAACACCTAGGTGTGTATCTTTAAGGTCACTTTGTGAACCGATGGTAGACGAACGGGATCTACCACCTTCAGATTCTCTGTCTGAGATGTCATTGTTGATGCTTGGAGATGGTGAATGTGACTCCTACAAATAATCATCATCAATCATTCTTCAATTTTTTCAATGAAAAGCAGAGGAAGATTTAGTATACAGGGTAGGGTGTATCTAAATAACACCGAGAAAATTCAAGGGGTGTTTCCTTGTGATATTCTAGCAAATAAAGTTCATATAAACATGTTGTGTCCTAACTTGCTCCGTTTTTGAGATACAGGATGTTGAAGTTGGAAGTATTAATTGTTTGTATTTATAACCTCCCTGTATAAGCTTTCATGGTGCCGAAATTCAGTATGGATGGAGAAATGTCAATATGATTCTAATTGGGGTTATTGAGTAAACTCAATGGAAGTCTTGAAAACACCTATAGTCCAATAAATGAAGGAGGAAAAAAAGCAAAGTTAACGTTAATTACGTACTATTTCCATCTTCCGGTTGGAAGTAGCTTTTGGTACCTCATTAAACATGAGACAAAGTTTGACTAGAAAACGCGTGCGATGGCGGAGAAAATGCCCCCAAAAGACCAGAAAGATAGGTTTTCAGCCAATATCTCCTAAAATATGACAGTTAGAGATTTTCGGTTCAGATAAAAATTGAAGTTCAGTTAATTTTCTACAAAAATGGTCCTTATCATTTTTCTCGAAAATTTGCCCGGTTTCGAGAAAAACGGCACGAAGCGCACCTCGAATAATGAGCTTCTGTGTTGTATGCCGGAGAGCACGGTCCGTGTATTTACACATCGGCGGGGGGACAAATTATTCAATAACTTTGTTAAAAATGCATATTTTCTCATGATTCAAAGTTCATGTGGAAGAGGAATTCTGCTGCTATCATGGAAATATTAATACCCTGTATCTCGAAAACGAAGCACGTTAGGACACATGTTTAAATGAACTATATTCCCTAAAATATCACAAGGAACCACCCCTTGAATTTTTTCGGTGTTATTCAGATACAACCTAAAGACTTTATTTGATTCCATCGTGGCAGAGTTATTTTGTTATCGTGAGTTTGTTATTGGTGTCCTCAAGACAAATAGCGAATGAATAGAATAGAAGAAATGAAATAGTTGCAGTATTGATCACTCTCTAATGGACTCACTCACAAATCTTCTCTTTTTGGCTACAAAATAACGGAAACCCAACACTTTGTAGCAGTGGATTGATAACAACTTAATGCAAAGTTGAACGCAAATAGGCTCTATGAATGTTAACATTTCTGGAAGGTCACTCACCCTGTTGGGATTATTCTGTCCGGGCGTGTTCACCCCCTTCAAGGTCACTCCGAAATCGTCCTTGGACGCCTTCCTCTTCAACAGCTGGTCGAAGGAGTTGCTCAACGACCTCTTTGCCTTGGTGAAGATGGTACCGCCACCCAAATACTGGTTGAGGAACTCCGACCTGTGTAGCATAGTAGGTATTTACATATTGTATTAGATTGAGTAATTTTGGTATTTTGGTACCAGATTGTCGTGTAAATAGTATATTGTTTAACGAGCACGGAATGATAGTGATTTCCTACGAAAATGAAGTTTGCAGTATGAGCCATAGGCGAATGCTGCAATCATTCGAGTAGGAAATTAGCATTCCGTGCAAGTTATACACCATAATTTTTCTACGGCTGTAACAGATAACAGCAGCATTTTCGATTTCTTCGGCTTGTAGCCACCTGATCATGTACATCAGATACGGAAATACAATTGATGACATACAAAGTACCTCATTGATGTATCGAACACAGTAAAACGAGCAATTTTGTGTAAGATTAGATTGGAATGGGGCCTTCGGGCTATCTGCCTCCACACTGCGACCTTTTCAGATCTATTGTCCCTCCCCTCAAAATGGATTAGAGTTCTTCGGCTAGCCCCGCCTTCTCTATGAGACTCCATAGGCTAGCTTTCAGATCTCCTGTGTATCTCTGGGCTCCTGGTTTTTCCTCACCCAGCGTAAGGAACCTTAGTCTTGACAAGCCCTCACAGTGGCAAATTATGTGTATTGCTGTTTCTTCCTCTTCTTGACAGAACCTGCACAGCAGTTCTTCAGTCAGACCTATCGTACTCATGTGTTTGTTGAGCCTACAATGCCCTGTGAGAAGTCCCACTAGTATTCTAGTTGAATTTCGTTTCTGGCTTAGTAGATATTCTGTGAATGTTGGCGATGGTTTTTTAATAAACTCTTTTGCCTGTCTCATTCCTGGCGAGTTGTTCCACCATTCTTGAGATTTAGTTTGCATCCATGATTTGATACTAGTCTTTTGTATAGCTTTCGCAATACCACAGAAGGGTTCTGGGACATTAAGAGCTTTGTTTGCTCCTGCTCGGGCAAGTGAGTCTGCCTCTTCATTGCCCTCGTACCCTGTATGTGCTGGTACCCATGCTAGAGTCAATCTGTTCTGACTGAAATTTTGTGTTATAGCCGTAGAAAAAAATATTTGGACCACTTTTCAAAAATGCCCATTTTCGAGGAACACCTTGTAACTCCGAAACGAAAACAGATATCGATATGCGGGTTTCACCATTGAGTTTTGCATGAGAATCGACCCTCAGGCACCGACATCAGTTCGGACTTTTTATATTTCGAACGACAACAAACCAAGTATCACCGTTTTATTGACTATTCTGTGGAATTTATTATCATCCTGGTGCCACTGGCCATTTGGTCTCACATCGAACGTGTGGTGGAATGTTTGGAATGTTTGACAAAAAGGGGTATTTGACAAACATCATATTAATTTTGTTGTAATAATAAACTTTGAAAAAAAAAATAGAAGATACGGAATAGGGTATAGTTCTTCTACTGATGGAAAAGATGAGCCAACAAGAGAGGAAAAATGTGCATGAATAACTCATGGCTCTGAAAGGTCTTTGTATTGAGTCTTGGAATAACAATCTCATACAAAATTTCATTTCTTTGGGACTTCTTCATTACACATTCTGAAAAAGGTCAGTATGAAACATCATCATCCCGGATTCAATTATGCCATCTTACGAATCCATGATCAAAGTTTCAATGCACTTTCCTTTCCCATATTTAATATGGTACTCACTGGCTCACTGCATGATTCATTTCAATATTCTACAATAATAGGTACTATCAAAATTTGACAATATTTAATAACACCAATTTCTAGGGAATGCTTTTTGATCAATCATAGTAGAAATACACTCTACCCCACAACCCACGTACCAAAATTATTATTCAATATGTATCATCAATCCAATTGATCCAATCCAAAGATCCAAACATTGATATAATCTGAACTGTTTTTTATTGATGATTATTTAGTCATTTTGGTTGTATTTGATTGTCACACGGTTGTCATCACATCAATGTCACTCTTCTTAAGGCTATATTCCGAATTCAACTGACAGTACTGAATCTGCTGAATTTTCATTCCGAAATCAAAAAATTGACTGAAAGTGACAGATACTCGTGAGGAGATATACTATTCATTCCAAATATTTCGACTCAACATTCTGCTGAAATTGCTGACTATCAAAAGGTAGTGTGGCTTCAGTGAACTGTCATTATTTTTGAGGGGAAAGGAATGACAAAGGTTATATTCCGAATTCAACTGGTCAGTACTGTCAGTTGATCCACTGACTCTGCTGAAAATCTGTGTTCCGAAATATAAAACCAAAAATTCACTACTGTAATTCGGGACACGTTTTCATGGTTTTCATCAGTAGTAGTTTCTCGTTTATCTGAACTAGATATTTAGCCTCCTACTTGTTATAAATTTTGGAAATTTGATATTTAACATCGAAGAGAAATCGATTCTTGTATCCTCTATAGTTTCTACGATTGTTGACGATGGCAATTCAAGCTCGAGTGATGAAGAATACTTGGACATTTTGTTGCCATAAATTTCTCATGATGCACCAGAATGATAATTGAGATTCATGAAAATCGCAATATTCCTCAATAATGATGAATTTTAGGAGACATTCCAGGTTTATTTAGTTTATTTAGCCAAATGCTGCTCCTTTCCTTACCTGCTCTACTACTTCATACTCCAGGTATTTTCTGATATTGAGAATCATTTCATTAACAACGGAAATGAATGTTACATTCCTTCCCCCTCTAAAATATGACAGTTCACTGAAGCCACACTACCTTTTGATACTCAGCAATTCCAGCAGAATGTTGAGTCGAAATATTTGGAATGAATAGTATGTCTGCTGACAAGCATCTGTCACTTCCAGCGAATTTTTTGATTTCGGAATGGAAAATCAGCAGATTCAGTACTGTTAGTTGAATTCGGAATATAGCCACATTCATTACCGTTGTTTTTCAAACATCAAGTCTTAGCTTATCAATAATACATTAATAATATCATTTTGATATCAGAAAATGCTTGTTATTTATTTAGCTCAAGCAGGAGCATCTGCCAGATCAATGACAACTTACAAATTTCACCAGCTGATCAACTGCTGCTGATTACTGATGAAAACGTGCTCCGAATTACAGCACTGTATTTTTGATTTTATATTCCGGAACACAGCTTTTCTGCAGAGTCAGTGGATCTACTGACAGTACTGACCAGTTGAATTCGGAATATAGCCTTTCTTTGCCGTTTAATTCCTTCCTTCATGATTCATATACCAGAGATTCACAAAAAACGCGACTATTGAGTTCATTGGTTTCACCTGTTCTCGGCCGTGTCATGCACATGCCTGGCCTGCTTCATCTCGCAGTGCGCACGCAACAGCATCATTAGGAACTCATTCTGCTCTCTGGCTGAGTCCGTTTCTGCGCCGCGAAATTTCGTGAGAACGATACAGCGTTCGTCGTCATCCAGTTGGTCTAACCTAAAAACGAAAGGATCTGTGTTCAATCCTAAAGGATCGGTGTTTGATCTTGATCATAGACAGATGTTTGTGAAAGTCGAGAACCATTATTCCAGTAAACAGACACTGAGCATTGGTGTTCCACAGGGCTCAGTGCTGGGGCCGCTATTATTTTTATTATTCATCAACGATATGCCTGAGCATATTGATGCTAAGATGTTAGCACTATTTGCAGATGACACTTCATTAGTTGTGACAGCAGACACCTTTGTGGAGCTTGCTGAGTCAACCAAATTGATCATGAATAGCTTCAATAGTTGGTGTGATCAAAATAATGGTTTAATTTCGAACATTGCCAAAACAGAATGCATATATTTCACATTTCATGCTAGCTTGAACGTCTTTCAACTTAATTTGAATGGTGAGACGGTTGTTTCTAAAACTTGTACGAAATTTTTGGGTATCCATGTTGACCAGCATTTGAGATGGACCTATCAAACCGACACAGTTAGCAAAAAGCTCAATAAATCTAGATTTGCAATCTCACGAATAAAGTCATCTATGCCAGTAGAGTCATTGTTAACAGTATACTATAATATGGTATATAGCCATATGTCATATAATGTGGTGCTCTGGGGAAATTGTGCTGATAGTGACAGAATATTCATCGCTCAAAAGAGAATAATTCGCACCATGTTCAACTTGCCCCCTAGAGAGTCATGTAGGCCCTATTTTGTTCATTACAAAATCCTAACGTTCCCCTGTATATACATCTTCAAATGCCTGCTATATTTCAGGGAAAATATAGGTAAGTTCAAAACTAATTCTCAGTACCATTCATACTCGACCAGAAAGAGAAATTTCTTGTGTATTCCATCACATAAAACAGCTAAATTTGAAACAAGTCCTAGTTATTGTGGAATTATGTTCTACAACCATCTCCCCTAAAGCATCCAATGCCTGGATGGACATTCATTCAAAAAATACATAAAATCACTATTAGTATCCAAATGCTACTACAGCATAGATGAGTTTATGTCTGATAGAGATTTCAGAATCTAATCTGTTTTGTTTTATATATACGTTTGTAACCTGTGTGATCACTGTTTTATACACTCAATTTTTCTTATACATATACTTGTTAGTACCACCCTGACCTGTCCTATACATATAAATGTCTGAAAGGATCAATAAATTATTTATTTATTTATTTATTTATTTAATGCTAAAGGATCGGTGTTTAATCCTAAAAGATCGATGTGTAATCCTATAAATAAGTCGGGTATCATTGATTATTAACACTAATGAGATGAACCATCCTTACAGATAGATAGATAGATTGATTCTTTTTTTTTTGATGTATGATAAATTGACATTCATCATACAGGACGTGGAAAGAAATTCTGAATTGAGAAAAACCTAATCACGAATCTGCGATTGAGGTCTATACAGGGTGGGCCACCAGTAACGCCTCGGTCTCTAGAAGGCTAACCACTTATCTTCTTGGAATTCTTCCTCTCTAGGAAGTTGCATGTCAACATAGGCAACCATTTAAACTTATTTCGAAACATACAGGGTGTCCCCAAAAACCATAAAACACTGAAGTTAATTTTTTTTCTATCGAACACCCTATATATATATTATTTCATTTTGAGATTCTCCCTGATGAGCTGATTTCAACGACCCGAAAAATCGAGATTTTCCAAGTTCAAGAATTTTTTGTGTCGAAACCATTTATAATTGGTCAAAACGGCTCGCATGTCCCCATCTCAACTTTTGATCAACTATCTACTGACATTTAATTGAAACAAATACAGGGTGGTGCAGAATTCAGTATCTTGATCACCCGGTATATGTCCCAATTAAATATCAGTAGATAGTTAATCAAAAGTTGAGATAGGGACATGTAAGCCGTTTTGACCAATTATGAATAGTTTCGACACAAAAAATTCTTGAACTTGGAAAATCTCGATTTTTCACACCCTATATTTCAGTAATTATAACTGCTAGACCCCAAGTATGATGGGTCGTTGAAATCAGCTCATCAGGGAGAATCTCAAAATGAAATAATATATAGGGTGTTCGATAGAAAAAAGTTTAACTTCAGTGTTTTATGGTTTTTGGGGACACCCTGTATGTTTCGAAATAATTTTAAATGGTAGCCTTTGTTGACATGCAACTTCCTAGAGAGGAAGAATTCCAAGAAGATAAGTGGTTAGCCTTCTAGAGACCGAGGCGTTACTGGTGGCCCACCCTGTACATAGAAATAACAAGTTTCCATCGTTCAAGTTTGAACCCCTTATTGTTTGGGTGAAAGTATTGAAAGGGAACATTCTCAGATATATTTATAAACACAAACTTTTTTCCCGTCACAGAAAAATTATTTTTTTTATCTGAAAGTCAGAATATGGAAGCAGATTCCAAGTATAGACTAAACATTTTACATGGAGGGTCATCTTGTTAGTGTAAGTAAATGATCAAGGCTGCTGTCGAGCTGTTCATGATTCACTATGTCAATTTTCATAGTTTTCGCGCTGAACCTAATACATCTGGTTCATTTCTAGATTCTGTTTATTATGGAACGTTAAATATAAAGACATAGTCAATCATGAATGTAATAATGAAAATGCCGATGCATTAGGAACAAATTATAGAGGCCTTATTTGGTTGGCAGTGTATTTCACTTCTAATGGATACACCCTTTTATACAGTATATTGATTGTCTTTATTACCCCAAGAAACATTTCTGTTTATGATAGGGATACATAAATACATATAAAAAAAAATAATAATAAAGGGTTAACTATAATGAATTCCACTCAGTGGAAACGAATTAATATTGTGTCTTATAAGATTAAAGTTATATTTCATTCCTAAGTAATCGAATCATGCCACATATTTTTCTTTCAAATTGTCCTGAGCAAGTATTTTTTAAGATTGATTTTAAACCTTCTTGCATCATGTATATTTTTCAACTCATTCGGTAATGAATTGTATAAAATTATTCCATTGTGAAAAACAGATTGTTTGCCAATGTTTGACTTGAATGTATTTGCTATCAAGTAATTCAATTGTCTAGTCCCATAATTATGGACTGTATTGACTTCATTGAAAGCTAAATTTGATATTTTCAACTTATTCCTGGCAAAATGAATAAAGCACGATAAGTTTATATAACGAAATCAGGTACAGAAAATGTCTTGGTTTGTATAAATTTATCGATGGTTCTAGAAAATGTAGATGAAAAATGCACTTAATTGATTTGTTTTGTAATTTCATTAGTGTAATTAAATATTGCAAATTTGAATAAATGAGGCAAAAGTAAATACATTTTAAGTATTTTATGGGAGTAATATTTCGGATTTTGAATAAAATGCCTATGATCGGATTTATTTTATTTCTCAAATAGTCTATATGTTTAGTCCATAATAATTTTTCGTCGATATAGAGACCTAAAAATTTTGTCACGTCTGTATATTTAATTAATCTATTGTTGAAAGTTATAGCATTATTCGCAATATTAACTGATCTTTTGGAAATATACATATATGAAGATTTGTTATAATTAAGAGTCAACTTATGAATTTGCATCCAAGATGATATGTTTTCCAAATCACTTGTAATATCCCGTTCGATATCATTTAACTCTTTGGATATATAAATCAATGTTGTATCATCCGCAAATAATTTTAACTTTCCTTTCAATTTCAGAGTTGATATTGAATTAATATAAATTAAAAATAAAATTGGTCCCAGAACTGATCCTTGCGGTACTCCACATGTAATTATATGATGCAAATGTATGGAATAAATTCATTATTTCAGAAATGGGCGACATTTGGAAAAATTCCAAAAACACGTGAGGTTTCATTTTTGAAGCCTCATCTCATGATATCCATATGAGAGATGTTACGTCACCGGTGTTGGAGTAATGACGTAATGAACGATTTTTTCAAATGAAAACAGGGATCATGTGACACCTCGTTTGAAAGGTATACTGATCGTCTATTCAACAGTCAACATTTTGCATAAGAAAATTGAAATTAAAATTGATTATCATTTGATTAACTGAATCTTGCAGAGGTCTGCTACCGAGAATAGAACAACGAAGGGTTTTCTATTTAAAAAAATACATCAATTAATAAAGTTCTGAAGTCTAGTTTTTGGATTTTTTTCGGAAGTCGTCTTGTTTTAAAATGAATTTATTCCATACATTTGCATCATACTGTATATTTCCTAGTTATGGAGAAATAATTCTGAAATTCACAGAAGCGAGAGTAGAGTTGCCAAAGAGACACTCAATAACCAAATGAAACTATCGTCAGTGATATACACTGCTTGCCAGTAGTCAACCCATCTTGCCTCTTATATCATTTTCTGGTAATGTGATTTCAGGACTACTAATGATCTAAATGATGCTCAGATCAATTCAGATATTCTCAATTCAACTATTGTTCTATTGGTCTAAAGAATTTTTACCTTCGACTTTACGAATTTCGAGTAAACTAAAATATCTCACCTTCTCAGAATGGCAGCCTGCGTTTTTCTATCAGACATATTTTCAATCTCCATGCACAGTTTATGGAACCACACCATTGGGCAGTGTTCACAGGATGTTATAGAATGCCTAGGCCTGGATTCTGCATGTAAGAACGCTTGAGTGATTGCTAAAATGAAAATGTTGTTAGAAGATTCAAATTGGTATCTAGTAACATACTGATAAAAGATGACAATCATTTGGAAAAAGTGTCATATTATATTTTTATGAAATTGTTCAAAAATCAGCAATTTTGGTTAGATTTTCATTCGATAATGGTAATGTAGGTATACATACATCTTACCTGCCATTGCATCATTAGCTATGGAAGACGATTCACATTTGAAAACATACCCTATATGGATGTTAGAATTATTGCCTTCTCCACAAACGAATCCAAAGTGCTCTGGATTCAATTGTCCCTGAAAATCAATAGACTCTTCAAACATCTACCCCATAAAATATCTACATCTTCAGCACAATTGTTGACTATGTTAAAGATGTTCCTTGAATCTAGTTGCAATGGGTCTCCTAGTTTGTCCAACCAATTTTTTGTCGCAATCACCTTATATATTCTTGATTTCAAGTACCTCACCCACTAAGCAAAGTTGGAAGCTATGTTTTTTTCATGATCTGGTTCCCACGAAAATAAGGGATATCCTGTAATGTTCAAAGAACATCGTGAGAACCAAGGGAAATAAGGTAGGAATTGGTGTTCTTCTTGAATTTCTGGAGACTATATGCCTCAAGGAACACCTCCCTTGGCAATATGTTCCAGAGCCTCGCTGTTCGTTGGATGAACGAGTCTTTGAAAAGAGATGTTCTACAGGTCTCCAAAGTGACCACGAAGGGGTGCGAAGCCTCAACTCGACGGGTTAATCTCTCGGGGACTGTCAAGGGAGGAACAATTGTTGATATTTCAGAAGAACATCGTCCATGAAAATATCGATAATATTGAGCCAGATCGCCAACTTTTCTACGGTGTTTCAGAGAAGTGAGTGAGTTTGTGAGCGAGGCATCACCCACGAGACGAATTGCCCCTTTTTGGACAGAATCCAACAGTTTCAGGATATGTTTGGGTGCTGCACTCCAAATATGGGATCAGTATTCCAGGACAGGTCGGATCTGTGCCTTATAGATCATGAGCAGCTGACTGGAAGTGAAATAGCTCCTGGCCCGAAACAGAAAACCAAGTTTTTGGGATGCACTTTCAGCAATAATTGATCTCACGTGATTTTCCCAAGGAAGGTTATTGCTGGTAGTAATACCAAGCATCAACATAGCTTCCAAGTTTACTTGGTGGGCAATCAAATATTGCATTCATATATTCTTCTTGTTAACTTGTACCGAGACTTGTACCTATGGTTGGAAGTTGTAATATTTATCTGCCAAAGGGCGTTAGTTGGAGTGTGAAATGTACAGTACAATGACGTCAATTTTTTGGCGACTGGAATTTCATACAGGATCTAAACACTTCTTGATACTTACTTGTAGACAAGTGGTGACATCTCTATGATGTTTCTGCAACAGAATAACCTTCCTATCTGGACTTATCAGTCTTAAATCAGTTCTGTCCACTTGCAGCACCATGGTGCGATTGTGGTCGTCGATAATAGCCGGAGTTTTGACGTATCCGACCGAGGAACTGTCATTGCTGGGGTTGTTGTTGGAGTCATTGTCGACATGGGTGCAGGGAGAGGTGGGATTGCCCGGATTACTTGGAGATTCTTCTTCCAGAGATGTTGCCCTTTTGACGATCAGGTTCGAATGGACGGACTGTGAGCGCAAAAGCGGTGGTACCGAAGGTGCGTTGAGTGGTTCTTCGCAGCTGGGTTCGCTGGCGCTGGAATCCTTGAAAAATAGAGGTTCTCCTGAGAATGGGGAAGTTCCTTTCAGATGAAGTAACTTCAGTTTCATGTCCACGCTGCACAGACTGGCGATTGATAAGGACGACAAACTGATGATGAATGATGTAGCTAGCGAATAGCTAACGAATAAAAAAAGTAGAAGATGAAGAAGACAACTTGACGTCGTTGTTGATTATATCATGAAAAATAACCATGATCAACTAACTAACAAAACAACTATAAGTTGTAGACATGGACTAACGAATAACTGGAAATCAAAAATCGACACAAGTAAAATTGGTGAACAAAATAGTTATTTATTATACGAGGGAAAAAAGTAGTAGATTTCAGCTTTAGGTTGTGTTGTCTCCCGACGCGTAGCGGAGGGAGACAAAAAAACTGTGAGCTAAAATCTAATATTTTTCCCGTGTATAATGCACTATTTTTTTCTGTGTCAGGAGAGAGGACGAATCAATATTGAGAAGATATTACATTATTTTGAAGTCTGAAAATTATTGACGTGAAATTTTAAGTTTTTAACAGTAGGGACACCTGTGTTGTAGGCATCTTTATCATTCTTTTGAAGTAATCAAATATCTGATGTCACTTCTATCAGTCTAATTCTGTGATTTGATTTCAAAAAATTGCAAAATTAGTGGTTGTTTAGTAATATACGTAACCGCGAAGTCGGATGGAATAAGATGAAAGGACCTGCAGTACTTTCTCGGAGACGGTATTATTGACTCAATTTTCGGAACTATCGCACAACAAAAGCCATCAAGAGTGTATATATATGTGATATATATCCGGGAAAAAAGTAATTTATGAAAAGTGACATTTTATAACCTGTCAACTGAGATGAAATGCCAAACTTTTTTCCTGTCACAGAAAAAACATACATAACCACAAAATCAGATCAGCTCTCGGTGTGCCTACCAGTATTTTGTGTGGTGTGGGTGGGCCCAAAGAATGATGCGCTGTTGCAAGATATAATCTGCAATTTTCAGGAACAGATTCATTTGAAAAAAAAATTGCAGACGTTATAATTATCATTTTGTAATATAACAAAAGTGAAATATCATAGATACTATAGCAAAATATCATAAATTATCTTCATTAGTATTCAACTTCATCCAGCAAATGAGAGAATTTATGAACATCATTCATAATACTCGCCGAAGTAGGATTAAAAAACCCACTATATCCCATTGCTGTTATGATATAGTTATAATGTATTCAAAGAACAATTTCCAGAAGTCTAGACATATTGATGATGTTGGCAACGTTGTACTGACACAGGGAATCGTATTTCAACTCTGTATGAATGTGGCTTTTCAGACAGTACATCATAGGAATGATGAAGGGGCCAATCGGTTTATTTTGGTCTAGAATTTATGGTACGTTGTTCTATGACACCTTGTATATTGAATTTTCACAGACTTCAAAGTGAGATAAAAATCTCAATATTGGAAACTTTCCTATTTCGCTCATCTGTATCATCTAACAATGTTACATTGCATTTGAATGGTTTCATCGTACTTATGAGCAATCAAGTCAAAATTAGACGATAACTCTGTACGTTTTTATTTCTTTTGGAGTCCACAAGAGGGAATCTCTGTTATGTTCGTGGAACATTAAAGCGTACCTACCTAGATAGAATAGGCATTGACGGCTAAATATCCGTCAGCACAGTAGATATCTACCCGTCATTGGAAAAGGGAATGAAAAAAAAGTTATTTTCCTCCGATGGGCAGCAAATATTAATTTTGCTGACACATATCGATCAGCAAAGTATTACTTTTCCTGCCTAGGCAGCAAAGTGGGTACTTTGCTGCCTAGGCAGCAAAGTGGTTACTTTGCTGATTGATATGTATCAGCAAAATTAAATTCCATAAATTGTTCATAATTTCCTTCATATGCCATCCGAGACTTCTCCGGCAACAAATTCAACTATATGTATATTTTTTGCCACCTCCCTTATAAATGGAGGTGTAAGTATACTTCCAGGTCGCTATCACTGTCCATTATATGATAATTTAAATATACCGATATTTTTTCGCACAACTGACAGAAATTTCATGAATTGTCAAACCAACAACTGCGATTTCTATCAAATTTTATTTTAATTGAACACTATACAGGGAGAATAAAGAGATTGTGGGAATTGTATTAATTCGCAAATACAATATTCTCCCATATCATTATGAACAATCGGAGAAAAAATTATATGTTCAACTCGGCAGCGAAGTAGATTGACTGCCTTAGCTGGATTCCTAGCCTCGCTACGCTCGGCTATGAATTCAGCCACGGCAGTCAATCTACTACTTTGCTGCCTAGTTAAACAAATAACTATTTTTTGTTTGGAGGTCATAAGTTCTTATGAACTTTGGCTGAGAATTCCAAATCAATGATGTCAAGAAATTATTGAGTGGCTTGTATCTGGATGGAATCTAAGAGCTTGAGTCCTGAACCCCATATGTGGAAAGTAAATGATTAATAGTAACGATACTTTTTACAGGCTTGATAAACTATGGGTCTGGCAAAAAATAACTTCTTTGTAGGTTCCGTCTTGTCAAGACTATGAGTAATATCTCTTCTCTATGAGACGGGGCTAGATAAAGAACTGAAGAGGATTATATCCTGTAGGCCCTAACGCCCTAACCTTATCTAGCTCAAGAAAACTTGGGAGTACCGCAAGGTTCAATTCAAGGTATGCCTTTATCCTTACCGTTGATCCTCTTCGAAGTATATTATTCTCACTTTTCAGCTTCCCTATATTTCCCAGTTGTCTTAATTTATGTTTCTCCAGTTCGTGTGCCTTGAATTTGTCTAGTGCCTCGTCTATAAAATTGTCAGGAACTTTCTTTTGCCATACTTTTATTTTTCCTATATAAAGTACCTGCAAAAAATGAAAGATGAAATTAAATAGAACATCTATCAACGTTAGAATGGGACTTATAATGGATGAAACTCAATAACTAGATATATCCAAATTGAAAAATTAAATGATATATGGGACTTATATGACTTATGACAGGTTATGACCACTACTCTAGTTATGTTCCAGGGAACTTAAAGGGTAACAGTAACCTGAAGAACATAATTATCTACCCCTACTTCTCCTCTTTAATAAGTGGATGAGACTGATACAAATTAAAAATGGTGATACATTTTTTTGATAACTGTGATTCATTAGGACATTAGTTGAGGATATATTTTTCAAATCTATTAATATTTCATGATTGGACTTTCCCTTCCTCCTGCAAATTCCAGAACCCTACCCCAATAATTACTCGAGATACGGGGGTGCGTCCATGAGAAGTGCTCAAAATTCAATTTTTCTGAACTGAAAATTTTCTAGGAAAACTATGAATAGTTAGTGAATTGGGCAGGAAAAATATGTGGAAAATGTTAGGTTAGTGAGCATTCAACAATAATGATAGCGATTATTTATTTCTCTCTATACTCCACTGTGTGGCTCGGTAATCAAATAAAGGTAAACAATATCGTTGTGTGTGACAAAAAAGTATGTGAATCTTGAAGGCTTTCTGGATCAAAACAAAAATACTTATAATATGGTGTATTTATATCTCCAGCATGAGTATAAAATGCCAAATCTGCCGGAATCGGAAACAAATCAGTTATAAGTCCCAACCCAAATAACCAACCGTAACAATGTTAAATACACGTATATTGAAATAATATTTATATTTTCATTTTATAGAAACGAGGAGAGAAAATCCCAAAAAATTTGGAATAATGAACGTAACAATGTTGTTGATTCTTGATAGCCTCTACTACATCCTTTTTAGTTCCTAGGAGCTAAAGTTCAACTTAAGCTCCTAGGAACTAAAAGTGTTGCCTAGTAACATACCTATGTTTATGCCAGTAATAGTAACGTCAATTCAAGAGCTGATTTTGGTACTAAAATGGACGACTTTTGTGTTGGTTGTAGAAAAATAAAATTATGTAGGTACCTATGTTTTCTAGATGTGAAATATGATCGCTCAACAATGTAAAGGTATTTACAACATTGTAAACAATGAATTTATCTACTATTAACGTTATTTCAGGTACATTTCAGTGTCCATCAATACATAATATGGTGACTATTAGGGGAAACAAGGAACAACATTTTTTTCTTCTGAGGGATAATAGGTACTTAGTGAAGTCATTGCAGTACCTGTATGCAAAAATAGTCGAGATGACAACTAATTTACGAATAAAAGTTGGCAATAACTGGTGTCTCCACAATAGCACCAGAATTAAACATCCAAATGTCTTCAAAGTGTCTTTTTAATAAGCTGAAATTTGTATCTTACCTCGAAAAAATTACTCGAACTAGGCGAAATATCAACACAGAGTGATGTCAAATTGGCGGCGCTGCTTATCGATCTAGTAGGCGTGGGGTGATTTTGTTCCTTCATTTGTTTGTACAGGTCGGTAACCTGAAAGAAAAAATGCATTAGTAGGTGCAATGGCGGAGGTTATTTAATGTCATTTTCATTCGATAGGCGACTGAGCTGAGGGTAGCGGGGCGATTATTATGCAGAATGTAGGCCACTGGGAGGGTGTGTACTGTGTAGGGTTGATTCATGTCCTTAATGGATTAATCTAATGAGAATTAAAGGAAGTTTGGAGTAGGTTCAGAACACGATGTAATGAAGTCAAGTGGCCTTAGTCGCTATTAATTATAAAATCATTGATTAAATATCTATACAAAGTTTTTAATGTATGGTACAATGTCACAACAAATGCTGATATTTCATCGAGTCCATATACAAAAATTGAACATTCACAGCATGGCTATCAGGCCAATTTTACTGTATGCCTCAGTAGTCTGGGGCCACACAGCTAAATCTCATATCACCAGATTACAAACATTACAAAACAAAATCGCGAGAATGGTGACAGGATCTCCTTGGTATGTTCGGAATAACCAGATCGCCAGGGATCTGAAACTCCCTTCAATCGTGCCAGTCATTAAAGAACGAAACATCAAGACTTTCGAAAAAGCTGAGGTTCATGAGAATCAGCTTCTTCGAAATGCAGTTGATTATGACCCAGGTGATCAATCAAAGTTCAAAAGACCGAGATTGTCCATAAACTAGAGAAAATATCGACATTATGACCAAATTTACTATTCTCAAGTTTTCGATATTTATTTATATTCCGTTCGATCTCTTTCAATTCTCAGAATGTATTTCTGAAACTTATTTGGGGCAGAAGGGCTGTTCGCATCAAACTTCAATACCGTTTTTATTTTGTTCCATAATAGATATCAGGATAAGAGGGACTCTTCCCTGGTCTGAATAAAATAAAAGAAAGATCCAATATATATACTTGGTAATTAATTACAAACAGGTAGGAACGTACATGTCTTTGATATTCCAAGACTGTGCGATGTCTTGAGACATTTGATAAGGATACAGGAAAAAGTGAGAGTTACATTAGAAATACTCCTCATTTCTTAGAAAAGCTTAATGACATCACTCTTGATACAAATGATACTCTTGTTAGTTTTGACATATGTAGTAAGTTTATTCACAAATGTTCCAATAGATAAAACTTTACAAATAGTGAAACATGAATTAGAAGACGATGAAAGTCTCACTGAGAGAACTAATCTAAGTATCGAAGGAATAATGGAATTTTCGGAATTGTGTCTAAAAACAACATATTTTCAATTGGATGATGAGTTTTATCAACAAAACTTTGGAATGACCATGGGATCGCCATTATCTCAAATTTCAAACCATATATTTATGGATAATTTCGAAGACAACATCATCAAAAATTACCAAAAGCAACCTAAAACATGGTGGCGATACGTAGATGATATTTTCATAATTTGGCCACGCATAACCTTTTATGGAGCTAGATAATTTTCTGGATTATGTGAATAATGCCGAACCTACCATAAAGTTCACTTTGGAAATTGAATCTAACAATCAGTTACCATTTCTAGGTGTTCTTATTGAGAAATCAAATAACACCTTTGTAACAAGTTTATATCAAATCAATATCATCTGACCAACAAATTTTCAATAACGAAGTCCACCACATTAAAAATGGTCTCCAACTCAATTCCTATCCAAAGAATTTTGTCGATAGGACGATTCATCATATTGAAAACAAACAGGGTCAACCACAACAAAATCAACCATCAATAACGACAAATATAATTCCATACATTCCCGGCATATCAGAAAAAATAAAACGTGTTGGTGATAAATTTCAAGTGAAAACTGTGTTCAAAACTGAAAATACAATGAGATCAATTCTAACTCAAACAAAGACGAAAAAAGAAGAACAATCGTCAAAAAATTGTATTTACAGTATACCTTCGTGTATACACGGACAGCATATGGCAAAGTGGAATAATATTAAAATCATTGGAAGCGAAGATAACAACCAGAAGAGAAAAATCAAGGAATCTGCTTGCATTCTTCTGAACGGAGGCAATAGCATTGCTTCTTGTTCAGTTGATATAGACAGAACATGGTATTCACTACTAAAATCTGAAAATGAAAATGGTGAATTCAAGATTAATTGATGAAAACATCCTGTAACTCATTTGATTGCCAACGTCACGTTTCAAGACAGATACGAATTTGCATTTCAAATAACATTTTTTTATGTTGAAAACGGGAGCATAGTCGGTCCCGAACGTCCAAAGATATGTGAAAAATTGATATTTTTTCTATATTCCTTTATTTCTCTTCTCCAAACCTTTTTCAATACAAATTGTCACTGACAAGGACATTTTGGGATAAATTATCTGATTTATCCTTACTACACGTATATTGAAATGATATTCATATTTTTATTTTATAGAAACGAGGAGAGAAAATCCCAAAAAAATTGGATTTATCAGTGTCCTCTGTTTGTATTGGTGCATTTTTGAAAAAATGTTCATTGGAGAGGTTTTCTGATTTTACGCTTCTTTATCACTACTCGAATTGGAGTACAAAAATATAATGTACCCACACTGTATATGTATGGATTATTTCTAGATTGTATACCTATTTTCATCTCATTTTTCATTTTCAGTATATATAGTTTGTTACCAAGTGTCATGACAGTAGGAATGAAAATATATTTTCAAGGACATTAGGAGTATACCTACCTACTCAAAATAACTTTAATTTATTATAAGGAAATCCGATCCAAAATACTCGTCTATGAAAAAAAAACTACACTGGCCTTCAATGTGGATACGCATGAACATTTCGTAGATTGTACAATAATAGAAATGTATGTAAAAAATGTGTGTTATGTTGTTAGCATGATTAAAACAGGTCGTTTATTTTGATAAACATTGTATATTGAGCGATACCTGACGAAAATATTCGCAAGGCCACAGATTTTCCATTAACAATTTGCTGATTTACAATCAACGCTATCCTAGTGTTCCCAATCATTAACTCTATGATTCAACTTGAATATTGATTGATATAAAACCTATAGCTACCAACTTGACCAATGTGGTTTCTAATAAAATATTATTTTACACGTATATGTGAATTTTTTCAGATTTTTTATAGGCCAAATAAAAATTTTCATTTTCCCACCTAGGACTTCCATACGATATAGTCACCGAGTCATCTTCGGACGGCCGAAAGTGCCAGAAAACGGCAGAAATTCACGCGAATTATCGCTTTTTCAGTAGAAAATGACCTGCTGAATCGAATGAGACTATAATCAGCCCCGTAGGACAGATAGTTTTTGAGATATCGGCGCTCAAAGTCAGGTTTTCGCTTTTTTGCCAATAGGAGCACTCTGGTGGACTACTACGTCTCCATTTTCCAAAATTTCACGATTTCCACCACAGATTTGTTCATTTCGATATCGAATTAGTCCATGTGAATTTTTTCAGATTTTTTATAGGCCAAATGAAATTTTTCATTCTCCCACCTAAGACTTCCCTACGATATAGTCACCGAGCCATCTTCGGACGGCCAAAAGTGCCAGAGAACAGCAGAAATTCTCGCGAATTATCGCTTTTCCAGTAGAAAATGACCTGCTGAATCGAATGAGACTATAATCAGCCCCGTAGGACAGATAGTTTTTGAGATATCGGCGCTCAAAGTCATCTTTTCGCTTTTTTGCCAATAGGAGCACTCCGGCAGACTACTATTTCTACATTTTCCAAAATTTCCCGATTTCCACCACAGATTTGTTCATTTCGATATCGAATTAGTCTATGTGAATCGTTTCAGATTTTTCATAGGCCAAATAAAAATTTTCATTTTCCCACCTAAGACTTCCATACGATATAGTCACCGAGCCATCTTCGGACGGCCGAAAGTTCCAGAAAACGGCAGAAATTCACGCGAATTATCGCTTTTCCAGTAGAAAATGACCTGCTGAATCGAATGAGACCATAATCAGCCCCGTAGGACAGATAGTTTTTGAGATATCGGCGCTCAAAGTCAGCTTTTTGCTTTTTTGTCAATAGGAGCACTCCGGCAGACTACTACGTCTCCATTTTCCAAAATTTCCCGATTTCCACCACAGATTTGTTCATTTCGATATCGAATTAGTCTATGTGAATTTTTTCAGATTTTTCATAGGCCAAATAAAAATTTTCATTTTCCCACCTAAGACTTCTATACGATATAGTCACCGAGCCATCTTCGGACGGCCGAAAGTGCCAGAAAACGGCAGAAATTCACGCGAATTATCGCTTTTTCAGTAGAAAATGACCTGCTGAATCGAATGAGACCATAATCAGCCCCGTAGGACTAATAGTTTTTGAGATATCGGCGCTCAAAGTCAGCTTTTTGCTTTTTTGCCAATAGGAGCACTCCGGCAGACTACTTCGTCTCCATTTTCCAAAATTTCCCGATTTCCACCACAGATTTGTTCATTTCGATATCGAATTAGTCTATGTGAATCGTTTCAGATTTTTCATAGGCCAAATAAAAATTTTCATTTTCCCACCTAAGACTTCCATACGATATAGTCACCGAGCCATCTTCGGACGGCCGAAAGTGCCAGAAAACGGCAGAAATACACGCGAATTATTGCTTTTCCAGTAGAAAATGACCTGCTGAATCGAATGAGACCATAATCAGCCCCGTAGGACAGATAGTTTTTGAGATATCGGCGCTCAAAGTCAGCTTTTCGCTTTTTTGCCAATAGGAGCATTCCGGTAGACTACTACGTCTCCATTTTCCAAAATTTCCCGATTTCCAGCACAGATTTGTTCATTCCGATATCAAATTAGTCCATGTGAATTTTTTCAGATTTTTAATAGGCCAAATAAAAATTTTCATTTTCCCACCTAAGACTTCCATACGATATAGTCACCGAGCCATCTTCGGACACCCGAAAGTGCCAGAAAACGGCAGAAATTCACGCGAATTATTGATTTTCCAGTAGAAAATGACCTGCTGAATCGAATGAGACCATAATCAGCCCCGTAGGACAAATAGTTTTTGAG